AATATCAAAAGCTTCTACATCCAGGTTGTCGAAACACTCGATAACTTGCAGGAGAAGTCCAAGCATCTCAACGTCGAAACAGTACATATGTAAGTACTACAAGCACCCCAAAAACGGTATTATTTGATGACTACGATATCGAAGAATGTTGACGATCTTAAGGACAAAAGTAATATTGTGAATGTGAGATACATGGAAGAAAGTATTAGGAAATGTGTAACCGACTTGATTAGAATGACGCAGTTTGCAGTTTCACATATGGTATATGACTCAGAGAAGTACTTCAACGATACTGAGTCGAATACTTTATTGACTGCTCTTCAGCAGTTAGATATGTATAAATTTTGTAGTAAAATATATACTGAATTTATCTATTTTGATATACATGTATATGGAAAGGTACAAGTTTATTTTATCAGGATATTCATAAATATGTAGTGGTTGGGTATGTCGCTCGGCAGCGAAACAAAACGTGGTACAGACGAAAAGCAACACGTGGCAGCCTAGATCATGCTGATGAGTAGCCAAGGGGCACGAAACAGCTGTTCATGGTTGGTCGAATGGACGAAAGCATCCTCTTTAGTTTATGCACTGGCAAGTAGACCACATCTACTTTACAGCCAAAATCGTCAGCGATCCTGCGGTCACTGGTGACTGGGCTATTAAACGTATCGTATTTTCTCTCGTTACAAGACAAGATGTTAGATTTCCAGTTTCATCGGAAATTAGGTTGAAATTTGTTCTTTTTTAATGGGACATCTCATATGCATTTACGTAGTTGGATTAGAGCTCTAAAATTGGTAAAGCTACAGTACCAAATGTAAATCCAAAGTCCAAGCTTTACTTCTATTTTTTACTTCATTTGATGGCAGTCGCCCTAAATGCTAAAAAATATAATTTATAGAAGAATTTGCATTTGGCAATGCGTCCATACTAAGTTTTGCGTCTACCATTGACATATGTATAAACACATACTTACCTGTCTGAGAAACCAAAATGCGTGACTACTACCGCCAGTATTCCAGATTTCACTTGAATTGGCCGACAAATAAACATAAGTTCCGAGTGTGAACTACTTGTTGATTTACCTCTAGTATAGATTCGGCTAATAAATAGTTTCATTTACAAATGTGCGCAGTAACTGGCCTTTAGAGCCCCCGCAGACTGCAGACTTTCTATCGGCCGATAGTTTCGTCGGCTTCTTAATAAGTATGGAGAGGTATACATATGCGCACATTACAGCGATTCAGTATCGGCCGATAAAAAAGTTTGATGGGCTTCCCGATTCCCTGTAAACTAATCTGTCGGCCAACTATCGGCCGACTGCTTAATCAGTGTTGGCTAGTTTCCACTTGGGCACACACGACGATTGTTTAGTCGGCCGACATAGTTCGGTTCCCTCCGAGCTTTGGCGTCGGACAAGCATGTTTTTTCTGGTAATCAAGTAATTTGGAACGCATTATGTAAAATGTTCCACTAACTAATCTATCGCTGAGAATGGGATGCAGTCAATACTCTCTGTATCTCTTCTTGATCTCTTCAACAGTCAGATACAAACTAGTATCGTTCGGAATAGTCGGCGTCGGCCGGTTGTTGGCTAGTCTGCGCGCTCTCCATCGACCAAACTGTTTAGTTGACTCGATCTTGGCACTAGCAGCCCAATCCGACTAAACTATCGGCCCATAGAAAGTCCGGTCTGCGGGGGTCTTTATGCCTTTATGGCCTCCTTGATTTTTATAGTTTTCTACTCTTCCGTGTCAGCGCTCTATTTTGAGGTTATGTCACAAATATCTATTTGAATCAATTTGTTCATGATTTTGATTTATATCATCTGTTTTATCAGCCTGAAAATTCCTAAAATACAAAAAGAAAACATACCTTCACAGTAGAAGAGCACTGACGCTGACACGGAACAGCAGAAATCTAGAAGCATTTCTGAAGAAGAGAAAAGACTATGAAAATCAAGGAGACCATAAAGGCGTCCTACAATTGTAGGAACGACTGACGATACGGCCCTAAGAATTCCAAGACGCAAATGTCTCGGATATATATCTTACCTATAAATAACTATAAGTCAATTAAATATAATTTAGGTCCTTTCAGCTCTTGAACGTTCCACTGTGTCAAGCGCTGGATTCATACATTACGTGTACGTAGGTACGAGTCTGTTAAAATGTATGTGGGCTGACATTGTGTTCACATCGGACATATGTTTAGATGGGGGGATAAGCAGGTTTTAAGGAACATTCGACAAATGTCGTTATTTTTTTCCTTGTAATTCATGAATTATGAAGGACAGCCTTTTTCGGAAACGTGAGTCATGGACAAAAAATCTTGATGTACGAATTTCTATAGCTATTTGATATCCACCATGTATTGAACTTTTCGATGACCTTAGATATCACATCAAGTTCCTGTTAACGTTCTCAAATGAGACCCCTTGTTTTCACAGCGTAATCGTACAATATTTTAGTACTTTTGATTTTAAGTTAAACAATATAATTTCACATTTCAAATGTGAGAAAGGTAAAAGACGAAACATCTACTATCTGATCTTGATGTTCTTTTTCAAGTATAGAACGAAAAATTATTCTGTGCTTTCGAACGATTAACCTGCCCATTATTTGTTGCCTCTATTCATCGTCTAAAAAAATATAGTACGTGATTTAAAAAAAGATCTCTTGAAGCCTAAACATAAGGTCTATTTTTAATAGCCAGGAAAAGCTCCAACAAACCTGTTTCTTAGATTTTTATCAGTTATTACCATATTGGATAATGGAGAAGTTTATATCATTTTTTGTTATTAGCTCAAATGAAATTTTAAGAAAAATGAAACAAGATGGTGAAAGAATTATTAAGCTGTCTCTAAAAACAAAAAAATTTCAGCCTATCAAAGTTGCGCCTCGCGAGGATATTTTTATTGTCTGAACGCGGCGCGTAACGTCACACTTCACTATCCGACGACGGTGGCCGACTCCTGGGCCCAGGCCGACTCAATTTCCTAAACACGCACATATGTAGGTACACATACACCGGAAACACGTTGTTATAAATACTGTATCGTTCCAAAATGTACGCGCACAACAATTACCACCCCTAATAAACATTTTTTCTACGTACCCTCACATGAAAATATAGGAAGAAATAATGCAAACTTATGAAGCGTAATTTGTTTGGGCCAGAAAGTGCAACATATGTTTGTGACAACTACTTTGACATGAGTAAGTATATCACTTTACTATTTATTTATGGTTAGTTATTATATGATTTCCAAGCTCGTTTCACTGTGCACGCGACATTTGGCGAGGAAATATTTATCAACTAATATTACAAATCACTTATTTCAACTCACCGAGAACAGCTGTGAGCTACCATAGTGCCACTTGCCCCCCTAAAAAGGCGTCAAGTAGATTGACTTTGTACTGCATCATGTGTAATATTATTATATATAGTTTAATGAGATGTTAGAAAAGCAACACATTCATCAAATTAGGTTACTTCAAATTTCGACTTATTACAGATTGAGAATGATACTGAAAATCTGATAAAATATAAACTAGTCGGTGGAAGATTGAAGCTGAAAGTCGGAGTAAACCCTCATAAGTTAGACTGCCAAAAAGGTGTACGGTAAGAGAATGCGGAGCTTATGAGAAAAGCCGTCGCGAAGGATGTTTAGACGAATTGTTAAAGAACGATGTTCCCTCCAGCTCAAGTTGGCAACCATTCAAATTCATTCAGTGTGACTCGCTTACGAAGAATCGAAAGCACTAGAAGATCCACTGCTTGAAGATTATACTGCATCTGTAGCAGCTCATCATGACACAAAAAATAAACACAAAAAAGTGAATCTAACATTTCCATGCTTTTATCAGTAAAGTAAGCCATTACTTGGGTCTTATTAAGTTTATTTGTTTACATTCATTAATTAGTTTATCAAAGAAGACTAAATACGGAGAATTATAAATTTGAAGAACTTCCACTTCCGTTATTGAAATCTTTCTGCCAACTTTATATAGCGCCAGTTTCATCAGGAAACATGCTACTGAAGTACTTGCAGGTTCTTCGCTTCTTTTTACAAGCCAGAAAACTTTATTGTGTGTTTACATCCACCAAGCTCAGCAGCACAATTATGACACACAACAATTTAAATTTTTTCTTCACTTTCGTCACAGGTCAATGTGCAGTGGTAAAGCGTAGTTTTCATTTTATGTTCAGGTGTAACTCTGCATTTTACAATTCATTTATTACCTTCAAGTTTCAACTGAACATGACCAATAGCATCTTCACCATACGAATCTCTACCTGCCCTGGAAAATGTCGTGTCATATCCGAAAATCTATACTGATATTAGGCATCAGCACTAATTTGTTTAAAACCTCAGCAGGGTATCGCACATTTTACGGCTAGCTGTGATAGTGTAGCAGAAGGCATAAATCCTTCCAAAGTTTCATACCTTCTATTTCCGCGCTTGTATGTGATGGATTTGAAGAAATAAATTCCATCACTGCATTATTATCACTTAACCCTTTTACAAATCCAACTTCCATAACGGTACGAACTTACGCAGTACTCAATCGTTATCAACTACAAACCACGTGGCCGAGCGTCTAAGGAATTGTCTATAGACTAAATTACTAAACGCACAGACAATGTCGGCACTAGTGAAGTGTGACGTTAGACGCGAACTGACGGCAGCAATGATTTCGCGCTATAATGCTCCAAGTTTAAGTATTAATTTCTCTGTCATTTATTGACCAATTTCAATAATTTTTTTCACTGGTTGATTATATTTCATCTATATTTTTCTGGTATGTCATTACTTATGCGATTCTGACCATCACGAAACTTCTCCATTCTTCGATTTGCTTATTAGACCCTAGCCTTGATCCTCAAAGATTAGATGACCGAAGTGCAGGGTTGATTGATTTAAATCATTTGATTCAAGCCGTGATTTAAATCAGTGATTTATATCAAGTGATTTTTTTCAATAAAAATCAGTATTTAGGTACAAACTGGATTTTTTTCATTAAAGTACATGTATTAGAGCAGAAATAATCAGTTACATAAATGAAAAATACTTATTCAAATGCACAGTTTTCATTAATGTAATTATAACAAAATTTTAATGAAGAAGAAAGGAACACCAATTTCGCTGCCTTCACATTTCCAAGCCTATTCCAAAGTTTTGACTGGACCAGACCACATGCAGAAAAAAATCATTTCTACAGATGCAGAGGAAGCCACAGCTGTGAGCAACTGGTAGGTATGCGTTATTGACCATGCTCATCCATGCTGATCATATGTGCTTCCACCATGGCAATGATTTTACATTTTCTATTATATCCTCTGCAAATATTACTTGTTTGAATCGATCACTCTACAGCTTAGGTTTCTTCATCAACTGTTAACTAGAATTTGATTTTTGTGCATCGAATGTCAGCTAGAATGGTGTTAAAGTGGCACGTCCCTTTTTTAGATTTTTTTTTCAACTTACTGTTTGCAGCAGTATTCTAAATCCTTTGTATCGGATAATTTCGCGGTGTGTATAGAGATGACTAAAAAACAATGTTTTCATTTTTTTCGTCAAAAATGCATTTTTTGTGTATTTCTTATTCAATCGGAAGTTGTGTTACTATATTTCTTTTTTATGGAAGAATGAAACGAGTGATTACTTTTGTTCTTATCACTTTTCCTTTTCGAAAAATCTTTGCTTTTCTTGAAAACTCAACTTGCTGCGAGACGAGGTTTCAAGGAAATCAAATATTTTTCGAAAACGAAGAGTGATAAGAACAAAAGTAATCTCTCGAATCATTCTTCCCTAAAAGAAGAATAATCACAAAGAATTTCAGAGGTGTACTTATATTTATTAACCATTTCCGATTGAAGAAAGAATGCACAAAAATGCATTTTTTACAAAACTAAAAATGAAAACATTGTTTTTTAGCCATCTCTATACACACCATGAAATTATCAGATGAAAAGGATTTAGAATACTGCTGCAAAGAGGAAGTTAAAAAGAGATCCAAAAAAAGGGACGTGCCACCTTGAAGCAAAAAAATAATAGTTTTGTTAAGAGTCTTGTTTGTTAATAAAGTCAAAATCTACTATTTTCAGTGAGCATTAAGTCAAATTTATAATAAGTATAAAAAAATCATTATATAAATATTAGATTGACTATGCATGTCTAATACAATCTACACCACAAAGGCACAAAAATATCTGTAACTAGACAAAATTATGATCTAATCTGGAGTATACACTTGTCTAAGTACTGCAGTCTCCCAGATACCTCGAGATTCTGCAGCCTAACAAAGTGCAAGTACTTATGCCATAACAAATTTTACAGACGGCTGCCTGCAAGACATCCGTGAACGTTTACAATGATGATTCCAGATGTTCGGCCAGATCAAGCGAAAAAGATGAGTTATAAAGATTCAATGGAGCTGTCGCAGAACAACATAGACAACAGCCATTTTTTGTTGCGGAGCAACTTTCCATTTATTATAAATATGCTACGTTACAAACGTATAATCCTATTTTTTTGGAGTTTGAGATCCAGCTCTCGCCTTCGGTAAGTCAAACATCTGAGGGGTCAATATCATCAGCGCTAATCACTCCGTTGGATTCCACAGTACGGGAGTACAAATAATTCTTAGCATCGAATTTTTCAACAACCTGAAAAAATCACAAAATTATTTAAGTGACATTACAAAAACAGCAAGAATGTGCGTATTGTTTTCTGGATTAGAATGAAGACTACTTACACTTCGTACAAGTGTTGGATGGTCATTCGAGATCCGTTTCCAATCATCAGGCTGCATAAGACACAAAGGAGACATAGCAAGATGAGCCAAAAACTCTATAGAGTAGAAGTAGTCCTTTTTCGAGCCTTCTGTACAAACAGTGGTCTCACTGTTCAGACAATCTGGTGGATTTGAGGTAGGCTCACCAACGACTGATTTGTTTTTCAACAAATCTTCAGCTGAAAGACGAGGCTTTCGCGGTTCCACGTTATCTAACACAGAAAAAAAACACTATCAGACGCACATAAATGAGTAGAAATATTATCATTATGTTTTTGAAGATTATTGTGACTTCTAACACCCAATGGTGTTTGAATACCGAAAAACAACTCACACTATTTTCCACGATGTATTCTACTAATTCGGTAGTCAAAAAAGTGAATCTGTTGGCAGTGAGTAATGAGAGTGAAGTATTTTTTCCAAATCCTGATCAATATTTATTTATTTCATAGCTGACTTTAATTTAAGTCATCATATTATATCAACAGGATCGTTGTAATTGTATTGTGTGGGTTCAATATAATGGGTGATTTTTTTGCTAGTATCTTTTTGGCAACACTGTTTTTGTCATATGACGCGTGAATCGTGTCTTGTGTCATTGTCAAACTTGTTCAGTTTGGTCTATAATTTAACCATGAATCGACTTACGAACGAACAACGCTTGCAAATTATTGAATCGAGCACTGCTTCCAATTTATGGGCAATTTGGTCGTCCTACTGAGGGAGCTATTCGGAAGCTTGTGACTAAATTTCGAACCCAGTTTACATTATTGGACATTAAACCACCAACACGCAGACGTAGAGTCAGGACTGAAGTTGCGACTGTATCCGCCAGTGTTAGTGATGACCGTGAAATGTCGATTCGCCGCCGTTCGCAGCAATTGGGCCTCTGTTACTCCACTACGTGAAAAATTTTGCGACAGGATTTTTGTGTAAAACCTTATAAGATACAGCTGGTGCAAGAATTGAAGCCACACGACCTCCCACAACGTTTCCAATTTGGTGAATGGGCGCTGGCAAAGTTGGAGGAAGATCCACATTTTTATCGAAAAATTGTGTTCAGCGACGAAGCTCATTTCTGGTTGAATGGGTACGTTAACAAGCAAAATTGCCACATCTGGAGTGAAGACCAGCCAGAAGCATTGCAAGAGCTACCAATGCATCCCGAAAAAAATCACTTTGGTGTGGATTATGGGCCGGTGGCATCATCGGGCCGTACTTCTTCAAAGACGACAATGGCCGGAACGTAACTGTGAACGGCGAGCGCTACCGTGCGATGATAACAAACTTTTTTTGCCCAAAATGGAGAGCTGGACTTGGCTGACATGTGGTTTCAACAAGACGGTGCCACATGCCACACCGCACACGAAACAATGGCCCTATTGAGAGGCGAGTTCGGTGAACAGTTTATCTCACGTTTGGGGCCCGTCAATTGGCCGCCTAGATCGTGTGATTACACGCCGTTGGACTATTTCTTGTGGGGCCATGTTAAGGCTAATGTCTACAGGGATAAACCAGCAACGATTGACGCACTGGAAGCCAATATTGAAGCATTTATTCGTGATATACCGGCCTATATGTTGGAGAGAGTGTGCCAAAATTGGACCTTGCGCATGGGCCATCTAAAGCGGAGCCGCGGCCAACATTTACATGAAATAATCTTTAAACATTAAATTATATCGACCGTTCTATCGACTCAAATAAAGATTTAATCGTTTTTTCAAATTTTTTGTGTTTTTTTTGAAAATCAAATCCTATACCTCTTAAAAAATCACCCGTTATAAGTTAAATAGCTGGATTTAGTCGGAGTTTTATACTACTCCTTCGCAGTCAGCATGTATGCTTGAAGTTCTTTCAAAGCTCGAGCTCAGTCTGGTTGACATGCAGTTCGAAAGCAGCTGCGGCAACGATGAAATTTTTTCACAAAAATTCCTTTATGCAAATTAACGCACACAAAGAAAGTCCAAAGCAGTACGAGGTACGATTCTCTCACTTGAAGATATGGGGCACTTGGATGCCATTCAATCGACAGGTGTTTTTTGTCACGTATTGAAGTGTTGAAGTATCGTGGGAAATAGCGTAGGTAGGTGACACCGGCGGCATAACGGTAAGACTCGCTGCTTATCGGTTCACGCAGCAAATAATGGGGTCAATCAAAAAATTGTACTAGATTTGGCTGTTTATGATATTACCACTGATGCCTTGCACAAATCCGGAAGAATCATTCCGATATCTTGAAATTTAAGGAAATTATAGCACCATGTCACAATAGTCACAATACTTACTCGTCTACTGGAATGTTAATGATTAAAAATATGGATAGTTATAGAAATGTACCGTTCTCATCCTCGCCGCCACTATAGGATTCTTGCGAAAATAGCGACGATTCCGGAGGCGGCATGGGAGCATTTGTACTCGAAAAATCCTCAGGAAGAATCGGCTGTGGTAGACTATCAAAGATGTAGAACTGAGATGCGTCGTGAATTGGCTCACCACTAAAGTATTCATCCAACACTAATTTGCTTGTCTAAAATTTAAATAAAATCCATTACTGGCTAAAATAGGCGTGTGTATTATACGTTGTGTGGGGCTCGGATTCTCTGATAGATGTAGCAGTAGTAGTAGTAATAGTGGCGGTCAAACATTGGTTACTGGGTCTCGGGAGGCAGTTGGGGGACTGGACTCCAACTTTTTTTATACTTCAGCTACCACGAAGGCCTAAGGTCTAAACACCCATGGGGTACCGTGGTGCTATAGGGGGATGCGGGAGAAACGGGGGACGTCACATGGACTCTAGCGAGGGAACACGTGAGCATGCAACATGCACACATTCTGGTACCGCCTACGAGATCCGCTGGGTGGTACCTCCGCGAACGACAGTCACAGACCGTCTAGCACCTACAGACAATCACAACATCCATATCCAAGAAAAAATTATCTTGGGACGGGATACGAGCCCGCGCAGCGCACGGCGACTGATTATGATATCGTAGCGTCTGCAACTACGCCAGCGCAGCTGCATGTATTATAACTATGCAAAAACACCTAGGAAATGCCCACAGTCTATCAAAGATGCACATCAACGAGCCTACTTTCCACGTCCGCCTTAGGAAGATGGTTTCTTTTTTTCTTCGGCACGTGTCCGCTGGGGGTATGTCCCACAGGGGTGTAGCATGTGGTTCTCTGCTTGCCGACCTTATTTTCCTAGATGCACGTGGGACTAAGATGAGAGAAAAAATATTAAAGATGGGAATCAATCCGAGACGCCAGTAGGTCCATTCAAAAGGAGAAACTCCACGGCCAGAAGCCCGCCTATGATTAGAACATTCTTTCACTTGAGTTGGAAGCGCCGACACAGAAGATGAACTGGAAAACCCTTCAAGGCACGAAAGGGACAATGGAAAGAAAGTGACGACGGATAAAATATCTGAGAGCGTCAACTGGTGTTCCAAAACTCAGTACTGCACCTTGACCAACAAGAAGCGACCTAGCGGTAATCCGGTTTCGATGGAGTTGTTTTGTTTGACTGGTCGGAGTCCAGATCACCAAAGATATGATCCGGCACGAACACATCTCGTTAACAGCTTCCGCTGCAGCGAAAAAGATGAGCTATTTTTTCAGGGCTAAGAAGTAATGTTCTTCACATAACCTCCCCACTCACTAGCCGCGAGTATAGCTCACATGTTTGGGGACTACACTATCAGTACTCGATACTGTTCAGAGGAGAGCTGTTCGACCTAACGAACAGTCTCGGGACCCTTTCGCACCGACGGGTCATCGGCGATCTAGCTCTCTTCTACCGCTATATCAACGGGCTTTGCTCCTCATAGCTCTCCTCCATGAGGCCGTTGCGTAATGTGCCTGACAGGTAGACCCGCCTGACTTCGGCATCCTGGACTATGTCGAATTTCGTACAACTCGCCGATACGATCGCTCCTTTGTCACTGGGGTATCGAGATTGTAAAACAATCAGCCCGAGGTTGTGAAACAATCTGCTTGAGGTTTTGTCCAGTTTTAGTATAACCTCAGGCAGTTCAAAAATGGGATCTTTAAGCTCCTCATAGCTGTTGCGGTTCTCTGGTATTTAGGCTTCTGCCTACGCGGCGGCTTCGGTATAAAACAAGTTTATTATTTGTAAGGGCATATAAAATAAATTTAGTGTAATATTACGAAATTAAATATATTTTATAGTGCGTCTAATGAACTGGCGAGGGTCTGAATATTGGCCATTTTATTGACAAAATAATCAACACTATTATTATCAATACGTACTCTAACAAGATCCAAGTTATCTCCGGTAATCTTAATTGTGCAACCGTTTGCGATAACGGTATACTTGTACTCTCCAATAGCTGCATCGTTGGTACTGAGACTGTGTACAAGATGACGTATGCCGGGTGCTGGTGGAGAGATGGCTCTTCCAGCGGCTGCTGCCTCCTCAGACGTGGACGAGGCTAAGCTAGAACTCGATCCTCTCAGACCTGAAGGCATGGATGCAGATTGCTCTCGAACAGGCGAGGCGTTCCGTCGAATCGTGTCTTCAATCAACTGTTTTGCATGACTATGAAATGAAAATATTATTAAAACTAACCAAATAGGCCATATATATTATAAGGGTTACCGAAAAATTCTGTCCAATCTGATATCAACCATTTTCACGGTATGCGCATCTTTAGTTGACGGATATCTATATCTGGCTCACTCTTTCTTCTTTTAATATACGTCGTAGCCACATCATAAATTGCCCATTTCATAAAATGATCGAACATTTCATGAAATAGTCGTATTTGTGGGTTGACCAGATCAATGAGAACAAATGTTTGGCGATAGTATCAACTAAACGCGCGGCTAATCCATGAAATGGTCAAGCTTACTTGATCAAATCTTAAAATAATTACACTGATTACTGATAGACAACTTAGCGGCTGTTACAAGTTGCTTTTCAAAGTACAAATTCTAATAATTCGTTACTAAAGGCAGAAGAGAGTTCGTCGCTGGCTATTGCCAAGGAACGTAGTGGTGTCCAGTAATTTGAGATTTTATGATCTGAAACTGAATGTCTGCTTTCCGTCTCTGTAGACAGCGCTGCTTTGTGCTCTTTAGCCACTCATCAGTACGGTATAGGTCTAGTCCTGGAGACAGACAAACAGAAAGCAAACAAGTGGCTATAGTGTTTTGAAAAACTCAACATGTATGGAGGTAGGTATAAGTGGTTTGCCAAAGTTGACACCACACTCAGCCCATAAGCTGAAATCACAGAAAGACCCCTACGTCTCCTGGCTTATAATTACTCGTCGTCTGTACTATGTATAGATATAGATGTCACCACCATCGAAAAGATAGACACGATCAAGTAGTCGGAATACTGCGTATCCACAAAGCTATCAGGCTATGGCATTCTATGTATTTATGCATAAATATAGACAGGCTAAGCTAAATATGTTTGCAGATTTTATAGTGTTTAAAATGCAACTGTAAGTAATCGGAAACTTGAGAGGTTTGAACACCTATCGAGCTAATAATTACTACTAGGGGCAGAAAATTTATAAAATAAGAGATATCTATTTGAAACTGTGATACAGTCCCATATTGTTAATAAGGGACCAAAAACCGGAAAGCCGATTTGCTTTGATTTTCTGTCCACAGCAATATATACAAAGCAGGTAATAAACAACAGTTAGAGTAATATTACTGATCAGTTAAGTAGGTTTGATAAACAGTTGGTTTCGCGAGACAGGTCCATTTTAAGTACGCATGAGTGCCACATATGAAAGTAGCAAGATAGATAAGCCTGAGCACGACCCTTCCCCAAGAGAAGACTAAAATACTTCGAAAGAAGCAAAATAAAATTTCAAACAAAAACACAAAAACAGGAATTTACACAATTCTTAATTTATTAAGAGAAATAAAACAGGAATTGAAATTGCATATATCATTATTGAAAGACGTCAAGGTGGACACCAAGGATGTAAACGTAGAAATGATTCAGCGCAGAGACGAAATGAATGAATTCAAGGAATTCAAGAGCTGAAAAAAGACACAGATACTCACCACAGTAAAATAAAAATGTTGGAAACTGAAATTGAGAGAGCAGAGAAAGATGAAGTGAAAAATTCGGACCATTTCTATCATACAAGTTTGTCGAACATTCGGAAGTTGTAGAGGGATGGCATTTAGGAAAGTCTACATCCAGTATCGTGGGCTGATCTACAGAGAGGTCTTGCAATTGACATGGTCTTGAGAGGACTCAGAATTGGCATGCTTTGTGAGAGGTCTCAGAGTTGGCATGCTCTGTGAGAGGTCTCAGAGTTGGCATGCCAGTTGGGAGACCTTACAACTGGCTTATAGCCCCTACCCATGTTTATGTGAACTTTTTGTTTTAAAACACTCAAGTAAATGCCCTGTGAAATATTGGACACTTTTTAATAAGCGCACTATAAATGGAGAAACACGTTACTTTCGATATTTGTTGATAAGACTATTTTATCATTTTACACAAGCACTTAGGAAACTGACATTAAAATTACAGTACTGAATCTTACTTACGTTATGCTCTCTTCGTTAGCGCCAGTAATCTGAACCAACCGCTCCTTAGCTCCAGGATTTACTACAGTCGAATATCATTATATTAATATCGAATGAATACTTATGTGATGCTATTAGAAACGCACATAAGGCTTTTTCACACAAATTAGTTATTACACAAATGCTCATTAGCTGCTGACAAGTTAAAGGGGGTGGCAACTTAGGTCGGCGATTAAATGTATGTTGGTGTATGGTGAAAGTTAAACAACAATATATGCAAACAGGAAAACATTTTGTTATTTGATAGCTTCGTATACGATTACGGCAGTGACAATTCTGTACTCAGCAAGCCAAAGACATACATGAATACATTCATTATTTATCTATGGATTTTTTTCTTACAGGAATGCGGTAAATAATGGCGATTTCTCAGGTTAGTAGTGAAAAAAAGATGATTCAGCTCATACCTTGTAGTATGCAGACTTATGGAACCGTACACTACAAACTTGTGTATGTAAATTGGTCAAACGTCTATGAAATCGTTAAAATCAAAAGCTCGCCAATTTTGACCCAACAAAGTTAAAAATCACTTTAAAATAAACAAATCTTAAAATACTGTTAGGGATCCTGTAGAGCAAGGTTTTAACTTTAATTTAGATATTTGGCGCCTTCAAAGATCATAATTTTGAACCGAGCTTTTAAGCCATACCCATTTTTAGGGTTTTTCAGACACCAAATGAAAACGGTCAACTTTGCAGAAATGTTACTGGACGCCTTTTTTGCCCAAAATGATCAAATAAAAAACTAAATAAAAAAACCGGGCGAAAAAATATTTGTAACTTGCGGTATTTCATTTCCATCTAACTTATGCTGTGCTGGTATGAAGACACGCTCCGTCAGCAAGCCGTCTGTTTGGACCCCAGAAAAAAGCCGTACGAGTAATTTCTGGTATTTGTTACAGAGATAACAGCAGGGAAGGTTTAAAGAGCTGTAGTGTTTTAACATTCCCTTGTATGTATATTCTGCAGAGTTTTCTGTACTCAACCTGTCAGAGATTGAAACACATCAGCAAATTAATGCGTATGATACCAGAAATAAGGACATGCTCAGCCACTGGTATCTTAGGGTGAAAGGGTGTCAAGATGGTTATTGGGGTATAAAATTTTATAACAGCTTACCACCAGTGGTAAAAGCTCTTCCCGATGATAGTTTTAAAAATCTTATTAAATACTTATAAAAATTCCACTATAATCTGTGGATGAATATTTTAACAATACTATTTTAAATTTTAATGTGTGCTTATGATGATGCGTACAGTCTATAATTGTATAAACTTGTACATTCCTGATCTGTGTAAGTCATAAGACAGAAACACCAATAAATTGATTTTGATCATCATAGTCTATCTCATCATCATCCACATCATCATAATCATCTATCATCATCATAATCATCATCATCGCCCATCATCATCATGATCATCATCATCATCATCATCATCATCATCATCATCATCATCATCATCATCCATCATCGTCTATCGTCTATTGTCATCCTATATAGTGAGAATGCCGGTGGCGATGGCGTCAATTATTGATGGAAAATAATTTGATTATCAAAACATAACAGCAAACAAAGTTTGCTTGATCAAGTATCAACTTTGTCAAAGACATTGGAACAAACATCGCCATCGGTTGTTGATATCAACAAGCAACCAATTGTATTGCCATGTTATCAAAACAGCGCAGCAAGAAATCTACCAACAAGTATAGTGATGTTATAAAGAAATCATCCGGTTCATCAATTCAAAAGCCAGTCACAACGAATGCAGCCAAGAATACTAGCAACACTGTAACGAGACAGCATGTGGCACTTTCAGTCGAGCAGGCGCTGTCGTCAAATGGTATTGCTGCACCAGCAAAAGCGTCCACGTCCACTCCAACTCAACGGTTTGGCGACGACGCAAGCACAAGTAGGTGGCAATTTGTTGATCGACGATGCAGAAGACCCAATCTAATAAGTTTAGAGCCGAATCTATCCGAAAACAAAATGAAGTGAGATGGATTAACCATTTGGTTAAGGCTAATTTACCCGAGGCTATTGTTGAATGCATTACATCAAAACATCTTGATATTCATTCGCAATTTAAAGTGACTATATCAGAAAGTATGCAGGTTAATCGGTGAACGCTTCTAAGGTGTTCTTAATCCAAAAACGGCTGGTAAGGTGTATAGTGGGAGTAAGCAGCTCTCATACTAGCAGAGGATCATTCAAGAGGTTGAAGATAATGACACTACTATCGCTTTTTCTTTACAAAATGGCTATCTATACTTTTTAAACAAAGAGAATTTCGCCTTGAATAGTCACAAGCCGCAACTCGCAGACAAAATGACATCCATATACCATTTGTGCGTTACAAGTTAGGCAGCTAAGCACCATGTATTTTAGGTCCAAACATGCCTGCCTGACTCCATGAAAAGAATCACTCCAATTGGACAATTTAAATATGATCTGAAAAGCTACTTCACAAGCAACTGTTTTTATGCAATAAAATTCAGTTTTTGAATATTGTTTTTATGACCCATTTCAACTTGTTTGTTGTTGCATGTTATTAGTTTTTCCTTAATTATTTTGTACATATGTATTCATTGTATTTTTGACGAAATCCATACATGTTCATACATGTCTGAAGGAAAATAAATTCATTATTATTGTTATTATTATTATCATCATCATCATCGTCTGTCGTCTTCGATATTTGAATTTGTCATCGTCCACGCGTCATCGTTATCGTTGGCGTCATCGACATCGTTATCAACAACGTCATCGACATTACCGTCATCATCATCATAATCATCATCCTGGGATTTCGTACGCTGGTAACATCTGGGCCACGTCAAGTGATATTTATAGAGTGTGACTCTGAGTGGGAATGAAATTCATCATGACCTTTAATTTCCTATATCATTAAGAACTTTCTTGTAATCTGACAAGTGTCTAGAATCACTGCCTTCTGCATTTGTATGCAAGTACCCTTTGGAAGGTTCAAAACCATTAAATTTTCCGTTAAGGTTATTATTATTATTACTATCATTATTTTTAATTATTATCACTATTATCATTACTGTTATTTTTTATGCTTGTTGGTATTACTGTTGTTGACAACTGACTACCAAACCCCTTTCTTCAAGGCTATGCTGTATAGGTGTATAGTGAAGAATATGCACTAGAGTCATCCAAATAGGAAATATAAGGTTCCGTTCCACAGGAAAACATTTTTAACAGATCAAGAATCTGTACAACATCCTGTATACTTCAAAAATTATATAATGTTCATCTGAAGTATATGAGTCCTTTATGAATAGCTGGTATAACTTGTTCCGTAAAACTATTTTCAGGATGGGTGGTTTAAGTAAATTAATCAATGGTTAAAATGACAAAAGCGTTAGAATACTTGTTGCAATAATGCCTGATATTTTACCTCTCTGAAACGAGATTATCGTTTCGCTGAGCTCTTCTATCATATGAACTCGTCTTCCTTTGATTCCCATAACTATAAGACAAATATAAAAGTGAAGAAAATGTAAGACTCATGCTTAGAATGTCTTCATAATCCATCGCGTCTTATCTCACCAATAAACTACTACTGAAAATTTAACAATGCTTAGGCGGTTTTGTGTCCTATCAAAGTAAAAAATAGAAAGCAGTATTTTGGTATCTACTTCTTATTCTAAAAATTATGATTATCTCGGCATACTTCTGTAGAGTAGGACAAAATGTCTACAAAAGGCCATCATGATTGTAAAACAGTTAATTCACAAGAAAAAATTTAATAGCCTTAAAATTATCATCTGAAGGATTTTTCTACTCGTAACTCTGATATCACTGCAATGAATTTCAAAAATAATGTACTAAAACTTCACAGCATATCCCTTGAAATTTCACCAAATAGGTGAAACCGTTCTCTAGGAGACGTCGTTAGAAGTGATAGACTGATAGACAGACCGACAGACCAGGTCGAAAGACGAATATAAGTGACATGAATTTTCGTGATAGACCTTATGAAACAAAAGAAATCTCAACTGAAATTTGTTTAAAAAAAGATAATCCTCTAGCCACTATCACTAATCACATTCTTCGTTGCCTTCCCGATATCGTATTCTAATCTATCATGGATTCGTTGCTCACGAAAATGGCCAATAAGAATAGTCGCTTCAAGCGTTTTCTCATATCAACTTACCTTTTCCTGAATCAGCATTTCTTATTACCACCTCATCTTTGCAGTATTTCTTTCCGGGTATGCGGGTCGGTTTTGCAAATTTTCCAGATGATGTGATCACTTCACCAGCAGCTAACAGTGGAGGCGATGGTGATATCATGGAACTGACTGAACCAGTCATGCTGGTTATCGAGTCTAATATATCTGCCTAAAAGAGATATAATTTGAAATAATTTCAACAAAATTTTTATTTTTTGTTTATTGCCCACAACTCCGCTGCCACTGGATCGATTTAAAAAACTAAAGCTTTTTTGTCCTTGGCATGGCAGTAACCTTATGTGAACATTTCATCAAAATCCGACAGGTACTTTCCAAATTATAACGTAGTAAAGGATTAACGGACAAGCCGACAGTAGGAAGCGTAGGAAGTAAAAATACTTAGAATATTTACAAGTTTCTTACCTGTGATGCCCCACACTGATTTGACTTCTTCTTATAATAAACATTCATTCCTTCAGTATCCTTCCAACCTTTGGCTCTCAATTCAATAAGTTCCAGCAAATGCAACCGTGACAGTATTTCCACTTGCACGTCATCTTGCGCCTTGTCTCTGAATATCTTGAAGGCGTGATCTAACTGTTCTTTGAAGAGGATCTCCAAATACATACCATATACCTGGACAAATTAGCGATTTTAGGGTTACGTCACGGGGGGGTCTAAAATGCATCCAATATCATCATGTATATCATCATATATATATGATATAAAAAAACAAAAAAATAGGAAAGAAATGGGCAAAATCCGCAAAAAGAAGGAAAGTGGATTTGAGCAGAAACTATGATATGTAACCAGAGCGATACGTATTTCTGCTGGTTGGCTTCGGCTTCATCAGGCCCGAAATGAATGCACATATGTAACTACAAAAGTAGATACACATGCCCATACATCCGGGTGTAACCCGATATATATATATATATATATATATATATATATATATATATATTATCGGGATAATTAGGCTCAAGTAGATTAATTGTGCTTTCCATGAATAGGAGATAGTTTTACAAAATAAATAAATAACAACTCTTGTTTTCTCTTGAAACTTTATTCCCAAGCTGTCGATAAACTGTTACCATCATCAGAAGCTACAAATAGATTAGAAAATGACAACTACATTCGACTAGCTTATCTTAAAGTACTTACATAGTAAGTAAGAAAGGTGCTGAATGTTCTTATAAAAGTGGTGGATGAAATATGTCAATGCGTATTCTTTCATTAATATTCTAGAATTTCTTTTCCATAATAATATTTCACTTTTAATAATAAAGTCTTTTTATAGACACATGGTTATCCAATGGGATCAGTGTTATCACCAATCTTGGCAAAATAATGGATGATTTGGTTGATATTGTTATTCAGGTATTGCCTTTAACCTGTTCTTCATAAAGATATATGTATATGATATTATTGTTTGCCTTCCATTGTTGATGTTTTTAACAGTTTTTTTTTACACCGAAGCAGGCGAGCATGCGAAAGTCAGGGCCAGAGCACCACGGGTGCTATAAAATCATGAGTGGGGTGACATCTTCATATTTAGCGAAATTAGGAAAGATCTAGGCAGGATGAAATTTCAAGTACTGCAGATGCATAAAACCAAAGGGCTGCTACAATTAGTTAGGAACGGAACCTTACGCTCGTGGGCTAGTGCGATTTAAGTTTTATGATATTGGTTTAACCTGGGCTCAACATTAAGCCAAAGCTCAACCGTCAATTTTGATAGCTTAACACAGACTCAAGGGAGATTTAAGTTGGTTGTTATTTGTGAAAATCTTTTGGAAGGAAATTATGGATGAGCTAATTCGAATGTTTATCAACGGGTAAGACATTGAAGAACTAAATATAAAATGACCACTCCCGCTTTTGGCTGCTTTGCTATGAAATAGTAAGCAGCGTACCAGCACACGTGATGGTCTTTCAAAAATTAGTCCTTTCTGGGACTAATGATCTGAGCTTATCTTGCAGGAGTATTTCATCATACCTAAATGTAAATTTTGCTTAACATGTATATAATTACCTTTAGATGTTGGCATAGATTTATGACACTGTCTTTGTAAGCCAGCTTGTTATCGCCAACGTTTGAAGCTAAAAGTGCGGCAACTTGCTCTACAGCTTGCATAACGTTTTCAACTGCAAATAAAAAGAAAGTTCACATATGAGTAACTCGAGTAATTGTACAATTATGTCGGACTGCAGCAAGAAAGCCTTAAGCATAGTTTGGCGTTAAAGTGTGATAAAACCCTTCTTAAACTGTCTTTAGATACGTTACATAACCCAACTGCCTAAACTTTAAATACATTAGTCGCCACGGGTATTTTTTTCTTCAGCGTCGTTGTACCAGGACCTGCTTATGCCTGGACTTTACACATTGGATGCCTGGGAACGTTCAGCTAAAACGGTAAGGCTCATTCATAAAAATGAAGGAACAAATTATCATATGAAAAATTAACAGGAATAGTTGACAGTTACGGTTGCAAAAGATGTGGTACCGTCGCAAAGAGTGGGTACCAGTGCGTGAGGTGTAAATCCTTATTTCACAGTGAATGTTTTAAATACCTGAAGGACATGCAAAAGTTGGATGAAAAAAATATACTTTGTTGTCAATCTGGCACAGTAACCAATTTGACCATTCGACCAGCAAATATTGAAGAAATGGATAATGAAAGCAAAATATTGTTCTGCAGTATGAATGAGAGCAATGAGGACATTATTGTCTGATTAAACATAAAATTCTGTTGATTAAGTCCCAACAAAAGCATCAATTGTTTGTATGATCAAATATCTTCCTTGACGACAATGCTAAAGCGAGCAAGATGACCCATTGCACATAAAGAACATGATACAAACTGCAGATCAGTTCAAGTCTCTAGCGAAGGAAACAAACCTGAAAATATTTTCTACCACAAAAACCCCAAGAAGACAAAGCCAGGCAGCAGGTGGCCACAGCTGTGGAGAAAGTGGAAGCAAAATCACAGAAGAACCAAGGACATCACAGTAGGCAAATCAATCTGATGATGGTATCGACCGGAACGGCTCCTCTATGTGTCATGCATAGGTTTAATAGGTAATTTGCTTCAGCAGTTTTTATGTTAGTTAAACAGGAGCCATCTCTGTAATATACTGCTGGCACTTCCCATTTAAAGTTAGAGTATCGTATCGAGGCGAGCCGACGTTTCCGAATACACTACCGGGAGGGCAGGGAAAGAATGGCTACGGACTTATTGTATGGACCTTTTTGACTGATTTTTTTCTCAGGAGGTCTAGTTCATGCTGAACATAATCCTTTATGAACTGAAAACAGCGTTTTGTGGGAAGTGCAGAGTCAACCAACTCGACGCATTTTTTTTTAAAGTACTTGTTTTATGCATGTATGTAACTTCTCTCTAACTCTGAACATAATCATTTATACAGCTAATGTAACAGTAGTTTGGTGATCTTTGATCAGCCTTCTATTTATTCTCACCTGTAGACAAAACTCCATCTTGACGCAGTTTATTAGCTAGAACTTGAGCCTGACTGTGTGATTTCATTAGTTCATACCTCTTCGGATTTTTCAAACGTGATGACAAGGTATTAGACATCTTCTTATCTGAAATAATTGTAACAATACAAAGTAAAAGCATAACAAATAAACAGGAGTTGCTGTTTGCTTAATGTTTATTAATATATAACTGGTCAATTGACTAATCCAATTAAAGGGGTAAATAACTCAAATATATATATACATATACATAAATAATAATTTGACTGATACCACTTTCTGAATATGTGTATCAATTTTATATGTACAGTAATTAAGAAATTTTTTTAAATATTTATATGATATACCTAGAATGGGGTCCATTTTAAGGAGCTGTACTCAAGCGAAATAAAAAGTGTTTTATTGCAAATTTGTCAGAGAAAGAACAGCATATTATAAAACATAAAATCCTTTTGCCATGGAGCAGATGCCTGCTATGAGGTCGGAATAGTCCAACCTGAAGGAAAATGTAACAAAAGATCCATAATAATTTATATTTAGTGCTTTTGGAGACGAGTGAACATAGTCTCCTCTGAATTAATGCAGTCCCTCCTAAACTTGTCCTGGAGATATGGTGGGGCTAAGGTTAGTTGATAACTGCCAGCACTGAGATACCAATATTACAATACAACATGAGCAATCCTGAATCGTAATGTATTATATTTTTCTAGCTTAGTTTAAATAAGCTCATAATGATTGGGTGTTTTTACAAGTCACCTAACTCTCACACATTCATTTTCCAATTCAATCATCTAATTCAAAAAATTTTGAAAAATAATAATCATTTGCAGTGATTTCAGTATGAACTTCGATTCAGTGAACTTGGATTAATTAATTAATCACTTCAATAGTTGTGGGTTGCAACAGAAATCATAAATTTAGTAGAAGTTTTTGAAATGTTTAGATTACCTCTTCACATAATGATATTAAAAATGATTTTAATTCAAAGTTTGACAAGTTTCAGAATATGTTTGTGGATGCCTTTGAGAAATGCTTTCTTATAGACATGACTATAAAGTTATCAAAACGAATCCTAATAATAAAAATAAATGCTAAATCAGTGACTTAATAGACCCCAATTTTTAAAGGAGATTCATGCTACTTGTAAATCTTACAATGATAAAATGATAATGGATTGACGTCTTACTACACAACATTACTTAGGGATCACAAAAGTATATTGTTTGAATGCACAAAACTTGTATTATGATCATAAAATAATATTATTTAGCAGTAAATGTAAATCTGCTTGGTAACTTATCAATACAACAATTCCATCTTCTGGAAGTACTGTTTGCTGATGCTGGAAATGTGTTTTCTACATCAACTGTTGGATCTGCAAATGGTTTTATTGACTTTTTTAGCAGTTCAATCAACAAACTCACAAGGTCTATGAAAATCAGTAAGAAATATGTACCAACCCCAACTAGACAGAAAATGATATATGTATTAATTAACTCCCATGCCAACTGACTAGAAAGTGTGATAGCAAAAAATTTTTTTTGATGATACATGACATATTATAGATCACAAAAAACCAAGTCACTAATTTTCATTGGTCTGTTTGTCTAATAATTTTGTCCTATAATATGGGAAGTATGGCTCAGATCTCAGATTATGATGAAACTACAACTCCAAAAATTAAAGAACTTGTTTTTAAAAATCGGCTCAGTGACGGCGGAGTGAGGAGCAAAAGCGAAAAAAAAAGAATAACAACAAAAATTGCTCAAACTTAGTTTTTTCAATGACTTTTTAGAGGGGTCAAAATTAGGGGTTGGGAGTTGTAGGGGGTGGGGTAGAGTATATTTAGACAGATGATTATCATGAATAGTCATCTGTCTTGTAGACCTATATATAAATGATGGGCTTTATTCATTTTCATTATTCAACATTGCTGACAGCTTCTCTGAAAATCTGCATCTAGCTCTTTCTAAACATTTTTGCACTAAGGGTGAAACTATCCTTTTAGAGGTGGTGTGCTGCTAAAATTTACTATAAATATGATGCAATCATTAAAAAGTCACTAGTTGGTACAAAAAAAATGGCTACTGAAAATTAGCTGCTAACTTCATGCGAATGCTCAGATGAATTCGCTCCTAGAAACTGGCTGCTAGTTTCACACTGGTTATGCCACATCAGTTTATTGTTTGCCTGCATAAAATATGTATACCTTTGAGGCTTGATAACTATTGAAGATAAGCCTTACATTGTTTTTGCACATTAACATCTTGAGGAGGTTGTCCTTTGGTTTAGGAGAAATATTTCCAAAATTCATTGTCCATAAGGATGTGCATTATCCTTTGTAATTTGCTATAAATCTTTAGATTAGTGGCAAATAGTAGGTTTTGACAGTGAAGGGGTCAAATTACAAATAGAGAATAGAAACAGTAGAGTTAATCTGCAGCACAGGAGCGAAAACAGGTTAACTCGCTGACCAATCACCATCAACAGTTGTGAAGCAATGTTCATGTTCTGTTAGACCAGGGTTTTGACGGGGGTTGGTAAAGAACTTGAAAAAAACTGAAGGCGCATTGATTTGAAGGGTAATGCAATGGATACCTTTTTTCCTCGCTCTTCAATAGTCACAAGGACATTCACTCTCTGATGTAGACGACACAACTCTCCACCTCTGACCCTGACATCTTCTTTAACAATTTCGGGGGGCGCTAGACAATAAGTCGGCAGTAGACGAAAAACATTTGAGAACCTCTGCGTTTCATATAATACAGGTAAGCTATGTTTCTGTGAAGAATGCGAAATTTACTTACTTGAATCTAACTTTTCAAGTTGAATCAAATATAGTCTGATCCTGAGCTGAATCCTTTGGCAGACTCCGAGTAGGCACACTAGTACTTTACACCACAACTATATACTTCACTTCATTTGTTTTGGCATAACCCCACAGAATGTAATCCACTCTAGTTTATTTTAACGAATAAAATTCGGCCCGAGTAAAGGTAACACTACCACGAAATCAAACTGTTGAAATATGCTCTGCTAGGCTCTATCTAATGTATTTTTCACGACTATCCATTACGTTTTGACGTCTACTGAGGTGAACAGCTGATCACAAAAGCGACATCTTTGTACTAGTATCCGTGTTGCCAGGTCTGGTGATCTTATGAATAATCTGGTGATTAGTGAAAAACTTTTTAAAAATAGCAATTTCAGGTGTTTTTTAAATTCCAATCGATTTTAAATAATTTTAACAATCTGTCAGCTATCAAAAATTACTGAATTTCCGAACCGATACCGCATTTCGCGTATTGTATCGTTACGTATCGATCTAGTCTTTCCATCGCTACGGTCTACGATATCTTTCTGGTTTATTCACCTAAACCGTTGTGGAATTCACCACAGTATTTTGCTTTTTCTTGTTTTGGTTTTCGTCATTTCGTTTCGTGAACACGTTATCCATTATCTGATATGAATCTATGATTACTTCAGGGCTATTTTATAATCTATATTTTTGAAAGTATATGGTGTTCAGCATTTTTTTAATCCTATCAAACTGATGCAGTTTGTTGTATTTTAAAATTTGCAAGAAGAAAGGTAATTAATATGGTAAATAACAGATTTACCTATTACTTTTTATTTTTTTATTAATTGTAGATTAGTAATTATCACGAAACGATTTTTGAAACCTGTCGAAAAGCAAATAGATTTAACCACGGTACAGCCTAATAGCTCTAGCTCATCATTACGTATGTCTATAAATGCGGTTCCATCTAATTCCGCTTTATATACATCTGATTCTGATTCACCAGGCAATGATTCAGAAGAGCCTCCGTAGAAAAAAAAGCTAGGCTCACACATATAATTCATCTTGGAAACAACATAATGAATTTAAGCATTGAGTTCAGAAAAGCTTTTATTGGCAGTAAAAAAACACAACGCGTCAAAAAAAACAAGAAACAAACATTCTTAGCTTAAAAAACAGTCCGATTTTCGTCAGAACTTGTTTTTTCAAATTTCTAATGAGAAAATTGTTAAACAGGATAAAATGAAAATAGAGTGCTTTATTACAGATCCTATCAATTCAGCGGATCATTTGTCTGAGTTGGTCAAAAGTATATGTAGTCTGTAATGAACTCTCCCCAAGTTTCACAACTATCATGCAGCAAGACCAAGTTTACTGCAGTAATTAATAATGTAATAAGTAAAATAAGCTTTGAAACTTTAGTAGATACACTGAAAAAAGGAAAATTTTCGTTGCTTGTCGATGAATCTACAGATAATTCCGCTATAAAAAATTTAGCAATGGTGACACTAAAGATGAATTTGTTGCGTTAATTTCCGTTAACAATGCAAGTGTCGAAGGTTTATATAATACCATTATATCTTTTTTTTTAATATGTATTACAATCCTTACATTGGAAAATAAAAATTTGTTTTGGTAAAAAAATAGATTTTTTTTATAATAATTCTGTTGTGGGTATTAAAAAGTAACCCAAAATGATACAAAAACAAAAGAATAAATGTATTCAAATTGTGTCTTAGGTAGGTGCTAATATAATGATATTTTACTACCTTCGCCAGGGTAGCAGGAAATTTATAGTGAATTGTGTTTTATTATACAATTTTATTATTAAGTTGTATACAAACATTACAAATCAATTTATTTCCGTTTGCAACTAGCGATACAGATTAAAAATTAACTTTTGGAGATTGATGATTTTTTTTGAATCTGGTCATTTTTCACTCCAATTTCTGGTGAATTTTATTTTTTTGACCTGGCAACACTGCCTTCAGCTGTGCCTTCACACTCTTCACAAATTATAATTATTGTGCCTGATTGTGTGTCCAGCTTCAGTCCTTGTGATTGTTATCTGTTACTTTATTTTCTGCAATGTCTAAAGCAAAAAAGGTGCTGGAAGAAGCCCGAGAATTACAAAATCCTGAAATGGATTTGTGTGACCGTGGCATAGGCACGTTTGAAGAGTTGTCAGGTTTATGTGAGTGTATTTAAAACTTTGATTGCCATTTTTGGTAATGGTTAATTCATTTGTTATGGTTCTGGGAGCAATCAACGAAATCAGATCTAATTTATAACCATGCAATGTCGGATACGGTTTTCGTAATTATTTACCATAGTATACATAGGTATACGTATATATACATATTTTATATCTTGACGTCATTTGTATTTCCGGAGTTTCTGCTAGATTTATGCACACCTTGCTCAATCAGATGCTTGCTTCTTGCATAAGAAGTTAAGCCTCTAGGACTTAGATATTTATGAACATAGTCAATTTATACAGGGTGATTCACAAGTTGTGACCAAAAATGAGACACCATACACCAGACCGCATTTTAAGGCGGGTCTTCTATGCGACATTCTTTCCTTGAGGTCTTCATTAAATAGATACGGGGTGTTGAAGTTTAAAAAGAAAAAGTATATATGTTTTTTAATATCTTCAAAACTGTCAACTGGAATGAACTAAAATTTGGTTTGTGGATTTACCTAAGTATTGTTCACATTCAAAAGCATTTACTTAGGCCCATATCGTCAGTCGTCCCTACAATTGTAGGGCGCGTTTATGGCCTCCTTGATTGTCATCCTCCTTTCTCTCCTTCAAAAATTTCTAGATTACACTTGTCCCGTGTCAGCGTCAGCGCTCTCCTATTGTGAAGATATGTTTTCTTTTTAAATTGTAGGAAATTTCAGGCTGATAAAACATGATATAACTCAAAAGCAAGCACAATTTGATGCAAATAGATGTTTGTGACATAACCTCAAAATAGAGTTCTGACACGGAGAAGCAGAAAACTATGACAATCAAGGAGGCCATAAAGGCGCCCTACAATTGTAGGGACGACTGACGATACGGGCCTTAAAATTAACGTGCACCAGTGGCGGAGATACAGGGGATTAGTGGCACTATTTTTAGTACGCCAGTCTTTTTTCCCAACACACAATTTTTCGAATTTTACCTTCAATTTGCTACAAATAATTACTCTTGTTTTTTCCTGTTTTCGTAAAAACAAATTAGATCATTCATGAATTGGGACCTCGGTTGGCCGCGTGGGTCAGAGTGTCGTGCTACTGATCAGCCGGCCGGCCGGGCCGCGAGTTCGAATCTCGCCTTCGCCATGGATGTTGTGTGTTTGTTTTAGGCAGCAGCGGTGGCCGCAGTAGTAGACTCTTCGGTCTCCTGATCAGCAGCCGTGCGCTGTGCGGGTTCGAGTCCCGTCCCAGGAGAAATGTTTCTCTTGGCCATGGATGTTGTGATTGTCCGTAGGTGGTAGATGGTCTCTGACTGTCGAACGTGGAGGTACCACCCGGCGGTTCTCGTAGGCGGAGCCAGAATGTGTGCATGTTGCATGCACACGTGTTCCCTCGCCAGAGTCCGTGTGGCGTCCCCCCTTTCCCATGTATCCCCCATAGCCCCACGGTACCCAATGGGTGCTTAGGCCTTAGGCCTTCGTGGTAGTTGGAGTATAAAAAAAAAAAAAAAAAAAAAAAAAAAAAAAAAAAGAACCGAGATACAATTAGTGTCAAAATAAAATAGGAGGCCTTGATACCAACTTGACGTTTTTTGGAAGATAGTTTGTCAAAGTTATGTATTATTATACAGTTGTTATCGTTACTATTTTTTTTTTTTTTGTAAAAGTCAAAGTTTTTTTTTGGTGATTTCAATACCCATAATGAGCTCTGATTAGGCTCAAACAAGACGGATGCAGCAAGTCGTGCTGTTGAAGCGTTCGGTTTTACCTAATTACTGACCCTGCTGGATGTTTTTCTGACCACGCAACCTGTCCTTTACAGTACTGCTGTCCTTTCTCCCCTGGGTAACTCAGACCACAGTGTTTTGGAGGTTAGGTTTTAGTCAGAACCTGCTGTGGCAGCAAAAACTCGCCCAGGGCGCAAAATTTAGCATTAAGGTGCGTTTACATATGAGCACGCACGCACTAAGCATACGCGCACGCATTCGTTCGCGTGCGTGGAGAGTGTTTAGACTGAAATTCATTTTCCAACGCATGGGCTGATCCAGTCGTTCGCGTACGAGGTTAACATGGAGAATATAGATATAGCCGCGGCAACATTTATTATACTGTATAGTTTAATTACAAGAAAAGAAAATCGGAAACGCAGATATCGTCTATCGAAATTCTACGCAAAAGAAATAATAGTTTATCAAAGAAATTAGTATCAGACAGTCTGTATGATAGCTTCAGAAATATTACGAGAATGGCCAAGGCTGACTTTGCAGTATCTTTTCAGTGTCATTGCTTTTTTCGCGGCGAAATGAAGCCATCTGGCTTTTAATTTTGTTCGGTGCTTCGCAACAGTCTAAATTTTCAATACTGCCATTGATTACTATATAGTTGTTTCCAAGCACCTTTTTTTTCGATTTTGAGTATTACTCTTCGCGTTCCACATTTCTGAAACTTTTTCAAGAGTTTTAAAACTTTAGTATTATGCAAATTCCATCATTTACTGGACTAATTACAATCAACTCTTCAATCCTGTGCGCTACGTTGTCGTTTCCGTCCACACTGAGTATTCACGAACCCATTAATTCCTTTGGGCAACGTCTTGAACCGATACCATGCGGATCGCGTTCGCTGTTGCTCGCACACATGAAGATACTGCGTGAGCGCATAGCCATTTACACTTGAGCATTCGCGGTGGATCATTGCGTGCGTGCTCAGATCTAAATTCACCTTTACGGACATGCCAAATGGCAGGGCTCAGACTTTTTCTCCGACTTTCCTTGGAGAGATGTTTGTTTCGCTGACGCGGATGCGTTGGTTGTCTGTTCATCAATAACAGAAATTATCCACGTTGGGATGGTGGAATTCATTCCGCACACAGTGAAAGTGCCTAAACCAGGGTCCAACGGCTGGTTTAACAAATCGTGTGACACTGCTCGCCAGCAGAAGATCAAGGCACACAGAATCTTCTTACAAAACCCCACTGTAGAGTACATACAAGCCGACGTCGAGTCCAGAAACAATTATAACGAAGCGGTCTGCAATGCCAAGATAATTTATTGTCAGGATATAAATTGGAAATTGAATATAATTAAATAATTAGTTTAGTTATTTGACAAATTTGCATCCTATCGAATGGCAAAGTGCACGAAAAAACAAGTTCTGTGGCTGACTAATAACATTAATTTTGTGTTGAAGCTTAGAGATTACTAAATCACTGCTTATGGGAAATCAAAGAGTCGTCAGCAATTGAAGGAGTACAAAGAGTTACGTATTATAGTAAAATTAGCAACTGATAATGCAAAAAAGATTCATTTTGAACAAAAAATTAGCAGCACCAGCTATTTAGAAATTAGAAACCAATCAACTTGGCAATAATACACCCATTTTATTTATCCCACAAGATTAAGCTGATGTTGAAATGAACCGGTACTTTACGTCTTTATCTAGTGCAAGTATAGGACCTGAAGCTGACACAATTTCTTTTTATAAAAATGTCAAACCTAATATACCCCCCCCCCCCTTGATTTCGTTCTGGCGTCCACAGATCAGCTGAAAGATATTTTTTTTAACTTCAAAACCAAAGCATTTGGTGCTGACTTGATAAATATCGAAATGCTGACTGATATCTGGTCCTTAGAATGGTACCTCCTTTAATCAAACCTGTTAGCAAAATCTAGCGATACTGCAAATGTTTTACTTTAACATTTAATCACGACTTTCTCTTGTTATACAAATTTTAATTCAAGTAGTAATATTTTTACTGGGTATTCTATTTTCGTTGTCACCAAGCATATTTGATATCCGGACATTCGGCCCTTTAAGAAGCAAATCCACTAGATCTTGAAAATGATACAGCCATTACTTGATCCTATTCCAAGTAGTTTTCCGTCATTCTGTGATGCAGTGTTAATAATGATAACGTATTGATACCTTCAAAAATATGAATAAATGGTGGCCTCTTATTTCCAGTAAATATGACTTACATCACTCGTCTGACCCTGAGTCACAACAAACTAAAATGTAAGTATTAAAAGTTCAGGTTAAGTTAATTATCATCTAACAAGTGTCTTGTCGTAGCTGTGCCTCCCGGATTAGCAAATCTCACAAATTTAGAAATATTAAACTTGTCAAATAATCTAATAGAAGAGCTTCCTCTTTCCCTATCGTCAATGCCAAAGTTACGGATTCTTACTTTGACGATCAACAGACTATACAACTTACCGAGGGGATTTGGAGCATTTCCGGTACTAGAAGTGTTGGATTTAACGTATAATAATCTAAAAGACTCATCTTTACCTGGAAACTTTTTTATGATGGGTGAGTATGAACAGTAATTTCGGGTTTCGTTGGGAGACTTACCACTCTCAAAAGGAAAGAGGTTCTATCACCACTAAGCAGCAAATAACATTGGAGCTGCTGAACAGTTATTCTACACTGGTACTCAACTTCCGAATGTTCATACCTTGTCCTCAACTGTTATCTTTTTAAGTAAACTAAAAAGAAATATGTTTAAAATCACATGAGGGGGAATTAAAGAATTTTTTTCAGGTTTTTCACATTTTTATCTAAGAATTAAAACGTATGAAGTGAAATAATATCTTGTATATCATTATGGGTTAAATTAGGGTGCGCAATTTAAATACTTTTCATATGCAGATTATAGAGGTCAGCTTTGTTTTGTTTGTTTCCCACTCCAATGTGGCAATAAAGAATTGTAATTCTGAACATTTATTTCGTAGAAGTGAATGAAAAATAATTTTAGTTAACAATGTAAAATCAAAGTGTGGCAATAATTATAGATCATAAAGGATACGGAATGTATATATGTATTTTCCGTTCGATGTGCTGATAGCTAGACAACGTGACTAGGCAACTTTTATAAAGCGTGCCCCAATTTTTGAATCGCATATTAAAGTTGTTTTTTACTTTCCACGTCTACGGGCGAGCAAGTGTAATAGCGAAAAACTTCGAAAATGATATATATTTCTTGGGTGTTATATGATATCTACACGAAAAACCATGTCACTCTTTTCCGTCTGCCTGTCGGCTAATCTTATAACCTGAAAAGTACCTTTCGGATTTTGACGACGTTTTTAGACAATGTTACTACAATGTCAAGGACGAACAAGCTATGTAGTTCTCGAAAATCGGTCCAGTGCAGTGGCGGGTAGAGAAAGGCCAAGAACAAAAAATAAATAATCAAAATTGCACAAACTTTGTTTTTTTTTGACGTTTCTGGGGATCCTGATTTTTGTAGGTGGATGCGGAGGGTATAGCCCTTGCATTTTTATCTAGTCAGAAAAAAAATAACTGGCTTAAAATGAATGAATAGTGTTCATTTCATCAGTAGCTATAAAAAACTAATTGTTGTTAATCATCGGGTCGAAGATGTTGTGGCGAGGTGAGGAGGGTGTAGCCCTTAGAACTTGGAAGAATATTCTCAGCAGACGGATCGCGTACCTACCGGACGCGTCTGCTCTTTCGCTTATTGAATAATTAATTGTATTTATTATTGTGAAAAATCAGTATTGGGAGAGATATGTTATCGTTCTGGTTTTTCGCAATTCAACAAGTATGAATAAATGACACTTAGTTGCTTAACATCAGGACTTTTTATTCATACAGATTTCTTTCCTTAGATCCAAAACTTAATGTTGAGCCGATTGTCAAAAATGACATTCCAATTAGATCCATTTTAGCTGATGTAGGTCAGTTTAGGTTTCTTGTGAGTGCATCAACAACGATCCTCCACTGCGACTCTTTCAATGTAGCTGATGCAGAACATTTTCACAACTCGTGCACGAACCTCATCACATATGAGGTCAAAAACAGATTTCCCTTTTGAAATGTTTCGCGATTATAATACTTCCTCGCCAGTAGGCGTGGAAAGTAAAAGAACAAACATTGGAGTGAAGGATGATGAGCTATGAATGAGGTTGTATAATATTGCTTAACTGATATTCCTCTATCTATGATTTGTAATCCGATGTCAAAAGTTTCATTGAGTACAGTTTAAAAAACAGGATATTTGAGAAAGTTTTAATAAGTATCAATTCCACACAACACAGAACCTTTATTCACAAACTTATGAATGAGTACATATTGAGCCGATTCATAAAACGTCAAAACTAGGGTCCATTCAAATTTTCAGCCAATCATCCTCCATTCGGAGGTTTGCAACTGGATAAGTATCACTAACACCGACATACCAACTATTCGCCTAACTGCAATATTGAGAACTCTGACTGTTGTTTTTCAGAAACATTAAGAGCATTATATCTGGGAGATAATGATTTTGAACGCTTGCCACCTGATATAAAGAATCTGAAGAACCTACAAATTGTGAGTACTCACTTTAAGCTCACGATTTATTATAATGCCCCAGACTAATCAAGAACGGATGTTAGTAATTGCGCTTGTATTTTTAGTCCCACCAACCATCATCTCTTTTCCTCGATGCGAAACGTTATCTGGTCACTTCCAATTTTCTCTTCTGGGTCACAGAAAGTCATTTGTATAATAGTTGATAAGGAGATGACAAGTATATTTTTTCTATACGGTCATTTATCATAATGATTTTCACTAACTGTAGAGTAACGTGAATTGCTACCACCATATTTGACAGTAGTAAAGGTATCTCCAATAAAAATCAAAATAAGACAATTTCTATCAATTAGCTACGTAATTCAGGGAGACGTTTTCTTGATTTGCTTGGTAAAATTAAATGTTTAGCCGATTTATTCAATATTTTAGCTTGTTTTACGAGAAAACGATTTAATTGAACTACCCGGAGAGATTGGTGATCTACCGAGATTGAGGGAATTGCATGTACAAGGAAATCGGTTGACGATCTTACCACCAGAAATTGGAAATTTAGACATGGCCTCAAATAAGTCTGTTTTCAAATTTGAGGGCAATGAGTGGGTGCCTCCAATAGCAGATCAATTACAGCTGGGTGTTAGTCACTTAATGGATTATTTAAGGAGTGAAACTTACAGAGTGTAAGTATAATTATTGTTGTAACACATTTTCATGGAAAAACCTTGTAGAAACTTCAACAGCCATAGTTAACGTTTTAAATGCAAACTAAACAGGCGGATTAAGGTCTTAAGGTGAATATTTTCTGAAGTATAGACATAAAAAATCACAAATATAGGCCGAAATAAACTATATTCCTTTTTTTTCGTATTTTTGCCTTTACGAATCCCTTTGTAATGGTAACCTTATAATGGAGAAACTGCTTTAGGTAGACTTTATTCCATAAATTAACAAATAATACAGGGTGGTCATGCCCAACTTACGAATAACTTTTGTTCTTTAAGTGCCATATTGTCAGTCGATCCTACAATTGTACGACGTCTTTATGGCCTCCTTGATTTTCATAGTCTTTTTACTGTTCCGAGTCAGCGTTAGCGCTCTCGTATTGTCAGGCTTTGCTTTCTTTTTGATTTATAGGAAATTTCAGGCTATATAACACAAGATATGAATGATAATCATGAACAGTTTGATGCAAATGGATGTTTGTAACATAACCTCAAAATGAAACGCAGACACAAAACAGTGAACTATGAAAATCAAGGAGGCCATAAAGGCGAACGACTGACGGTACGGCCTTTAAAGTTTAGAATCATGATTTTCGTGAGTAAAAAAATGTAAACATAGGTACAAACTGCCACAAACCCAATTAGATTAAAAATTAGTTGCTTTAAAAAATTGTAAATGAATTACTTTCTAATTTACTTATCAGGAAAAGAAATCGTTAGATACACTACCTGTTGTGAAGCCACGCTAAAGTTCCAGTCCTTTGTGGATATGGGGAATTTTGAAATATTACTAAATAATTAGCTGTCATTTTTGGGTAATGGATAATCGTGAAAAAGACCGTAGTTGACCTTAAAAATGACAACTCATCATTTGAGGATAATCAAAAAAAATTAACATAACACTCGAGATTGTGGTTTTATCTCCAGGTATTGCTGTCAGTGACAAGTCTAAATTGTATATTTGCCATTTTTTGTCGGATCGATCTGTAGGACCTTTGCTCTTGGTTAAAGACAAGCATAAATGTGGAAGATTCGCTAATTGATGAGCGGCGGTGAAGCGAAGTAAAAAATGTATGTCTGTGAGCTTACACAAACAGACGTATATGCATAGAGGCCTATTGCACATGTATGTGTAAGGGAGACGGATATGTGAAAGTAATTTCTGTAGTTTTACTGTCAAAATCCGTAAAAAGACATAAGCGCTGTCTTATTGTTGTATATTTCCTATATTCATTTTCCAAAATATATGTTGTGATGGAGTTAGGGCTGATCAAGTCTAAGGGTTAAGAAAACATACTCGATCGTTGTCTACAAATTGAATGAATTTTATTGTCCGAAATGAAGCTATTGCCTGCTTACACCATACAACACGCGCCGAAGTTCACTCACTTCTTACAATATTATTATACCATTACACTTCCCAGGGGATCGAGAAAAAACATCCATTATCTAAATCTTTGCAACTTGGCTCTGACTTATTACCTACTTCTGCAGCGACACAAACAGAAGTTTCGATCTCTTCCCTTTGGTCGCTGATTTTCGGTTTCCAGCCATCAGGGTGCTTAGAGCTATGGTATAAACAACCTACCTGGGAAGTATACCGCAAATAAGTCAACCACTGCGCGTGCTGGATGTACCATACCAGCATTTGAAACTTCTCTTCTTGGGAGTACATTTTTTGGGAAATTTGGAAGCGAATAATACCTTTACACTTCAATGCCCAAAAACAGGATGGAGCTGTGGAGCAACGGATATTGCGCTGTTGCCAGATGTATTTCCTTCGATTACTCAGGCTGCCTTTCTTCCACGCGCACCATCTCCAAATCATCTTCATCTTACTCCGTCATTTCGAAATGGGCAAGAATTATTTTACTCATACAATATTTGTATAATGTATAAAATGTGAAGGTGGATGCCAACCAATTAAGAGGTGATAGATTATGAATTTGCGCGGTTGCCATATTCTACAAGTAAATGCAGAAAAGCTACACAATCACTTTTAGTAAACTGACTACTGCTACCGGATACGAAACAAGGGCGCGGAAATGCATAAGTAATAACAATTTGCATTTTTCTTATTGAGCGAATGATTTTTTTTTTAATATATTTTTGTTTCACAAAAAGTGGATTTTATGTTTTCGTGTAATTCCGATGACGTTCTGTTTGATCTTATATTTTGGGTTACTGAAGAAAAAGTTATCGATATTATATGGCTTCGTATGACATACCATAAGAAAAAGCAGAAGTGGAGGTAGTTTTTCCAATGATTACACTGTTGCCAAATGTTTACATAAATTCTTTTGAAAAGCCACGAAGAAATGGAAAATTGAGCCATTTAGTAAACAAACATTTTTAGTAAAAGTACTGCAATCTTTTGATAACCTGGAAATTACTTGTATTGGGAGACTATACACCAAGATAAATGATATAACTATGAAAACAAAGAGGGTGTACTATCACCTCTTAAAAGGTTGTTATCGACGTTCTGAACACCCTCTGAATATTTATATTGCTTCTGTAATTGTTTATAATACTTTTGCAGATTGTACAGTCGATACCAAACTAACAAACCTCCTGTACCGCCACCGTGTGTCGACAAGGCCAAGAAGGTGTCAAGAATTCGCTGAAAATCTTATACAAAATCAATGTTCTAATTATAGTTCTGTTCGTACAGCTGTCGGTAATCGCGTCCAATATCCCGCCGCACAAACTCCGTCCACTCTGCTACGCTATATAGACGGAATTCACACGACCGGATCCCTAACACAGTCACCGACCACTGTACGAACAAACCTTATACCTAATACACTGCCTTAATGTTAATGTAATAAGAGTATTATTTACAACTTGATTAATTATAACCAAATGATGACAGTTCTTATAGTTACGATGTAGTAACATATTAACTTAATTTAAAGAAATGTATATCGTCAGTTTCACTTTAAATATATTTTTACCATACGTTAAACCGTTCTTTTAAACCCGACACGTAAAGTCGCCGACATGACGTTCCAGTGGTTTGGTTTGAGGTAAAATTGCAAAGCTATAGATAGGCGCAAACATCTACGCTCGGCGGTATCATGTGTACAAGGTGAATTTTTTAAAAACCCTGTATATTATTGTATTACCAAATGCGACCTTGAAATTTCCTACCTCGGTATCCGTCCCCTCTCCATTGATATATTTACCATCGCTTTAGTTTGTTTAGTTCATCTGCTGTGTCGTGTTGAGTAGACTTGTGTGGGTGGTGCTCGTCATGAAAATGGAGCAGCATCGAATGACCGTCGCAGCAGACTGTTTGGAGCAAGTGGAAAACGATCCCACGCTGCTTGATCGAGTTATTACAGGCATTGAGAGCTTGTTTTTACGACCCGGAAACCGAACGCCAAATCTCACAATGGTTGTCTCCGCAAGGGTCCCCGGCCGAAAAAAGCTCGCATGAGCAAGTCGAAGGTGAACACGATGATTATTACCTTTTATTATAGCCGTGGAATCGTCCACAAAGAATTTTTTCCATCGGGGCAAACCGTAAATCAAGTCTACTATCGCCAAGTACTCGAATACGAGTCAACAGGATGCGCACAGACATAGCAAACAACTGGTTCCTTCAACACGGCAACGCGCCGTGCCACACCTCCTTCAGCGTGTCCTAGTATTTAGCCTCTAAAGGGATCGCCGTGTTGCAACATGCATACTCGCGGACATCCTAGTCGAAGCGGTCCAGAAATGTTACAAAGCGTTTAAGACGCGCTGAAATCGTTGTATAGCTGCCCAAGGGGACTACTTTGGAAGGGATGGGAGAGTTGTACAGTAATTTTCAAATAAATACTGTTTTTATGGAATCATTCCCATTACCTAATTGTCACCCCTCGTATTATAGTCAGTTATTTCCAACAAGAAATTTCTATCATTAATGATATAATGTTGCTTAGCTTCGCGCGGAAGTAATCTGATCCATTATAAATGATGTTTGGATTACTAGTTGATGTGCACTTTATTAAGGGTCGTATCGTCAATGGTTCCTATAATTGTAGTCTCTTTTCATAGTTTTCTACTGTTCCGTGTCAGCTCTCTATTTTGAGGTTATGTCACAAATATATATTTGCTTCAAATTGTTCGTGCTTTTGATTTATCGTTTTACCAGCCTGAAATTTTCTACAATTAAGTCAGCTACCATAGGCGTATATTAACCGGGGTACTGGGAGTGCGATACAATACGGATATTTGTGAAGGTTTTTAAACCTTCGGAAAGCAGGTAGCTATTTCACAAAAAAAGGAAAGTGTAAGTTGGTATGAAAATAATGAATACACATGTTTATTGTCTTGTCTTGTCACAAAAAATTAATTTCACTAGTTGGCAATAATATGAGGCAAATTGTACGCTCCCTTTCAACTATTACTCATATAGAACTACATGTTAATTTAGTAAACATTTTCAGTTAAGTGGCATAGATTCAACAGAAACGAAGCATGATTAAGCGACCCGAACACAATTTTTCCAGTTTTGGAAGCGCTTGGTTGAGCTGTAGTAAGAAATACACCATGTACTTATGAGGGCAAGCGCAAGACATTCAAGACAAACATATTTATGGGCTCTGAATAATGGAAAGAGATCAGCGAATATAGTGTATACTTGATTGCTGCAGTACTTATGTCTTTGTAGTGATTAAATATATGTTCATGTTCAAGATTAATATGTTGATTACACTAGGAGAGAAATACGAATATTTTTTGGCTGATCAATAGATCATAAACTCAATTTTTGGAAAAAGTGTGGATTTTTTTCTGATATTTCAGTAATGGCAGTAAAATGTCAGCGAGCGTGCTAGCACAGCGCGCGTAACTTTGCATCTTGCAAGCTTTTCCGCAATGTGCCGGGATACTCCTTGAGACTGAAAATACATGCATTGTATTTATAGTGGAATGCATTAGGTTTATACCACAAAACATAGAAGCTGAATGTAGCAATTTTATTCAATTAAGGGTTTTCAAAGAAACTAGATAGCACTCCACTATCAGATTTTGGGCCGTGTTTCACTGCAGCACAGTACACGTTAGAAATGCAGCACGTTGGGCATAGGAAATGTTCAACATACATCAGAACCTGTATTCAACTAGACAATTATGACAGCGCGTACGTCCATCAATAACTAAAATAAAAATAAACAAAACCTATTCCTTATGTGGCTTATTTTTTTGTTTTGTTATACTCCTGCACTTATCATACAACATAGTTAAACCAAATGCTGTCTTTATATTCTCTTCAGAGAAAATAAACTTGGAAACATTGCCCTTCGAATCCAATGTTGGCTTTCTGAGTACCTCTTTACCGTCTTGGAAGAGCAGCACTGTTGGTAGCTGTTTACTTATACTGCTGTCACTGACGTTATATGCTTTTCCTGCTTCCGGATATCTGCCAATGTCTACTTTGCCAAATTTCAGTGTGTCGAGGCAAAAGTCGTTGCTCAGCTTCGCATATATGGGTGCAAAAGTTGAGCACGACGGATTCCAGATAGTGTAGAATGCTACGAGCCATGTTACCGTTTTGTCCCGTTCTAATTCCTCTTCCAGGCCTTGTACGCCACGGAAGTACGTTACTCTATCTGGACCTGCGTACGTGGGTTCAGGGAATAGAATCGTGCCCACTAAAATATAAAAATGAGATAGACATTAAGAAGCGCTTAACATACGTACACACATAGTCATAAGTGTGGCGCAATAAAAGCAAAGTAAGAAAAACCGTTTTTTGCCGCGAGGATAAAAAACTATAACCTGGATGATGGCTGTTTATGCTGGATCACGTGACATAATTTTGTCCCAACAAAATGTCTATGAGCTTTGAATTATGTCACCGAAATGGAAATCCCTTATCACTTGTTAGTTATATGAAAGACAATATTATGGCGAATGTCAAACAATCAATATTTACTGTGATCTGTATCATCTGTTTTTAATGATAATTCCGTTAGTGCTAGTGGATTTCTATGTAACCTTATACATCAGTAATTACTGACCTCCAAGCTACAGGTCAATAAATACATTCCTTGATCTTGTATTCGCTGAAGTACACTGACGATTGCAAACAAACATTTGAAGGGTACAGGCAAAGAATAGGGAATGTCACAATTTTTATTTTTCATTTTAGTTTCCTATTGGAAGCAAATCCTTGTCTATGATATTTTAATTCCCAATCGTTAGCCTTTAAAATAAGTAAATATATGGTGCCAAAAAGACATTTTTCTTTATGTTATATTATGTTTCATTTGGTTTTTGCTCAATTTAAATTTGTTTAATAAGTCCAATGTCTACTACAAAATTATATTAGATATAAAACATTCAATTAGTTCTAAGTAAAAGTTACTGCATACTTTGATCTCAACAAAAATTATATACTTCTAAACTTTCAATTGCGTTTATCTCAAAATCAGTTCATTAGGATATTCCCTGTTGTTTTCCTGTACCCTTCATTTAAAGAATCGAGGATACTCACATTGCCGTCGTCAATCTATATTTATGAAGCAGTATTTAGATTTCCGAGAACTACCTAGCAATCTGACAATGATACAAGGAGTGCTGGGAACTTAAATATTCCTTTTGTAAGACTACCAAAAAGTCACCTGATATAAAGAATCTGAAGAACCTACAAATTGTGAGTACTCACTTTAAGCTCACGATTTATTATAATGCCCCAGACTAATCAAGAACGGATGTTAGTAATTGCGCTTGTATTTTTAGTCCCACCAACCATCATCTCTTTTCCTCGATGCGAAACGTTATCTGGTCACTTCCAATTTTCTCTTCTGGGTCACAGAAAGTCATTTGTATAATAGTTGATAAGGAGATGACAAGTATATTTTTTCTATACGGTCATTTATCATAATGATTTTCACTAACTGTAGAGTAACGTGAATTGCTACCACCATATTTGACAGTAGTAAAGGTATCTCCAATAAAAATCAAAATAAGACAATTTCTATCAATTAGCTACGTAATTCAGGGAGACGTTTTCTTGATTTGCTTGGTAAAATTAAATGTTTAGCCGATTTATTCAATATTTTAGCTTGTTTTACGAGAAAACGATTTAATTGAACTACCCGGAGAGATTGGTGATCTACCGAGATTGAGGGAATTGCATGTACAAGGAAATCGGTTGACGATCTTACCACCAGAAATTGGAAATTTAGACATGGCCTCAAATAAGTCTGTTTTCAAATTTGAGGGCAATGAGTGGGTGCCTCCAATAGCAGATCAATTACAGCTGGGTGTTAGTCACTTAATGGATTATTTAAGGAGTGAAACTTACAGAGTGTAAGTATAATTATTGTTGTAACACATTTTCATGGAAAAACCTTGTAGAAACTTCAACAGCCATAGTTAACGTTTTAAATGCAAACTAAACAGGCGGATTAAGGTCTTAAGGTGAATATTTTCTGAAGTATAGACATAAAAAATCACAAATATAGGCCGAAATAAACTATATTCCTTTTTTTTCGTATTTTTGCCTTTACGAATCCCTTTGTAATGGTAACCTTATAATGGAGAAACTGCTTTAGGTAGACTTTATTCCATAAATTAACAAATAATACAGGGTGGTCATGCCCAACTTACGAATAACTTTTGTTCTTTAAGTGCCATATTGTCAGTCGATCCTACAATTGTACGACGTCTTTATGGCCTCCTTGATTTTCATAGTCTTTTTACTGTTCCGAGTCAGCGTTAGCGCTCTCGTATTGTCAGGCTTTGCTTTCTTTTTGATTTATAGGAAATTTCAGGCTATATAACACAAGATATGAATGATAATCATGAACAGTTTGATGCAAATGGATGTTTGTAACATAACCTCAAAATGAAACGCAGACACAAAACAGTGAACTATGAAAATCAAGGAGGCCATAAAGGCGAACGACTGACGGTACGGCCTTTAAAGTTTAGAATCATGATTTTCGTGAGTAAAAAAATGTAAACATAGGTACAAACTGCCACAAACCCAATTAGATTAAAAATTAGTTGCTTTAAAAAATTGTAAATGAATTACTTTCTAATTTACTTATCAGGAAAAGAAATCGTTAGATACACTACCTGTTGTGAAGCCACGCTAAAGTTCCAGTCCTTTGTGGATATGGGGAATTTTGAAATATTACTAAATAATTAGCTGTCATTTTTGGGTAATGGATAATCGTGAAAAAGACCGTAGTTGACCTTAAAAATGACAACTCATCATTTGAGGATAATCAAAAAAAATTAACATAACACTCGAGATTGTGGTTTTATCTCCAGGTATTGCTGTCAGTGACAAGTCTAAATTGTATATTTGCCATTTTTTGTCGGATCGATCTGTAGGACCTTTGCTCTTGGTTAAAGACAAGCATAAATGTGGAAGATTCGCTAATTGATGAGCGGCGGTGAAGCGAAGTAAAAAATGTATGTCTGTGAGCTTACACAAACAGACGTATATGCATAGAGGCCTATTGCACATGTATGTGTAAGGGAGACGGATATGTGAAAGTAATTTCTGTAGTTTTACTGTCAAAATCCGTAAAAAGACATAAGCGCTGTCTTATTGTTGTATATTTCCTATATTCATTTTCCAAAATATATGTTGTGATGGAGTTAGGGCTGATCAAGTCTAAGGGTTAAGAAAACATACTCGATCGTTGTCTACAAATTGAATGAATTTTATTGTCCGAAATGAAGCTATTGCCTGCTTACACCATACAACACGCGCCGAAGTTCACTCACTTCTTACAATATTATTATACCATTACACTTCCCAGGGGATCGAGAAAAAACATCCATTATCTAAATCTTTGCAACTTGGCTCTGACTTATTACCTACTTCTGCAGCGACACAAACAGAAGTTTCGATCTCTTCCCTTTGGTCGCTGATTTTCGGTTTCCAGCCATCAGGGTGCTTAGAGCTATGGTATAAACAACCTACCTGGGAAGTATACCGCAAATAAGTCAACCACTGCGCGTGCTGGATGTACCATACCAGCATTTGAAACTTCTCTTCTTGGGAGTACATTTTTTGGGAAATTTGGAAGCGAATAATACCTTTACACTTCAATGCCCAAAAACAGGATGGAGCTGTGGAGCAACGGATATTGCGCTGTTGCCAGATGTATTTCCTTCGATTACTCAGGCTGCCTTTCTTCCACGCGCACCATCTCCAAATCATCTTCATCTTACTCCGTCATTTCGAAATGGGCAAGAATTATTTTACTCATACAATATTTGTATAATGTATAAAATGTGAAGGTGGATGCCAACCAATTAAGAGGTGATAGATTATGAATTTGCGCGGTTGCCATATTCTACAAGTAAATGCAGAAAAGCTACACAATCACTTTTAGTAAACTGACTACTGCTACCGGATACGAAACAAGGGCGCGGAAATGCATAAGTAATAACAATTTGCATTTTTCTTATTGAGCGAATGATTTTTTTTTTAATATATTTTTGTTTCACAAAAAGTGGATTTTATGTTTTCGTGTAATTCCGATGACGTTCTGTTTGATCTTATATTTTGGGTTACTGAAGAAAAAGTTATCGATATTATATGGCTTCGTATGACATACCATAAGAAAAAGCAGAAGTGGAGGTAGTTTTTCCAATGATTACACTGTTGCCAAATGTTTACATAAATTCTTTTGAAAAGCCACGAAGAAATGGAAAATTGAGCCATTTAGTAAACAAACATTTTTAGTAAAAGTACTGCAATCTTTTGATAACCTGGAAATTACTTGTATTGGGAGACTATACACCAAGATAAATGATATAACTATGAAAACAAAGAGGGTGTACTATCACCTCTTAAAAGGTTGTTATCGACGTTCTGAACACCCTCTGAATATTTATATTGCTTCTGTAATTGTTTATAATACTTTTGCAGATTGTACAGTCGATACCAAACTAACAAACCTCCTGTACCGCCACCGTGTGTCGACAAGGCCAAGAAGGTGTCAAGAATTCGCTGAAAATCTTATACAAAATCAATGTTCTAATTATAGTTCTGTTCGTACAGCTGTCGGTAATCGCGTCCAATATCCCGCCGCACAAACTCCGTCCACTCTGCTACGCTATATAGACGGAATTCACACGACCGGATCCCTAACACAGTCACCGACCACTGTACGAACAAACCTTATACCTAATACACTGCCTTAATGTTAATGTAATAAGAGTATTATTTACAACTTGATTAATTATAACCAAATGATGACAGTTCTTATAGTTACGATGTAGTAACATATTAACTTAATTTAAAGAAATGTATATCGTCAGTTTCACTTTAAATATATTTTTACCATACGTTAAACCGTTCTTTTAAACCCGACACGTAAAGTCGCCGACATGACGTTCCAGTGGTTTGGTTTGAGGTAAAATTGCAAAGCTATAGATAGGCGCAAACATCTACGCTCGGCGGTATCATGTGTACAAGGTGAATTTTTTAAAAACCCTGTATATTATTGTATTACCAAATGCGACCTTGAAATTTCCTACCTCGGTATCCGTCCCCTCTCCATTGATATATTTACCATCGCTTTAGTTTGTTTAGTTCATCTGCTGTGTCGTGTTGAGTAGACTTGTGTGGGTGGTGCTCGTCATGAAAATGGAGCAGCATCGAATGACCGTCGCAGCAGACTGTTTGGAGCAAGTGGAAAACGATCCCACGCTGCTTGATCGAGTTATTACAGGCATTGAGAGCTTGTTTTTACGACCCGGAAACCGAACGCCAAATCTCACAATGGTTGTCTCCGCAAGGGTCCCCGGCCGAAAAAAGCTCGCATGAGCAAGTCGAAGGTGAACACGATGATTATTACCTTTTATTATAGCCGTGGAATCGTCCACAAAGAATTTTTTCCATCGGGGCAAACCGTAAATCAAGTCTACTATCGCCAAGTACTCGAATACGAGTCAACAGGATGCGCACAGACATAGCAAACAACTGGTTCCTTCAACACGGCAACGCGCCGTGCCACACCTCCTTCAGCGTGTCCTAGTATTTAGCCTCTAAAGGGATCGCCGTGTTGCAACATGCATACTCGCGGACATCCTAGTCGAAGCGGTCCAGAAATGTTACAAAGCGTTTAAGACGCGCTGAAATCGTTGTATAGCTGCCCAAGGGGACTACTTTGGAAGGGATGGGAGAGTTGTACAGTAATTTTCAAATAAATACTGTTTTTATGGAATCATTCCCATTACCTAATTGTCACCCCTCGTATTATAGTCAGTTATTTCCAACAAGAAATTTCTATCATTAATGATATAATGTTGCTTAGCTTCGCGCGGAAGTAATCTGATCCATTATAAATGATGTTTGGATTACTAGTTGATGTGCACTTTATTAAGGGTCGTATCGTCAATGGTTCCTATAATTGTAGTCTCTTTTCATAGTTTTCTACTGTTCCGTGTCAGCTCTCTATTTTGAGGTTATGTCACAAATATATATTTGCTTCAAATTGTTCGTGCTTTTGATTTATCGTTTTACCAGCCTGAAATTTTCTACAATTAAGTCAGCTACCATAGGCGTATATTAACCGGGGTACTGGGAGTGCGATACAATACGGATATTTGTGAAGGTTTTTAAACCTTCGGAAAGCAGGTAGCTATTTCACAAAAAAAGGAAAGTGTAAGTTGGTATGAAAATAATGAATACACATGTTTATTGTCTTGTCTTGTCACAAAAAATTAATTTCACTAGTTGGCAATAATATGAGGCAAATTGTACGCTCCCTTTCAACTATTACTCATATAGAACTACATGTTAATTTAGTAAACATTTTCAGTTAAGTGGCATAGATTCAACAGAAACGAAGCATGATTAAGCGACCCGAACACAATTTTTCCAGTTTTGGAAGCGCTTGGTTGAGCTGTAGTAAGAAATACACCATGTACTTATGAGGGCAAGCGCAAGACATTCAAGACAAACATATTTATGGGCTCTGAATAATGGAAAGAGATCAGCGAATATAGTGTATACTTGATTGCTGCAGTACTTATGTCTTTGTAGTGATTAAATATATGTTCATGTTCAAGATTAATATGTTGATTACACTAGGAGAGAAATACGAATATTTTTTGGCTGATCAATAGATCATAAACTCAATTTTTGGAAAAAGTGTGGATTTTTTTCTGATATTTCAGTAATGGCAGTAAAATGTCAGCGAGCGTGCTAGCACAGCGCGCGTAACTTTGCATCTTGCAAGCTTTTCCGCAATGTGCCGGGATACTCCTTGAGACTGAAAATACATGCATTGTATTTATAGTGGAATGCATTAGGTTTATACCACAAAACATAGAAGCTGAATGTAGCAATTTTATTCAATTAAGGGTTTTCAAAGAAACTAGATAGCACTCCACTATCAGATTTTGGGCCGTGTTTCACTGCAGCACAGTACACGTTAGAAATGCAGCACGTTGGGCATAGGAAATGTTCAACATACATCAGAACCTGTATTCAACTAGACAATTATGACAGCGCGTACGTCCATCAATAACTAAAATAAAAATAAACAAAACCTATTCCTTATGTGGCTTATTTTTTTGTTTTGTTATACTCCTGCACTTATCATACAACATAGTTAAACCAAATGCTGTCTTTATATTCTCTTCAGAGAAAATAAACTTGGAAACATTGCCCTTCGAATCCAATGTTGGCTTTCTGAGTACCTCTTTACCGTCTTGGAAGAGCAGCACTGTTGGTAGCTGTTTACTTATACTGCTGTCACTGACGTTATATGCTTTTCCTGCTTCCGGATATCTGCCAATGTCTACTTTGCCAAATTTCAGTGTGTCGAGGCAAAAGTCGTTGCTCAGCTTCGCATATATGGGTGCAAAAGTTGAGCACGACGGATTCCAGATAGTGTAGAATGCTACGAGCCATGTTACCGTTTTGTCCCGTTCTAATTCCTCTTCCAGGCCTTGTACGCCACGGAAGTACGTTACTCTATCTGGACCTGCGTACGTGGGTTCAGGGAATAGAATCGTGCCCACTAAAATATAAAAATGAGATAGACATTAAGAAGCGCTTAACATACGTACACACATAGTCATAAGTGTGGCGCAATAAAAGCAAAGTAAGAAAAACCGTTTTTTGCCGCGAGGATAAAAAACTATAACCTGGATGATGGCTGTTTATGCTGGATCACGTGACATAATTTTGTCCCAACAAAATGTCTATGAGCTTTGAATTATGTCACCGAAATGGAAATCCCTTATCACTTGTTAGTTATATGAAAGACAATATTATGGCGAATGTCAAACAATCAATATTTACTGTGATCTGTATCATCTGTTTTTAATGATAATTCCGTTAGTGCTAGTGGATTTCTATGTAACCTTATACATCAGTAATTACTGACCTCCAAGCTACAGGTCAATAAATACATTCCTTGATCTTGTATTCGCTGAAGTACACTGACGATTGCAAACAAACATTTGAAGGGTACAGGCAAAGAATAGGGAATGTCACAATTTTTATTTTTCATTTTAGTTTCCTATTGGAAGCAAATCCTTGTCTATGATATTTTAATTCCCAATCGTTAGCCTTTAAAATAAGTAAATATATGGTGCCAAAAAGACATTTTTCTTTATGTTATATTATGTTTCATTTGGTTTTTGCTCAATTTAAATTTGTTTAATAAGTCCAATGTCTACTACAAAATTATATTAGATATAAAACATTCAATTAGTTCTAAGTAAAAGTTACTGCATACTTTGATCTCAACAAAAATTATATACTTCTAAACTTTCAATTGCGTTTATCTCAAAATCAGTTCATTAGGATATTCCCTGTTGTTTTCCTGTACCCTTCATTTAAAGAATCGAGGATACTCACATTGCCGTCGTCAATCTATATTTATGAAGCAGTATTTAGATTTCCGAGAACTACCTAGCAATCTGACAATGATACAAGGAGTGCTGGGAACTTAAATATTCCTTTTGTAAGACTACCAAAAAGTCAGAAAGGTTTAAAAATTATAGCAGCCAAATACTTCCAAATTAACACTGCAAAGCAGATCCTTAAATTTAAATTCCTTTAAACAGACAATATGAAGTTTTCTTGCTGAAAATGTTTTTTATTCATACCAAATGCTTTTTAAATTGTTTTTATTATTTTACGGTATCTTTTTATGCACATTTAAATTGTGGCATCTTACACAATTCTTATTTTTATATACTTGAGATCTGCAATCGACTAATACTATGAGAATTCGATTCTCTATTCTATAAAATTTCCTTACTGAGTGACGTGTGTAAGTACTGTATGTACAATAGCACAAATAAAGTATTGTATTGTATAAGTACTGACAAATCACAGTGAATATTAATCGTGTGACATTCGCCTAATGGAAATCTCCACTAATTCCATAACTATTAAATTTCTATGGTTGTATACAGGGTGTTAGAAAGGTCGGTTCAAATCAAATATGGCAATACAACCATATTTTTTTCAAGATCACCAAATAAGCGGATTCCCATGTAAATTACAGAAAACCATAAGACGCATTTTTCGAAAAATAAAGCACTTCACAGTAACAAATTTATCCATTCACTTAATCACGTGTAAACCACTATTTTTTATATTTTTTCTCCTCCCTTGTTTCGAATCCCCGCAGTTCAGTTAACTAATAGTGCATTGTTTCCTTATTCCAAGGAAATTCAATGGGAAGATAAGGCTTGTACAAATAAAATTTTCATATTTGTACAATTTTAGGTCTCTAGAATTTGGGCCCCTGAAAATGGCCTATGAATACATTTACATCATTCTAAATTTTAAGGATAAATGTAAATATGTCTAATAGGTGCGTAGAGTTACCGCAGCTGGAGGCGTATAAATATACCGCCAAAATATTGAGATATACCCTACCCCCACCCTATACAACTCCTTACCCCCATTTTGTAATGGCTACAAATTTGTTTATGATAAAATGAACAGGAGCTCGTAGCTCCGCGCCGCCACTGGATCGATTGAAAATCTTTTTTCGTCGTTGGTATAGTATTCTTAAGTAGTAAAATATTTTGAATTTGCACAGTTGCCATATCTTACAATCCTCAGATAAGCTCCAAAGTGCTGTGGAATAATGAGACAATGCATTTTATCACTGTCTAATGCTTTATTTTACGAAAAATATGTTTTGTTTTTTCATAATTTCAATGTCCTAATATTATGTGATATTCAGAATAAAACATGCTTGTATCGCTTCATATGTCATACTAAACTGCACAACTTGTTTGATCACTCATTTTAACACCACCACTTGACTAATTTAATTGCAGTTTTGAAGCAAAACAAATTGTGCTGGAATAAAGAGTGACTGCACTAGGACACTTCACGTGAATTCTATGTGCTAAGTAGAACTAGGAAAAGCCTCTCGACCCCCTAGGGGCACAGGAGTGGTCATATCCAGCAGTTCCCTACAGGTCAACAATAATTCCATAAAAATAATGCAAATTGAGTAAAAAAAAAACACCATATCAAACAGTATTCTATACTACTGGGAAAAAGTTAGGCTATTTGCTTAGGGCCAAGAACTACTTTTCTCCACATAACCTCCTCACTCCATACAAAGCCCAGATAAGAACTAGCCTCAAGTATTGCTCACATGAGGGCAGTTCTGGGACACTTTTGCACTGGTGAGCCATTGATGATCTAGCTCTCTTCTACTCCTATGTGAATGGGCTTTGCCCCTTAGATCTCTCCTCCATGATGGTGCTGCACAATGTGCCTGCCAGACTGACCCGCCTGACTACAGCCTCCCATCCTAACCATGTCAAAATTCATACATCCAGAACTGGCTGATATGACTGCTCCTTTGTCCCTAGAGTATTGACATCGTGGAACAATCTACATGAGGAGGCTTTTCCCAGATCTATGAACCTCAGTTCAAAAACATTATATAATATTATCATTGTGCATAAATGTGACCATAACTTGATGATAATTAAAATGCATGCATTAATAGTTTATACTTACAAATAAATATGATCCCATAAATTATTCCCATTCGATAGTCAGTATTAAACCACAGAATTAAATTAGCAACCTTAGTGTAGACAAAGCTAGACGATAGATAGCTGATCATAGACATGCTGCCAGCTTTTCTAGTTCTGATTGCAACGACAATTACAAGGAAGAATAGTATTTCCGTTTCCCGCTGAAACACCTTTATAAGCGATTTCATGAGAATCATTATTCCGTACTCACCCCATCGAATTCACAGTTATCAGTTGAAAATAAATAATTACACACTCCTGGGATGCGTTTTAAAGCAATATATGAAAGGCTTAAGAGAATATTGTACAAATAATAAGGTCTAAAGAGGTGAATTATATCTGCTTTGATAGACATGGCTCTTTGTGTGTCAAAAAATATATACAATACAGAATACAGGAATGGGAATGAATACACGGTGTACCACAAAACACATACACTGAAGAACACAACTGAGAACTGGAGAAACTGCTACCTGCTATCCATAGGGTAACACGATTGACTCATGTCAATGTCAAGCCGCTATCTTTCTGATCCGACAAGGTTGCCAGATTCTGTATAAAGCCATGCAACATTGCCTATTTTTGGCATGTTTCTCTTGTCGTCTCATGTTTCGCACTTTGTGCCTTTGTGGTCGTCGGCCGGTTTTTTTACCATGTTTCCGTATTTGGTACATTTACATTTCTTATTTTGTTTCTATATTTAAATGGTTTCTGTACGTTTTCACGGTGTTTTTAAAGCTACAGGTATTAATTTCATAATACCATCTTCATGAAATAAACAATTCTGGTCTAGTGGCAGTTGGTTGTGGTCCATATGATTGATTACATGGGGAAGTGCAGTAATGATAGATCAGATGCTCATCGCGTCTCCACGAGTATTGCGCGTAGCGTAAGTTAGTAGATAGAAAAAAAGACAAGAAAGAAGAACTAACAAGAAGTATATTTATTTTTTATTTCCAATTTTAAATTCTCAGAAACCGTTGATGGAACGTCTATTCGCAGTACAAGCCAATAATTTGGCGTCAACGTTGTAGCAACTCTGGCTACTGTGGATTTCTACATGATTCAATAGTCACATATAAGTGTAGGATCTGAGGAGGTGGAACCTTGCCTTGGAATGTACGAGATGGGGTGTTGTCAAGCGAAACAATGTTGCAGATTTTGTGACGATCTTGACCTCTGATTTCGAGCTGAAATGGAGCGCCGTTAGAATCGATTCGGAATCGATTCTTAACAGATTTGACAAGATTCACAATTCAAAAATGTTACGCTCAAAATAAAACAGTTATTTGGACGTTGAGAATAAACTGACGCATATTTTCAACAGGTATCATAGTTAAAGAAACTGTTTTTATAAACACAAGTAGAATCCCTTTCATACGCCCCCTCTTTCCCCTGTATCCCGCATAGTCCCATGGTATCATAGGTGTTTAGGCTATAGGTGGTTCAAGTATAAAAAAGTATAAAGGCCGATTTGTTAAACTGTATATTCCGTGAATAATTCAATCTGTATAGTGTCAAAAATTATATTCTTCCATTAGAACTTCTCATTTGTGGATACAGAATCAACATCAGTAGTGTGACATTTTTTATATACTGCACTTTCTTCACTTGGGTTAGTATCGAAAGTTTCAAGTTGTCAGCATTTCATTTTAGTCGGAATAAATGATGATTGAGATGATAAATCTCAATATTTTTCCTGGTCGCCAAATGAAATCACATAAGTCATCAAGACTGACCACTTACTAATATGGGTAGAAATCACAAAAGACAATGACAGTATATTGAGACTGAAGGCAAAATATATTTTCATTGTCACTTGTACTTTAAAAAAGGTTACCGATACGATCGAAATGTTAATAAATACTCTCGAAAAAAAAACAGTTACTTATCACTTACAGAATATTTTTATTAATTACTAATTATTAATAACTGTATAGCGATATGACAAAAGTATCAAATATCACCATTGTCATAATTATAGGGGAAAAAACGTAATGAGTGTTCAGCGGTAGCAAAAACTGATGTAAACGAGTGGTTTTAAAGGAAGTTGTTAAATACGCAATCCGTCGGAAGGTGCACTCGTTTTATTTGAGAAGAGAAATGCCGACAATAAAAAACTACAGCACGCTTGGAATACCTACCCACAATAGTCGACCAAAAATATGCCACAGTGTTTTGCTAAGAACTTTACGAGAAACTAATATCAGATATTTGAAGGAGAAGAGGAATAGCGCATTAATCGATGCGAATGACATAATAACCTGGTGCAGGTAATATCGGAAAACAATGCGTAGTATTCGCGTAATGGGAAGACAAAAGATTTATTATTTGGATGAGACATGGTTGACTGAAGGTCAAGTTTCTAAATATTGGCAAGATCTAAACATCACATCTCGTAGACGCGTATCGCGTGATGGATTAAGTACAGGTTTTCAACGCCCTACAGGTAAGGGTCGTCGTTATTACTCATATTGGTATCGACTCACTCTTTGTCGATGGAGGATTGAGCGTCTTCGAATCACGAAGAACTGGAGATTATCATTAAGATATGAACGCACACGTTTTTGAAGATAGGTTCAAAGCAGTGTTACCAAAATTAGAACCCGATTGTGATTGTCCTAGAACCTAGATCATGCTGCATATCAGTCGGAGTACAGAAAATCTTCCCACTTTAAAATGGAGAAAGTTAGAAATATATAATTGGATAGTGTCGAAAAATATACCATGCGACCTACCGTTGCTCAAAGCAGAGTTGATGCAAATCGCTCGTCAGCACAAGATTACGAACACAAAATTAGTGGTAGATGAAATAGCAAAGGAAAGGGGTTTTTTGGTTTTGAGATTACCTCCGTAGCACTGCCAATTTAACCCAATCGATTTGATATGGGCTCAAATAAAAACGAGGTAGCGCGTAAGAATACTCATTATAAGATGGCGGATGTTTGTATTCTTTTGGAAGAGGCCATTAAGGGTGTAACTGGTGACACGTGGCAGAATTGCATAAGGCAAGTAGTCAAAGAAAAGGAAAAGTTCTGGTAATTGGGCAGATAATCGAACCAGTGATAATTAACTTAAATGACGACAATGGTAGCTACAGCACTGACAGTTACTGCTCGAATAACGGCGAGTCATAAATCCGCAGCACAACTGACCACCATTTGTTCAATTGAATATTTATTTATTTATATTTGGATGTATTTACGTCATATATTATTCATAGTCGTTTTATATTTGTTTTTAGTGTTTGAATGATAAGAATTTATCTTTCAATTTCAGAACTTTTATTTTTGTGATTTGTACTTTTAGGTTTTAGAGATTAATCATATTTATTTTTCATTTTGTTGAAACTGAAAGACGGGTGGAGAGAGGGACGGTACTCGATATGCAGTCACCTCCCCGTGGCGAGTCTGGGTAGCCCAAACATGGGCTAGCTGAAAGCTGCACTAACGTTCTGACAAATTAATCCATTTTTTCTCATATTAATCAATTACAGGTCGCTGCTCTAGCTATTTCAGTGTAATGATGACAAGTGTTGCAAAATGTGGAGGCAAATTCTACTTTTTAATCATATCCGAAGTGGAAATCGTCGCGCCAATGTGGCTGTCTGTCTTCAAAGAAGACGGGAATATTGCTCGCATTCCATTGCTGTCAACAGTTTTGGTAATGCACTTTACATAGATATGGGACGTACCATGTTTCAAGTCAACTAATATTACTGAAAGAGAAATGCTGTAAGATATAGCTACCAAACCAGCGAATATCTGGAAAAGGAAAATTGAATAATATAACCTTGAAATTATATTGTGACTTGATCAGTCGTCGCAGCGACTATACTCCTGAAATTATATAACATTAATTTCTTTGCTTTCACTTTATTCACTTTTACAGAAGATCAAGCAATATATACTAACGAATATCTAGTTAAGTCCTCAAGATCAACCAACATGGAGTCTTGTTCCATATGTAAATCGTCCCGTTCCATTAAGTGTCCCACAAGTGCCTCGTTAAATGTTTCGACTTCTGAATGCAGCTCATTAGCGATCACCTGCAGCTGGGCCACGTTCATTTCGGTGAGAATCTGCCTGGACAGTCGACGTTTCCCTCCTGGTAATGAAACTCCTATTTTCTCAAGGCTGTGCCTTATTAGTTCAGTGATGATACTTTTTTGCTGAAATTGCGATTCAATCTGCGCGAAAAACAATATTACTGTAATATACACCATGTTATTAAATCCAATGTTGTTAAATCTTAAAGGGTAATTCCTTGGGCAAACCCAAGGCAAAAAGCTTATTCAGGGTGGCCGATATGTAACTGACTGGTTTTTATCTTGAATACTTGTGAAATCAAAAAAAATACGTCAAATTTTTTCATCTTAATCTTTTATTGAAACTTAGAAGATATGTATGAAAAATAATATCAGACAAATGTCCGCCTCTAAAAGCCGCGTAAACCTGAGCCCTCTTGATTACACTGTTTGGTAGGTTTCGGAAGGAATATTTTCAATCGCTTCCGTAATATTGTTCTTCAGCTGCTCTGCAGTATTTGGTTTGTTGGCATAAGCCCTATTTTCCAAAAATCCCCATAAAAAGTCAGGAGCCGTTAAATCCAGTGACCTTGGTGGTGGCCGTCACCAAATCGAGAAATTAAACGTCCCGGAAACATTGCAAAAGATTCATTGTTTCCCTTGCTGTGTGACAAGTTGCTCCGTCCTGCTGGAATCACATGTTTTGAAGGTTGAATTGTTGGATTTGAGGAGCCAGAAAGTTTTACACCATATCACGGTAGCGCTCACCAGTGACAGTAAGAGAATTACCTGCAGCGTCTTCAAAGAAGTAAGGTCCAATGGCACCTCCTTACCAAACACCGCTCCAAACTGTGACTCGACGAGGATGTAGTGGTCGTTGATGGATGACACGAGGGTTATCTAATGCCCAGCTACGACAATTCTGTTTATTAACAAATCCGTTCATATCGAAGTGGACTTCATCGCTCATTATCAGTTGTCGGTAAAAATCGTTATTTTGGGTATTAACCCGCAATATCGATGACTGTATTGTCGGCGACTTCCATGGTCACTAGGCTGTAGTTTTTGGGTTAAATGAATATTGCATGGCCGCAAATGCAAGTCTTTTTTTTAAATACCCAGTTCTTGAGAACGATGTCTGGTAGACGCCTCAGGGCGCTCAACTACTCTTTCACGAACTCTCCCGATATTTTCCGGAGTACGAACAGCTCGAACACTGCCCGACCTTGGCAAGTATTTAACTTCACCTGCTTGTTCAAAGTTCCGCACGAACTGACGAATGGTGTCTTTTCATAGCTTCCGAATCGTTGCAAGAATCGACTCATTATTTAAGTAAAACGTTTTAACAATACGGACGCATTGTGGGCTCGTGCAGCGCTCCACGATGAATTGGACACGGATGCTTTAAACAACTACTAGGGCGCCACCTACTGAAATGCGTTTATCAAAAATATCGCGCAATTTTAATCAGTCAGTGTATATTGGCCACCCTGGTCATGGTGTGACATTGGGAAAGAAATATTGAAGTCATTATGATGGTTGGTACGTATTTCACTCTTCAGAGGGAAGATAGAGCGGCTAAACCAATATCATTGGTACCGGTTTATTAAATACTTACATATTCTTTGTGACAGAAAACAGTACTATATGTAATTGACTTTATTCAGCTAGGCGAAACCCAGTCACCGTACAGCATGATACATCCATCAAATAAGAAATCAACAAATACTTGATAACCTGATACACAATAAAGTGCAGTACATAACAGTCAATCTTACTTACTTCCATTTGCATTCGAGCCATTTGTTTGACTTGCGCCATCGCCAATTTGACTTCATTTTGTAAGTTGACTTGTTTGGTGAATGACACTTTGTCTGCAGTCATATTAGTCCTATCACTTTTATTTTGCATGGGAATATTCAGAGTGTCTGATCTAATCTAAAATGTATTTACAATAATTGTCAGTAATCATACATTCAGCATATGACTCTATTTTTACCGTTTCTTGTTCGATAAGTCTTAAATTAGGTGGTAGATTCTTCAGAGTTACAGTTTTCAATATCCGACAGTATTTCATCCATACAACATAATTGAAGATTCATACATGGAAACGTTGCAATAGATAATGCTTCATATGGTGTTCCAAGGTGTAACCTTAGGATATATTGGATAAAGTTAGAAGAGGTGAACAGGTGTTGATTGATGTTAGAGTTCAATTTCTGCTTTCCTATTGTTTTAAACTAAAGCTTTGCTGGTATGCAACAGTTCAGCATAATCACAAGCAAAAATAGGATAGGCTACATCATTGACATAGCCTACCTCTTGATGACAACATGAATTACCATATCAAGCAAAGCAAACAAAGTAAGAGCTCCTGTCCTATGAAGTAAGGCAATTACATGGACTTGTATATATATATATTGCCACTTGTCATTTCTGTCAACAGAATGGTTCAAAAAAAACTAATTGGAGTTTGACAGTAAAATCTCCCTCCAGTCATTCAAAACCAGACCAGGAAGGCAAATAATAATTTGCCTAAAAAATGTGTGATGAATATTAATTTCATTTTCCAGAGGACCTGCTATTCACCTATATAGCATATCTTACCAGTGGATTATAATCTATTCCAATATTCAGAGAATATGCTTACCAGTATTTCGTGACATTCTATATATATTCCTGTTGCTTTAGAAACATTCTTAGAACATCATTAGAATCTGTTTGCTTTTACTGCACTGTGCATATTAATTGAAAAATTTGGTTGGTTATTGGCAATTTTCGAATGGGATTGTAATTTGCATTCTGCTGTTATTTTCTTTCAATTGCAGTTATTAAGTTCAGGAGTTTTCGTAAATACCAAAAAATAGCATTTCATGGCTTGGAGACAAACAGGACAGGATTGATGTTTGAGGATAATTTCTATTATATTTATTGATGTAACAAGCACCATTTACTGTTATACATGCCCTATATTTTTTATAAAATAGTCTTTTGATTGGTCAAAATAACCAGTACCGTCCTCGAGGCTGGTTTAATTTTGGAACCCAATGTTACTACTGTGTTAGGCTCAGCTTCGTATACAAATTCTCTAAGATAACCCCAATAGAAAATTTAGCTGATTCAGGTCCAGTGATATTGATGACAATGGAATAAGGCCGCGGCCCACACCCACCTTTTTGAATGTGGGATGTTTGTGATTGAAGTGCAAATGTATAATTTAGAACTACGTCAAAGTATAAATTATTAAAAATAATACCAACATAAGTAAGGGTAAGAGTTGGATCTGGGTTGTATATGCAACCAGCTATCTAGCCTTTCAGATGCTTCCCTCAATGAGACCACATTTGGTTGCAGCACACCAAACTGGTCTGAGGAAGAAATACTCAGCCCTAGTGTTTTGCTGCAACATGATGCTTCAGCACACCACATTGCACAAATCGAAACCACTTCAAGCACAAACATTCAAAATTCATAAAGGTGTATTAGCGGTCGGCTCTATTCCTTTGCCACCAAGATCGCTGAACTAGTAATTTATTTATCAAGGTAGCTTTAGAGACTTTGTATACCAACCTAAGCTGACCACAGTAACAAAATTGTGATCTAAAATTGAACCAGCCTCAAGGATGCATTGGTTATTCTTGCAGGTTGAAAAAAAAATCATCAAGTTCAGCGCAATTTAAATCCTCTGAGAAGATATCGAGTTACGGACATGTAGAACAGAGAAATTAATCGTATAAGTCGTCAAAGAGGCCAATACAATTAGTCCATTAGTACCATGTGGCAACATTGTCCTTTTCCGCATCTACGCGGCATCTCTTCAACGAGTTATTTTTCGGTTCGCGCAAGTCCCGTATGTTCTTTGGCCTTCGGTACGAATACATTTATTTAAACTGGACTGGTTCGCCCAGCGGTTCGTTTTGATAGGCACGAGTACGCGGATCGAAACATTTCTGTCATTCTAAGTATTAAAGGTAATTGTTTGATGTGTGAAATATTGGTAATAGGCCCATACCATTACCAGGGTTGGGAGCATATAAATATAGGAAGATAAAAAAAATTATATCCATCTCCCTACAACCCCCAAATTTCAGCCACTACAAAAATTTGTCTGATAATAATCAGGATCCTCTAAATCATCAAAAAACGAAGTTTGAGCGATATTTTTTCATTTTGGCCTTTGAGTCTAGACCGATTTTCAAAAATTAAAAAGCTTTTTCAGTCTTGGCATAGAAGTAACTTTGTGTGAAAAATTCACCAACTTCAGAGTGGTACTTCTCAAGTTATAGGCGATTATAAAATTATTGGACAGACTGACGGAAATGAATGACATACTTTTTCATGGTATACATATCATATAACATAATATCTCATTTTCGAAATTTTTTGTTTTGGCGCAGAAAGTAAAAATGTTTTATGAAAAAATGTAGGTGACTTATAAACATTTAACTGGTGCTCATAATAATAATTTTAATATAAATTAATCTTCAACATCAATCCTGGCCTTTTTTGTCTCCAAGTCATAATATTTTTTTTGATATTTGCGAAAACTGACTCTCCTCCATTAACCTGAAACTAAAAGAAAACAACAGTAGAGTGTGCATAACAAAATACTACTGAAAAAGAGAAAATAACTAACCACTTTCCTAAATAGTGATCACCCTTGATTCTATCGCTCCATAGGGTGCCAAAGACAAACATGAGACTGGTATGATTTTTATGTGACTTTCTTGCCATCTTACTAGGTTGAGTGGAATGCTTAATTCTGAGTGTTCTAAAACGATCCTAGTCCAAAAAGGTTGTTATTCGTAAAAATGGTAGCAGAACAAAAAAGTTAAATGCTAACACCTCAAGAACTATAAGACTTGATCAAACAAAATTTTGTTTATTACAGAAATATCCTTCAATTCTTGGATATGGCATATAGATAAAAGCTATGAATTTTTAAGACTAATAATAGAGGGTAAGATAGAAGGAAGAAGAGGTTCAGGCAAGGATTCAGTGCTTAAGAATGTAAGAAACACGACCAAGTTATATTTAGTCACTTTTAACAATAGCTCAAGGCCAGGGCAATTTGTAAATTGTAGCAAAACTTCTATGATAAAGAATGGTGTACCAAATGATCAAAACTACTTTGAGCAACCTTATGGAATGTGCAATGACAGAACAAGTGTGAAATGCCTACACAACCAGACTCCTTTGAGCTTGCCATTGTGACAAAAGATGTAGCAAGATACTCACACTGACATGTGCAAAAGATCGAGCTTATTCACCTCTATGAACGTAATCAGAAAATACTTTATACAGAAGTTGCAAGATTATGAATGGGGTGTTTCCATTAATGTTCTTCTCGAAGTGCGTCCATTACGCTTTGACCCTTTGACGTCTATTGAGGTGAACACTTGAAACTTGAACAGCTGATCAGAAAGTGACATTTTTGTGTTAGTCTGCGACGTTGGCAATAATGACAAGTATTGAAATATACTCTAGAAGACTATCCGTAGCGAATTTTTTCTCAAAATCGTTGCACACTGCTAAAAAAAAGCAAATGAAGATTGGAAAACTACTGCTTTAACGTATTAATAAATGACTTCGTCGTTACCCCGGGATAGACATACGTTTTGGCAGTTGATCTTGTCACTTAGATTGCGGCGTTGCCAGCTCATCGGACAATTTTGATACCTCTGCTATTTTGCTAGAATGTTATAAAAAAAAAGAAGCTTTGAATAACATATTGAGGGACACCAATGGAGATATAAAAAATGAGGCGTAGCAATGTTTGCCAAAAAACTAAAAAAATCTGTTATTTACATTTTGCGTCGCCTAGCGTCTATGCGCCGGAACGTTAATGTCTCTGAAAACTTTTATAAATGCCCAGTTTTATAGGATAAAATATTTTTTGAATACACTTCTTCCAACAATTGAAAAAACGTTTTATTACATACATAAATATATTTATTAACTATTTGATCTAAAATTAAATGATCAATAGGAGAAGCACGATTTTCACTTTTATTTATTAGGGGAATGTGGCTTTTTAGTTACTGCATTCGCACTTAAGCGAGGAACACCCCTAGAAAACCTCAACCGTCACTGCTAAGATCAGTTGTACCAGGTGAAGAAAATTCAAGTCGTTCCACAATGCTGGCTTCATTTGTACAATCGAAAATCGCCAACATGCCACAGTTATTAACCTAAAAAAAAAGTAGCATTGACGTAACGGTTTATACGAGGGTAATTTTTTAAGTAAGAACCGGTTTGTAATCCAGTCAGAGAAATTTTATTTATGAATGTAAATTGTATCACAAACTGAAATATGAATTTTTTTTCATTTTTCAACTTCAAACACAAGTCGAGTCGTGGCACCAGTTTTTGTGTTAATGTAGCATCTGAAATATATCCTGTGGTTTTTATGAAGACTATTTCCCTCGTCTTAATTTCCAGCAATCACAAACGCGCAATTTTGAATTACAACAAATGGTTTAGATGGAAAACCTGTATGATAGTACCTGTCAGCATTTTCTCCAGTTTACCCAAAACTTGACAGCTGTTGTCACCAAAAATTACAATACCTTTGATAACAAGTAATTATTAGTTTCCTAGGACACCAGAAAACGACACTAAGCAATTTTTCTGATTTTATTGTCAATAAATTTTGTAATATTGCTTTTGTACCTGTAGTTCATAGATATTGATTATTGTCTTGTTATTCTCGGGGCCAATGTATGCAAACACTGATTGGGGAATTATTGTATTATTGAGTTTAAATAAATTATTTCAAAACTGTGCTAGTCAGCTTATGTAGTGAAAATGAGTCGCTTTGGAAGTGACTAATAATGACCTGGCGATTGAGAAAACTGTACCGTACAACAGAGTTAAAACCCATTCGTCAATATGGAAACAGTTTACGGATAATACCCCTTGCACGTCCCCGCAGTTCGTGGAGGTCGTAGTTACCAACGATAAGCCACTGCCAGTAACTTCGGTTTTTAGGTATAGGTATTCAAAATATACGAAAAAAAAAATGAAGTGTACAGGGGAAGAAAGATGAGCTTCGCAAATTTGACGTTTTGTAGTTAGAACCGGCAACATGTACGAGTAGTATAACGCAGTACAATCCTATGAGGTATCGGAAACACGCAAAAACAATAACACAATAACAGTCCGTATAGTTATTAATTATTTCCAATTGAAAACTTGTCGAGCAGGGAAAAAAAGATGAATGCCAGCCGTTGTATGAAGATAGCAATACATAAATATGATTGTGTTATGTAGATTGACCCAGTACTTCCCATTTATTCATATAAATTGTATTTTAAAGTTGTCCGTATGTACAAACTAAAATTACTCAACCCATGCTTTTCAAATACCACTATCGATATAATTATGGATTAACTAGGTACCTAAAAGTGCTAACAAAGTGTTTGAACTGAATGTGAGATATACAGTCGACCTACTTGACTTGAGAAAGTTCAGCAACCGTGCCCCAATTTGGCTGGATAATTATAAAAATATATGAACTAAAAGATTCACTTTATTTTTAATTTACCAATAAATCTGCAAAATTCAGAAATTGAATACTTGCTGGAAACCACAGAGTCGACATACTTGACGCCATTTTACACAATTTTACTACAATTCTAATTACGCAAAAGCTTTGTAGGGACGGAAAGAATGTCTATTCCTTTATGTACTGAATGTGAGTGAAGTGCAGAGTCAACCTACTTGACGCCATTTTTTGAAGTTCAAATTCATTTCTCGAACCTGACACTTTTGTTGAATTCATAATTTGAAATAAACCTAGTTCAAATATAGATCTACGGTGTCTATTAAATACCCGAAAACTTGACAATCGCACATTCTTTGGAAGTGTACACATGCGTAATACCGTGACAACCTACTTGATGCAATTTTCCAATGTTTTAGTTGTTGACAGATTTTCTGTACATTGCACCCATGGACAAAATGGTAAAATTATTGGTAGAACAAGATGTACCTGCTTATGTCTTCGTCATGAACACTACTAATTTCCACTTTGGAGGCACTTAACACAGACGTCACAACACTAAAGCACCACTGAGACAATCGAGAACCCTATACCACTACCGAAAAAAAGTAATTAATCCGAATACAGCTCTGCACCGAGCTGTGAACGCGTAGACATTCCGCTACTCGGACGATTGCCGAGAGACTGAAGCTGTACCTCGCTTCGGTCATACAGTACGCCCGGGTAGTACAGCCACTCCCCTTTCCAGCTCCCACTCCGCCCGTCTGCTCCCGCTGAACGTAAACATCGAGTCGTTTCGTAATGCTGTCAGATAAGAAAACTCGAACAGAACAAAACAACTTATTTATTTATCTTGGTGGTTGAAAAGCTTCTGAATAAGGGGCGTTTACACAAGCATGTAGAGCTTGCGTAAGTTATATTTGCATCCAACTTGCAGAAAAACTTGCAAATATAAACACTAAAATGCACGAAAGTAACTTGCAACGCGGACTTACATGCATTTGTTGTTTTCGCAAATAAATTCTGTTTTGACAGAAATAATAAACATTTTTTTCTACGTACCCTCCCATGGGAATATCAGGAAGAAATTGTGCAAACTCATGAAGCGTGATTTGATTGGACCAAAAAGTACAACATATGTCTGTAAAGACCACTTTGACGTGGGTATATCATGTTAGGTACTATGTATTTATGATTATTATATGATTTCCAAGCTCATTTCACTGTACACGCTTCATTTGGCGGGGAAATATTTATTAACGAATATTACAGATCACTTATTTCAACACAACGAGAATAGCTATGAGCTACTATAGTCTCACTTACCTCCCTAAAAAGGCGTCAAGTAAGTTGACTCTGTACTGCACCATGTGCAATGTTATTAAATATTTTAATGAGATTTACCATTATCAGATTAAATTACTTAAAATTTTGATACCTTCTATTTCCGCGCTTGTATATGATGGATCATGGATTCGAAGAAATAAATTCCATCACTACATAAATGCCAATTTTGGGCAAAATGTCACTCAACCCTTTTCCAAATCCGGCTTCCATAATGGTACGAACTGGGTAAGTTCTTAAGTACTTAATAGTTATCAACTGGACTGGACACCACGTGGCCGAGCGCACAGAGGTGTATACTAAAGCGACGCTTTTTCATAGTGATCCCTAACTATTTGTCAAAACAGCAAAAATATGCTATAACATTGGCCATATAATATCCTCCATATATCATTAGACATGGGCACTATAAAATTATACAAGTCTCAGATTTATGCGGAACCGGGAACGTAGGACTGCACAATCCGGCACCCATGTGATATCTAAAAAGAATGGGGCTTAACATTGACATTGACATAACTCAACCGTGTTGCCCTATGGATAGCACGTGAATAAACGTTTTGTGGAATAAACCACTAAAACTAAACATTCTTCCAGGGTTTATCTCTGCATTCTTCAGTGTATATGTTTTGTGGTGTATATATATGTTTTGTAATCAGATCAGAAATCAGATTGGAATGATGGAGAGGTTTTAAAAGTATGTAATTATTTAAGGCTCTTAAATCCTTATCCACCAGGACGATGAGTAACAGACTATTTAGTAAAGTATATGCGAAATATAAGCATTCAACAAAAGTATTCATTCCCAGATTTTATTCTAATGCAACTGCAAAACCTCTACTACGTCCATCAAAAACGAAAAGGATAAGTCCTTATGCGTGGAGCTTGCTGGTACGTAAAACACCTTTTATTGGAAACTTGTATAGCTTAGTGTTTTCTAATTTTATAGTCCATACCAGCAGTTACTTTTGGACTTGGAATGTGGCAAGTCCAAAGGAAGAAATGGAAAGAGCAACTTCTTGCAGATCTGTACTCTCGTACGCACAGTGATCCTGTAGACCTACCTACAAAGTAAATACTTTTTGTATTTATTAGGGATGCACGGAGTACTAGGCTTTCACCTGGTACTTGGCATACTCAGCACATTTTACTGAGTACCCAGTTTTACCAAGTGTTAAATTACTTAGCCAATTAATTACTCTGTCTGAATGCAAGACACAGGATTTGAGCTCAAATAATAGCATATTTGCAATTTTATCTCTCATATTAATAATAAATGTTTATTGGATAAAATATGTAAATTAACCAAATGGCCATGGACAAGAGTCCTTCAGCCAGTAACATCCATTGTACAAAAATTTAACAAGTCTGTAAAAAAATAGCTCATTGGATGGCAACTTCTATACGAGTATTTAATGACAATGAATGAAACCTCAGATGCAAGTTATGTAATAAGTTATTGAAGTGTCTTCTCAGGGTACTTGTAGCAGGATTTATTGTTCCTCTTTACTGATATTGAAAGTGGAGCTGAAATTCTGATGTGTTGTCTTCTTGCAAATTTGTTTGCTAGGTTCAATATCCTTTCCTCATCAAGGTTGATAGAAGTGCTCTGAGAAGAATCTATTTGGTGGATTATGCCTACTGGTAGAGAAGTACTGTATTCTCGAAAATTTTTGAAAAGGAGATTGTTTTTTGGATGCTTTATGACATCACAAAAAGCTATGTCACTCATTTCCGTCTTCCATACAACTAGTACAAGAGATATCACATCCGTTTCAGTTATTAGTAGTATTTGAAACTAAATACCATTTTACTCTTAACTTTTTGTTCGATTTACTAGAAAGTCTTTTGCACATATAACTAACACATTTCACAATTTTTAGAGGTATTTAATCGCTCCAAATTTAATTTCTTATGGGACCGTTTTCAGGTGTCAGATATTCTAAAATGCAACAGAAGTCTATTTGAGAGTATTAGGAACTATGTTTTTCTTTTCCAGAATCTGAGATATCAATCAGTCCTCTTGTCATGAGGTCATATCACCTCTACCTATGGTATGTCCACTTTACATTCAGCTCTTCTTAAAAGGTGAACTGGTTCTGCGGCGACATCAAGCAAATTTCACTTGTGCTTTGCTGCAATTGTAACCTCCTCCCGAAGTTTGAGCGACATGCAACCTGGAGTTTTTTACTTGCAACTTAGTTTAAAATGTTCTCTTATAATCAGAAAGATTGAAAAACATATCAAAAATAAATGTTTCAAAACTATGATTCCAAAACATGGTTACAGTTTTAACCCAATAAATACTGTAGAAAAAAATCGTCCAAGCTGCACCTATGTTTTTTCTGGTACTCTGGTACTAATTTTTTAGATTCTTAGAGAGGTAAATTAATTTTGAGAATAGACCTTTCAAAAATATTAGGAAAAGTAGCTGATAAACCTAGCAAAAGTAATTACACCAAGTACCTTGTATTCAAATCTGACCGAGATTCCGGTCGACTTTTTGGCAAAAGCAGTACTCCATGCATCCCTAGTGTTTATATACAGGATGCTCTTAAAGTCGGGACTTTCTGTTTCAGGATGCAGTGATACAGCAGAATCTAAAACTGCCCATGAGCTTATAAATATCTATGCCAAGTAGACAGTCTGCGCAACCTTATCATACAGGGTTTGTCCGGAAAGTAATAGGACTCATTTTCTTCCGCCATGACTGTACTTCGGAGCGTGCGCGCACCGACTGGATTCGGTAGAGGGCGTTCCTAGCTAACGAATGAGCGGCTGGTCAGTTGTCTCCGATTAAATTCTGTATGAAACTCGGTAAATCTGCGACAGAGACGTTTGATATGATCAAGCAGGCTTACCCAGGTGTTGCTTTAGCAAGAAGTGGTGTGTTTCGGTGGCACCAGGCCTTTTTAGAGGGCCGGGAGGAGGTCGCTAATGAAGACCTTGCTGGAAGACCTTCGACTTCGACAAACACCGATAATGTGACTCGTGTGCGCAAAGTTTTGAACTCAGGCCGTCGACTAAGTATTCCTTTAATTGCCCAGATGTTAAATTTACCAAAATCTGTGGTTCATGACATTGTGACACAGCCTTTGAACATGCGCAAGGTGGGCGTGAAGATGAACCCAAAAGTGCTCACTGACGACCAGAAATTGCGGCGAGTGGAAGTATGCCAAGAAAATTTGAACATGTGTGAAAGTGACCCCCAATTTTTGAATAACGTAATGACAGGGGAGGAGTCGTGGATCTTTGAGTATGATCCCGAGACAAAGAGGCAATCTTCCGAGTGGCACACGAAGGCGTCTCCTCGCCCAAAAAAGGGAAGAATGAGCAAATCCAAAGTGAAAACGATGCTCATTGTCTTTTTTGACATCAAAGGCATCGTCCACCATGAATTTGTTAATCCTGGACAAACCGTCAACGCCAAGTTTTACGTGGAAGTGCTCAGGAGACTCAAACGAAGGGTCAGTCGGGTCCGACAGGACATCGCAGCCGACTGGAAGTTGCACCACGACAACGCCCCGGCTCACACCGCTTTCTTGTGAATAGCTAGGTAGGTACCAAGGCCGGCATATCCCAACGCTTCCGCAGCCGCCCTACAGCCCAGATGTAGCCCCCGGACTTTTTTTTGTTTCCTCGCCTGAAAAGGCCGATGAAAGGCAAGCATTTTGAGACGACAGAGGGGATCCAAGCAGGATGCACCGCGGCTCTCAAGGCTATTCCGGAGAATGCCTTCCATGACGCCTTCAATGCTTGGAAATCGCGCTGGCAGCGCTGCATCGGCGCAGAAGGAGCCTATTTTGAAAGTTTTTAAAGAATTGTAACGATTGGCTCAATAAATTTTTTTAAATCGACTCAGACCTATTACTTTCCGGACAAACCCTGTACGACATTGTCGCGCGACACAAATCGCGTGCATAAATGGGATCGTATGAGTCGAATTTACTTGTTTTATAAGAACTATATGCTATGTGAAGGAGAGTCCCAACTTGGAGAACATCCTGTGTACTAGGCTTGATATGATTCTCCATGAACAAGTAATATTTTTTCAGCTTAGAAGACATACGAGCACTAGAATATAGACCCGTCAGAGTAAAAGGAGAATTTTTACACGACAAGGAATTATATATTGGTCCAAGGTCCTTGCTTACAGAAGGAGATGCTTCAACTAAGAGCTCACTTATTTCTAGTAAAACAAACACAAACCAGGGTTATTTAGTTGTTACTCCATTCAAGCTGAAGGATAGAGAGTGAGTTTTATCAAATGTATCACCTGAGTAATCCAATTTTTATGTGTCCTCCCACCCCCCCAACAGGGTCTCTTATCAACAAATATAAGTACAGCTCTGAAATTGTGTGTGAATATTCCTCTTTTATGGAAGAATGAAACAGGTGATTACTTTTATTCTTATCACTTTGTCTTTTCGAAAAATCTTTGATTTTCTTGAAGCATCGTCTCGCAGCAAGTTAAGTTTTCAAGAAAAGCAAAGATTTTTCGAAGAGAAAAAGTGATAAGAATAAAAGCAATCACCTGTTTCCTTCAACCATAAGTAAGTGTAATATTCACATACAATTTCAGAGCTGTACTAATTGTTAACTAGTTACCATCGAAGAAAAAAATCGCGATAAATTGCACAAAAAATGCATTTTATGACAAAACACGACATTTTATAGTAATCTCTATACACATCCTGAAGTAATCAAATGAAAAGGGCTTAGAATACTGCTGCACAAACCGATTAATTTTTTTGTAGTTTGAGATACAACTTACAAGAAATCGACCATATACACGTACATTAGGCCCATTACTTCAAAGACGCCTTGTCACTGGTTGAATTTGTGATCCACGTGCTTTTGGGTCCACGTTTAGTAAAATCGGGCCTTAGTAAATAGCTTAACTAAATTTCTATTGATTCATCAAATTATTCCCAAAGACAATAATGTCATTTAAATATGTCAACAAATTTACGTAGTTTGATCCAGACATTGCTACCGTCATTGCTCTGGAGAAGGAGCTACTACTTGTGCATAGCTCATTGAGGAAGCTGCTGCATTTGAAATTGCCCTTGATCGGTGGTGAATGGAGTACATGGTCTACCAAAAGCTTCTAATTCTATTAGAAAATATCCTTAAATTAAAATGACTAAAACACATAGCTCCTGATAGAGAATCTAGGAGTTCATTGACATTGGGAAGAGGAAATTTGTCATCCCAAAGTTACTGGTCTTTAGATATTAGGCAGAATTCCATTCCAAGTTATTTATATGAATTAGTCCATATTTCAGAGTATTCCCCCAGTATTCCCCATGTCTTGTGGTTGGTCAAGTAAATAGTTCTTATATACAGAGTATGACAGTCATAATTAAGTTGACATAATTTTTGCAGTTCATACATAAGAAGATTGGTATACTTGACCCTACTTTCTGTATATGTAGTTATGAGACAAAAATCTAGTTACTTTTCGCAACAGAAGTATGAGATATATTACAATTGCATACAAAATTATGTTCTTTTGTGATGACAATATTTCAGAACTTATGTAAAATTGTGCGAAATTCATTATGCAAGTCCTATACATATTGAGCTTTGGAAAATATCTCAGTTCATATTTATTTACAGTGAAACAATCCTAGTGAACAGAGGCTGGGTGCCAGTTCAAAATAAAAATGCAAAAACAAGGGAAAATGGGCAAGTGAAAGGTGAGGTAAATGTAATTGGTGTCGTGAGGACAGAAGAAAACAGGCCAACATTTTCAATGAAAAATAAGCCGGATAGCAAACTATTTTTCTACAGGTAAGGGTTGTCTTACTTTTCCCATAATACCTGAAAGGGGGTGGCACATTTCTTATGGCAAATCGTTCCCGGTCAAACGCTGAGTCACAGGGTGCGCAAGCATAGTAATTGTATCATCACAATTTCGATGGAAAATAATAGTCGGTCAAACTGGCTGCATTTCAGTATGTAATCGTATATACCATTTGAACAAAAGTGGAGAAAGATTTGGGTATCAATAATTTCCAACTTACATGGCGCACAGGTCAAGGAAGTATCTATGGAAAATAATTCTCGTTCAAAGAGGCTGTAATTTTAGTATGTTATTTCTCCAGAGAGGCTGCCCTCAGGGCGGAGTTCTGTCACCCCTACTGTGGTGTATCGTGGTGCACGAACTCCTCGTTAGGCTCAGCAGTATGGGTGTCTACGTGCAAGCCTATGCTGATGACGTAAGCATAGTAGTTAGGGGGCGTTTTTATAGAACAGTCTCGGAAATAATGCAGGGCGCGCTGCGCTCTGTGGAATCGTGGTGTAGGGAAGTCGATCTTTCTGTTAATGCTGAAAAGACCGAGCTGATCCTATTCACTAGGAGAAGAAGGCTCGACGGGCTGGTCATGCCGACCTTCTTTATGACTAGATTAATTTTGTCCCAGTCAGTGAAATATCTGGAAATTATCCTGGATTGCAAACTGAACTGGAGAGAGCATGTTGAATACAAGGTTAGCAAGGCTCGCAATTCGATGTGGGCTTGTAGACGTGTTGTCGGTGTAAGGTGGGGGCTTAAACCCAAAGTGGTGTACTGGCTCTACACGACGATAGTACGACCATCTCTCTTGTACGGCTCCCTGGTCTGGTGGCCTTGCATTAGAACTGAGTCAACTAAGGCCAAACTCAATAAAATTCAGCATTTGGCCTGTATTAGTATTACAAGCGCAGTGCGAACAACGCCATTGGATCTGGTGATCCGCGGGAAAGCGAGAGTAGTCGCTCATCGACTGTGGAGTCAGGGCTTTCTTGAATCCTGTCAAGGGGCATACTGCCATCTTAGTCGAATTGCAGAGGGAGGACCCCGTCCTTCTAAGCAGAGGTGATCGTATTACCCCTAAATATCGCTTCAACCGCAAGTTTATTGTGGAGTATCCAACGAGGGAGGAGTGGGACGCCGGTAGCCGGGGACTCTCCGGAGTGAGCGGGCAGGTCTGGTAGACGGATGGCTCGGTCACCGAAGAGGGCTCAGGTGCTCGGGTCTCTGGGCGTAGAACTAGGCTATCTCGGCCTCTCGGTGGAGAAGTATAAATAGCAAGATTAACGGTGCGCAAGTGTAGAATTGGCAAAAAAATATTGCTTTTCAAGGAACACAGATATTAAAATCACCAATCTTACGTAGTTCAAGTTACATATTAGCCAAGTAAATCAACGTTTTTGGCCTAATACAGATTCTATAATGGATGAAAATTTGGATTTAGGTTATTTAAGTATTATTCTTTATCATGACAAAAAGTTCCGGATCTTACCTTAGGCAGGAACTGAAAAATTTTGGAATAACTTTTTGACTATTTGTTGCGGCCCTGTAATTTTGTAATTCGATAAATAAGCTTCAAAAGTTGTCTTTATAATATTTTTATATCTACGGACGTTTAAGAGATTATTCCAATTTTTTTAGAGCCTCATTAGCCCATGCGTAAATGCTCGTACGCGGGATTTTTGAGCCTTCTGATTGATGAAATAGTTTTTTGAAACGTTTACCAAGCTTCATAATTAATGAAAATTACAAAATCTGTAAAGGGGAAGCTGAATATTAACGTATCTTAAAATTTCTCCAACAAATTTATCTGGTAGAAAAATGTATTTTCAAGTAAGCAAAAAATTTGTTTGAGGTTAAATGCAAATGTTAATAGCAAAAATATCTACTTTCTAGAAAAAAATGACACAACAATGTTCTACTTTTTTTAGTCATTATTTTCATGTACTTTCTTGACATTATTTAACCGTATTTCGAAAACAAGTAAATATAAAACCCCAGTAATAACAACATGAGGGGTTGAAGGTGTAATTCATTGGAGGTGTTTAACAGTTTTTCTTTACACATTGTGTTATTTAAATAATGTTTATATGTCATGGACAAGCACAAAAAATGACAATGTTTTTGTAAAAACCGTAAAACTTTTTTCATTGTGAATAGTTTCGGGTGATAATTTGAGAATATATTTAAAAGTTTCAGAAAATATTTTGCCTAGTCAGATTGTATGTATTTTTTGTCACGTTTATAGTTCTTAACATCCTCTTACATACAGGGTCCGGCAGTGAAACGGTATATTTATAGGTGGCCTTGAACGCTGTTGTAAAGGTGGTGGGGATGACGCCACGAGCTCTAAGCCACCAGCTCAACCTACCATTTAGTTGTGATGGATCGTTGGACGGGTGAACATCGCGGCTCCACAGTGAAAGCGTATTATCAAAATGGTGAAAGTTTGCTGCAAACTCGTGCTTCTCGACGTCATTTCAACCTATCGCGTAACCAGCCAGTTCCTTCAAATAACGCAATTCGAAAGTGGATTGAAAACCTCGAGCAGCCCGAATCAACATGTAAAAGAAGAGGAGGTAGTGTAAAAAAAGTTACTCCAGAAAACATTGCTGCTGGTCAACAGGCAGTTCTCCGAAGTCCACGCCGATCAGCTAAGAGACATGCTTTACAGCTCGGAATTAGCGACAGATCAATAAGAAGGATCCTACATGAAGACCTTCGATTTCACCCTTACAAAATTCAGGTCGTTCAATATTTCAATCCTGGTGATTATGAAAAACGATATCGATTTTGTGAGGATATGCTCCGGAGACTTGAAGAAAATGACGAACTGAATAACTTGTGGATGAGTGATGAGATTCATTTTCATATTTCTGGTTTCGTTCTCGTTTACTTCATGAGAAGCCTCTTCATGCTCAAAAAGTGACAGTATAGTGTGCTGTGTCGGCAAATGGAATCATCGGACTATTTTTTTCGAGGATGAAGCTGGAGGTACGGTGACTGTTAATAGTGAACAATACGTTTCAATGATTCAAAACTACCTCACTCCACAACTCACACAGTTTCCAGTAAATGACAGCTCTTTTTCAACAAGATGGTTCAACAAGCCACACTGCGAGAATCTCAATGAATGCTATGAAGGCTTTGTTCCCGGGCCGTCTAATTTCTAATAACGGAGTAACACTTGGCCCCCTCTTTGCGCTGATTTGACACCCGGGGCTACTTGAAGGCAAAAGTGTTTGAAAACAATCCTCCAAGAACAGTTCTAGCACTCAAATAACGCATTAGGAGTGAGAAGCAATACCAGTCAATATGCTGCGAGATGTCATTAAGAATTCCCCACTGCAGGAATGCATCCGTTCCAATGGACGACATTTGGCAGATGTTGTGTTCAAGAAATATTTTTTTCTACTCTGTACACATAATGACTACTTTTCTAGTTTACATTTTGGGTAGTTAAATTTAAAAAAAATATTTTTTAAACTTAAAGTCGTTTAAATATTCCCGTTTCACTGCTGGACCCTGTACTTTAATTTCAGTCAGTACTATTCATGCTGTATTTTTTTTTTGTGTAATACTAGAAACTAGACCTACTTGTCATTTCAGACATTTGCTATACCTGCCTTATGTCCCCAATGCTCTTTTGCAGAGACTTGCCAACTATGGCCAAACTGACACATTCAGATCAAATATATCTAGATGCAACAAATGATTTTGACATTCCTGAAGGACCCATTGGCGGACAAACGAGAGTGTCTTTGAGGAATGAACACCTGTCTTACATACTAACATGGTTTTCTTTGAGCGCTGCTACTGGTTATATGTGGTATAAAAGATTTGTAGTTTAAGTTGTATATAAAACGTTGAAATATATTATGTTTATCTTATTTATGTCTGAATTTTAACCTTAGGATTCAATGAGATTACTTTGAGTCACTCTTATTACAATTTGTTCATCCATGTATGTTCTCTTGGCTATATTGGCCTCCGCCTTGCCACACGAAGCGCTGGCAACCAAATTTATTAATAACTTGATGAATAAAGTGGACATATTGATGAGGTTCTCGTGAACTTTCAACCGACAAGGGCCTGGGCAGAAACAGTTTGTCGGCTGCGATTAAAAAGGGACAAGAAGGCAAGTACATTGTCTCTGCACTTACTACGTAACGCCGTCATCAGTTCATAAAGGATGAAGTTCAGCGCAATTTAAATCCTCAACAGAGAAATTATACGGACTAAGTCAATCAAACAGCCCCATGCAATTAGTCCATACACATTCTTTCCCTGCCCTATCGGTAGTTTCTGTACATCCGGCAACATTGTCCTTTTCCACACCTGCGCAGCATCGCTACATCCAGTTATCATTCATTTCGTAAGTGCGGTCCATGTATATGTACAGGTTTTTTCGCGCTGCATTATGGATAGATTAATCAGCCGAAATACGCAGATCGAAAATATTTCATTTCATTTTCATTCTAAGTTTTGAAGGTAAATGTACAATAGACCAAAGAGTCGCAGCGGAGGATCGTTATTGATACACTCACAAAAAACCTAACGGAGAAATCTATGATGTGTGAAATATGGCTAATAGGTTTCTAGAATGACCGGGGTTTGGAACATATAAATATACTAAAATCAAAAAATTGTCATATACCCCCTACAACCCTCGAATTTCACTACCTACAAAAAATTTCCTGGGAATGATGTGGACCATCTGAAACGTCAAAAAAACGAAGTTGGTTGATTTTTATTTTTTTCGTTTTTGACTTATTTTCCAGCCGCCACTGGTTCGATTTTCAAAAACTACAATGCTTTCGGCCTTGGCATAGTAGCATCCTTGTGCGAAAATTTCATCAAAAGCTATTTGGGCTATGGACTCTCATCGCTTCTTCCTACAGGAAATTTTAAATACATGCACGAAACAAAAATGTTTGCATTTGAATTAGAAAATGTGGAAGAACATGGCGACGGCGGCTATGTTTTAGAAGTTGACGTACGGTACTCCGAAAATTTACGTGATTTATATAGGGACCTGCCATTTTTGGTAGGAAATATGATCCCGTCAAATGCTAAAACAAAAATTCCAAAACTAATCTAATACCATTATATGAAAAACAAAAGTACATTTTGCATTACCGTGAGCTTCAACAAGCCATGAATTAAGGACTGCAAGGATCTAAAATTCATAGGATCCTAAAATTCAAGCAATCGTTATGGTTGAAAGAATATATTGATCTTAATACAGCAATGAGGAACAAAGAAAAAATAATTTTGAAAGGGATTTTTGCTAAATAATGATATTTTTCGAAAGACGATGGAAAATGTGGATAATAGAAGAGACAACCGCATTTGTGTCGGAGCCTTGATTGCGCGTCCAAATTTTAAAAGCTGATCTATATTTCACGAAAATTTAGCAGCAGTTCACTTGGGAACGGTAAAGGTACATGATTTTAAACCGATATGTCTAGGATTTTATATACTAGAATTATCAAAGATAGTAATGTATGAATTCTTTTATGGATTCCTCAAAAAGCATTTCGGATCTATGTTGTACGGTGATACGGATTCATGGATTCTAAAAATACATACAGATGTTTTTCATGAATTTATTAGCAAGTCGGTAATAATTCAGAAGCAGTTGTCTGGGAGTGAATGTAAGAAGATAATCGAAGGGTGTGGGTTGGTATTCAGAAAGATGCATATACAAAATAAAGTTACTCTAGCACATCATAATGATGAAAGTTTTATTATTCCTAACACCACAAAAACTACATTGGGGACACCTTGACATTGAGTTTTATCAGACTGACCCCTCGTTAAACGTAAAATATTTTATAGGTGCAATTCAATGATGTAGTAAGGAACGCTTCCCCCGAAAATGACGTTAGCGGAAGTTTGTAATTCTCGGATTTAGTTTACTTCAGGCTTGTATATACGTAAATAAAAGCAACATATAGTAAAAAATATTTTATTTCACCACCATAGATGAGTATACATGAGTTATACAGTTCGTACTCTTCAGGTACACTAAGTACGTATCATGGAGGTATTTTTATGTTTAGGCAAGATACACACCTACTGCAAGTCGATGGTACCTAGTACAAAGTAGAACTCAAGGCGATTGCAAGTGTCAGGTTGCGTCTGACAATCGCTATCATACGCAACCTGTAACGTAATAAGGGTACCAGCCCTGAGTTGACTAATAGTTGAAGATGATTCTCAGCAAAAGTTGTTGTCCTTTCAGATCCTCTTAGTCGATCAAATGTCAAAGTCTTAGTTAGGAAGCTTTGAGTTAAGTTGGTTGTTAAAGAATCGTCGTCCGTGATTGATGGGAAATGCGGTTAGTGGCATTAATATAGAACTGTTTCAGTTTGACAACGGGATTATTCATTCTTCTTGTTTGCTGTGGGGCTGAGATTATGTTCGTGCCTAACTCGGAATATCAACTGATATCAACGATGATTTAAATAGACGTAATATTGTTATGGAAAATCCAAAAATAATCAAGAGAATGCAGAATGTCAATGAATGATTCTAGTTTTTGGACATTATTATACTATTATAATATACTTTCGTTGTAACCCACATCTGCGATTTTTTTGAAGTGTAAGACTATGCTAGATAGCATAATACAGACGTACGATTGTAGTATATATGTTATTTTCTCGCTCGCTCGTTCCGTAATGACGTTTTCATATCCCAGAAATTCCATATTTCTTCATCATCGTTGCTTAAATGTTCGGAAACCTTTTATTTCTTCATCATCGGAAGCTAAAATGTTAGGAAACCTCTATTATCGATAACGAAATACACAAGAAAATGAAATAAAATAGAATAAAATGGTAAAACCACAAAATTAGAAACGTCTTGCTAACAATTTATAACCTCAAAACAGCTTTGTCTTTGCATTAACTAAGACATCGGAAGGTTAACACATACTTCAAACTTTGAGTTATTTTAGATTCAACTATAACTATGAGCTTGGGCCTAGCAAGTAGTCGATAAACTGGATAGCTTTATAGAGTCTTTTTCACGAGTAACCATTACATAAAACGTCAATAATAACTGATTGTCTAGTAAGATTTCAAAATACCCCCTATCGACAAGTGACACTCGATTCTGAGGAATCTGTCAACGCTAGATCTGTAGGCAGTCGTACTGTGGTCTTGTGAACTGCGAATTCATACTACCTAACACCGCTTTCATTTAGAAAATTATTTAGCACACAAAAAAAAAACGTTACAAGCAAAATGGGAGCTAATGATCATGACTAAATTTCAAGACCGGCAGTAATAGAACAAGATAAAGACTTTTTGATTATGTTTGGTATAAACAGTTCTGAATGTCGAGTTTTACATGATACACACTTGATTAATTATTGCCAACACTACAGGCTTTAATACAAAGATATCACTTGCTGATCAGCTGTTCACTTCAGTAGGCCTCAAATCGAAATCGATACTCGTGGAAGACACCATAGTTGCCTTGAGTTAATTAAGGTATAATTGGTAACACATGTGTACAAGCGGGAATACAATTTACAAGTTCGTCCCCTATAATGTAGAATTTTGAGGTAGTATAGAATAGCAATGTTTTTGTTCCACGAGGCGCCTCGAAGGTTCCGACCACACGCTAGCTCAAATATGTTATGGATTTTCATACCTCCCGTGCTTCTTCAAATCTCATATAATTTCGGCACCTTCAATTTAATTCCGTTTCTAACTTCCACTAACAAGTTTGCCTTCATCCACCAGTGAGCGTAGAGTCCAGATTTATAGATGGTCGGAGGCTCTACTGACTGGTCTCTTACGTCTCTAGCATTTTCCTCTAAGATACAACTTTCAGAATAAGATTTTTTTATACCCAATCTGGAAATCACTGGTATATCTGTGAGAGGGGTATGGCAGTAGCTTGAAACTAAGGACGCGCTTGAGGTGAAACTGCCTCTGGATCTGAAAATTAGAATTTACAAACTCAAGTGATAAAAAATCGTAAAGGGTGAGGTAATTGAGGTTAAGCGGATGATAGTGGCTAAGGCCCGATACCACCAACTAATTGATAATGTGACGCCCTCGTAACTGGGACCTTGAATGGCGAAAACATACTCTCGCAAAATTAGACAACCAGAGCTATACCATCATGTATCGCATGTTGCAAAGCTTCGAGAGCGATTGCGTTCACGTGCGTGAGCGCTTGCGGCGCTATCTAGAAGGAATCGAGTTTTTGCTAGAAAATGCTGGAGTGCATCCTGAACCGTTCGATTCACCACATAAATATGCGACCATATGGTGGAAGCAGTTAGTAACAGTTGGGATATTCAAACAACTCGGAATACCGTAGTCCAATCAACATGGTTATAAATTTTCATATATTAGTATAAATGCTATCTAAATGTAGAAGTAACACTGACTTTGGACAGAAAAGACGGTGTTTCCGTTGCAGTTCGCTACAATAATATGTTTTTCCTGGAGGTTTAAAGACGTTAAAAGGAGAACGTTCATCTGACCTGCTCATAATAGATATCCACGCCAATGCTCAGCCATTGACGTCAAAGCCCAATAATCGTATTTATCCGTAACGTATGTGTTCCAACGGTTGAATAGACAAAGTTAACTGGTAGGCAATATGTATATCTGTAAATTAAAAACATTAAATACGTTTCTACTGCATATATGGAGATTTCTCTATCCAGGCCAAATCATTAATACCACACATTTCAGGCACTATTGAACCGATTTTGATGAAATTTTGCAAAATGACAATGTTACTTAGAAGTAACGTAAAACTAGTTTAAATTTCTTGTATTTTAGCAGAATCAACAGCTTTTAAGCTAGATATTGAAATGCCTGATCATGTACAAAAAAACCAATGGATGGTGCTTGTTAATTTGTAAAATGAATTGAAAGGGCCTTTTTTGGTTTTATAGTTAAGAATTTTTATTTGCTCAAAAATCTTATTCATACAGAACCAACTTGATTTCATTAGTATTTAGTTTTTTTACAAAGTAATGCTCAGAATTGATCTAAAAATCTTTTGGAAACTGGAAATTTTAGGGCCGGATTCAGTTTTTTTATTTAGTTGTATTTTAATAAATGCAACGCCCTGTAACTTATACTCTGAATTTATTATTTCGCTGGAAAAAGAGCAATAAACTATATAAATAAATGGCAAAATCAAGGTTATACACCTTTTTCTGTACTTTTTATACATAGTCCAAAATTTCAATATTCAGCTGGGAAGGTGATTTTAAGCAAAAACAAAAAAAGCTAAAAGCAAAATCGGTTGTTAGTGCCTGCGATAAATATTAAATATTTGACGTGTTTAGAAAAAGCAGACTGTTTATTCGTAAAAAATGAGCTCAGAACTTTTTTAGTTCCAGATATGAAAAGTCCCCAGTCCATACTGCCTACCATTTCACTATGTCCATTCAAGATTGATACTACACTCTGTATATACAACATACCCAGTTAATATATTTTCCGGAGCAGCATCCTGTCCGGAGGTCCTTGGTGTAGACCCGAAGGGAGATGTACAACGACATTCGGATTCAAAGTTTCTGGCCTCAATTTCACTAGAAGTGACCTCGGAACGCTTTGTTTCGCTAGTTATGCTTAGATGTTCTTGAAATGAATTACAACTGTCAAAATTGTATATATCGGAAAAATTCATTATAGAACTACCTTCCATGCCTGAATCCGAGGATCTTATACTGTGACAGTAGCCTCTGCTGTGAGATCTGCAACTAAAACAGAAGAAGAAATGTTAAAATACTCAACAATTAATTTCTAATTCTTGTCTTTTAAGAGTCGAATATAAAAACCTCAAATCAAAAGCATAATGGCTAGGTAAGCGTAATGTCTAGAAGCTTTTCCCTCCTATTAATATGTTCGGAATAGAGCTGACACTTTGTATGAATGTTGAGAAAACCATTATAAATGAAGATTGAAAAGTACCCATTAATACTCAAGGTCAAATTACACAAATATACGTTTTTGAATTTGTCTGCTAAACGGGAAGTCTTAACATAAAACTAGGGCATATAGCTGTTCTGTCACGTTTCCACGGAACTTGTGAGGTGATGCACTGGGCGCGTCTTTTTTAACGTGATTTTCCCGATATGTGTATTACATGATTTATTGTGGTCATCGAGATAAAAATGCTTGACTATTGTATTTAACAAATGCGTAGTTTTGTCAGAATCAGAAGCGAAGCTTCTCATAATAGAACGTCTTTTTCTTTCATTGATACAGTTTCTTTTTATGGTCGACTAGAAATTAACTACATTGATAAAGTAAATTATTACAACGTTTTCTTTATTTAGGATAATTCTTTTATAAAACACTTCTCTCAGTCTAATAAGTTTGTGGTAGAAAATCGTACTCTCTATACATCTCGTTGGAGGTCATTTTTTATAATTTCTGTCGACCGTAAATCCGAGAGCTGAAGGTGACTTGGGGTTATTTCCGGTGCTCTAGTGTAGGAATTGTCTGCGGCCCACTGCCCGATTCTGTGAAAAAGTTCACACGCTGACCTCACCCTGAAGTCTCATATTTAACGACTGACAACAGTGTTGGCGGGATAACACTATATTAAATCGGAGCAGGTTTTTAAGTGCAATTGACGAAATTTGTCGTTTTATTATCTATTACAACGTTTTCTTTATTTAGGATAATACTTTTATAAAACACTTCTCTCAGTCTAATAAGTTTGTGGTAGAAAATCGTACTCTCTATACATCTCGTTGGAGGTCATTTTTTATAATTTCTGTCGACCGTAAATCCGAGAGCTGAAGGTGACTTGGGGTTATTTCCGGTGCTCTAGTGTAGGAATTTTCTGCGGCCCACTGCCCGATTCTGTGATAAAGTTCACACGCTGACCTCACCCTGAAGTCTCATATCTAACGACTGACTACAGCGTTGGCGGGATAACACTATATTAAATCGGCGCAGGTTTTTAAGTGCAATTGACGAAATTTGTCGTTTTATTATTTATTACAACGTTTTCTTTATTTAGGATAATACTTTTATAAAACACTTCTCTCAGTCTAATAATTTTGTGGTAGACAATCGTACTCTACTCTACATCTCGTTGGAGGTCATTTTTTATAATTTTCGTCAACCGTAAATCCGAGAGCTGAAGGTGACTTGGGGCTATTTCCGGTGCTCTAGTGTAGAAATTTTCTGCGGCCCACTGCCCGATTCTGAGAAAAAGTTCACACGCTGACCTCACCCTGAAGTCTCATATCTAACGACTGACTACAGCGTTGGCGGGATAACACTATATTTAATCGACGCAGGTTTTTAAGTGCAATTGACGAAATTTGTCGATTCTTTTTTCTTAGAGAATTGTTGAATTAAAACCGATTTTTCAACTACTAAGAATTAACTCGCAGAACTTCGGTCCGTGTCCTAATATTCAGATAATTGCTATCAACATAAGGCACACGCACAATGATACACGCCTCGCAGGACGCAAATTTTTACTAATGTAGATGCAACTGAATTTTGTGAACATTTTTTAAAAAATAATTCGTAGTGGTGAGATAAGCCAACGGGTATCGATTCATTTGCAAATTAATACTTTTTATTAAACACTTACCTGTAGCATGGCTTTCTTGAATCATCCACTGCGCCATCCGGTTTTGATAACTCTATGAACCTCGAACTAGTATACCTTTTGGGCGCCTTGGAATGCAGCTGCATACCACTTCTTTCCCACAGCTTACCTGAATTTATGGTATGCTTCCTAAACTCCACATCTTTTAAGCTGAGACTGTTTCTTTCATCATTCACTTCCATGTCCGTATACGCAGGTTCTACTGGTTCTCCATATAAAAGTTCTCCTAATATCTTATTGGGAAGAGGTAATGTGTTGGCAGGCAGATTTAACGTACTGGAATGTGTCGATGATTCTGCACTATGATTGTTATTGTTGTACTTTATGTTATTGTCGCTGTTGGACCAGGGAGGTATGTAGATGGCTGTCAAACTGGTCTGGTTGAACTTGTTGCCTACAAATTTGGTAGGACAGCTCTGTCTGACAGCAGGAAAATGTGCTTGAGGTACTGTTAAAGTATTAAGCTCTGTATTATCATCTAAGTTGCATAGATCCTCACATGCCATATATGATTTTTGAGGTGAGATCCCAGAACTAGCCTGCGATTCTTCTGAAATTTGTTTTGGCAGATTCATGCTTGTCGGAATCACCAAGATATCATTGGGTAGTTCAGTTATCTTAGGTTCGTGCTCCTCATCGTCCACATATAGAGTTTCTTCTGTCTGAGAAATATTCTCTGGATTGTAGTACCTTATATAACCAAAAGGATTACTGCAACATGATTGCTCTGATGAAGATTTCGAATGAACAGCATTCTGCCTCTGCACTCTTCTACCTGTACCATATACTTCTTCTGAATTATCTGTAGAATCTTCATCCCAATTGTTACCATTCTGGTACCCATCGCGGTACGATTCATCTTTTGTATAAATATATACTTCAGTCTTATGATGCCTAAGTCGCACTAAAGCTGGATTCGTTTTATTCAAATATTCACTGTATAATAAGTGCTTTAATAGTTTACTTGTGATGGTTTTATTTTTGATCAGTGCGTGATAGTGTCGCGTTAAAGAAGCATAAGGAGCTGCTGAGGGGTAATCTTCTAACGGGTAAGTTGGTGTGTAGTTCATTGTATAGTTGTAAACCGTTACATAATCGAGGTTGCTGCAGTATCTTCTTTGATTCAGTATCGTTGGCTGTGAATAAAACAGTTCCTATAGAATTACAATGAAAGTCGTCTCACTAGTGTGGGGTATATGTGATAAATCTGATTACAAATGTTTATTATTCAACACTTTGGAGTCCGGATACTATTGCCATGTCCATATGAAAATATAATAGCTCAGAATATACAAACAATATTTACAAGTAATTTTGAGTAATATTCTAAAGTAAATTCATGAAGTGAGTGCATGATTTTATCCCGATGCCTTTAATGTTTGAGGGTAGAATGTTATATATTTAGGTCCAAGATATATCAAATAATGTTGGTAAATATTTCTATGGTTCATTGGTATCAAAAGATCTCGATGGCTTCTACATCTGACTCACATATAAACTATCATTTTTAATTTTACGAACATATATAGACACAGCAAGTATGTATAAGGAAGCAACATTGAATAATAAATTCTTCTTTAAATAACAAAAATTAAGGACATGTCTTTACTTTTTTATAAATTATTCTCTAGATATATTTTTGGGTAATATCCAATTATTCTAAAACATTGCTGTACAGACCACCCCACACTAGGATTTCATATTCCATAATAATGATTCTATTGGAGATTTATATATTAACAACAAATTTCTTGGTAGCAAGATTTGTGATCTAATTTACGAATATTACTTTTTAATTTAATGACATCTTCAAATGTTTGTCTATTATTATTCCTAAATATTTCGTACTGAAAATCTCTAAAATATCATTTCCAAAATTCGGAATAGAAATCTTACAAAAGTCAGGTCGAGTAGCGATACGATATACGAAATTCAAGTCTTGTTTACTGGGATTCCATCTATTACCTACTTTTCTACAGGAATCATCAACTCTAATCCTAAATAAAGCTTACCTCCAGAACTCGCCGTGACTGAAGTTTCGATATCATCAAATTTTCTTTGGATGTTGACATTTTACACAGTAAATGTACCCAGTGATCTGCTTCTTTTTCATTCTGACAGAATACAATTGTATTTTCGGTGATGGGAGAGTTAATTTCGAATGCATGTTTATATTCATTGGACTCCTTTAATCTGGATACAGTTAGGCCATCCAAGTATATTTTTTTCTAAAAAGATTTAAAAAGAATTGGACGAACGAAATGTAATAAAATTAAAACATTGATTCAGATATATTATGGCCTATCCATGCGGAGAGAGAATATTGCTCCCAAATAATTTGTTAACGAAATGTTGAAATGTTTTTGCTATTAACTAAAGATAGGTTACAGTTTTGCAAATTTCATTATACCAATTTGTATCTGACAGCGAACAGGAGAGTCCAAGAACTAGATTTTTAATGACGGCCCTTTAAAGATGGATAGGTGGTATGGTTTTTCTATCACTCACAAAATTACATAAAATGTACACTATTTTAAACAAGGTTACTGGCAATACGTATTTCGGATTTTTTGCTTCATCAGGTCCGAAATGAATGCAAATGTGCAACTACAAAAGTAGACACACATGCTCATACATCCTGACTCGGGTGTGACAAAAGGAAACGAAGATGGAGAGGGAATATGTGTAAAACGACACACGAAGTCACCTACAAGAGCCAACTTACACATTTTAGTGTAAGGGCCAGAAGACCTCGAGTTTTCAAGGCGACATCTTACCACAACCACACAGCCGGTTATAGCCACTTTCTGTGGTACTTCAACCCAAAGGATGTACAAAAAGGAAAGGATCGTGCGGAAAAAGATATATAACAAATAGAAAACATATTGGGTATAATCCGCAAAAAGAAGGAAAGTGAATTCAAGAAGTTAATAGGATAGGTAACCCGAGCAATACGTATTCTTGCTTGTTAGTTTCATCAGACCCGAAATAAATGCACATACGCAACCACAATGCAATCTCATCGATACCAAAGATGCAAACTTGACAATCAATCTGCATCGCCAACACCTACAAAGCTTTTTCATTCTGAGCATAGGAGTCACTTTGTGTCAAAATCAAAAGGGTACCTTCCGAGTTATGAAAGGGCTAAAGCTGTTAGGCAGTAGCGGTGGCCGCAGTGGTAGACTCTTCGGTTTCTTGATCAGTCGCCGTGCGTTGCGCGGCTGGGCATCCCGTCCCAAGAGAAATGTTTCTCTTGGCTATGGATGTTATGATTGTTCGTAGATGGTAGACGGTCTCTGACTGTCGAACGCGGAGGTACCACCCGGCGGATCTCGTAGGCGGTGCCAGAATGTGTGAATGTTGCATGCACACGAGTTCCCTTGCCAGAGTTCATGTGGCGTCCCCCCTTTCTCCTGTATCACCCTATAGCCCCGCGGTACCCCATGGCTGATGGGAATTAGCCCTTCGTGGTAGTTTAAGTATAAAAAAATTGAATCACGAACGTGTATACGTCAGGGGTTTTCAAAAACTCATAGCTATATTACGATGCACCTTCAGGAAACGTTTTCAAGTAATTCAGCATATATTGTACTCGTATGTGAGTCATTTAAACTTTAAACGGTTACCGCACATACTAGCATTAACTTTTAGTAGTAGGGTAAAGTTGGGTAAATTGGACTATTCCATATGTTATCAAATATGTTCTTAGTGACTTATTTGAATAGAATGATAACTAAGACTGGGATTATTTCACAAGTGTCTATTAAGAAGCTTATGTAAGTGCTGCTAGTTTAGCATAAGCTTTTAAAAAAGCATATGATAAAATTTATCGAACCACGTCGGCAAGCGCTTTTCAAATTGTACCTACCAAAATGTACAAGATTTTCACTGATAGTGAAACAGATGTGTGAAATAAAATATCGTGACGAATTAAATGTTTTATTTAGACAACACAGGGAACATAAATGAGAAACACAGGTGAGTATGCGGAAAGAGTTGAAAAATCTGACGATCTCCATCTACCAGTGAATTGCTTTCCGTTCGTCTGTCTCCAGGACCACTAGACCTATACAGCACTGAGAAGTTGTTATTGAGTACCAAACACAGCTGTCTGTGTGGTTGGTCATGTTAACAGAGATGGAAAGCAAACATGTTGATTTCAACCTACTCGTAGGTGAGACAAAATATTGTCTGTCAAAATACCGGTATGCATAGAAAAGTATCATTTATCGAACTTAAACATAAGAATCGCCAATATATATTGAAAAATCGTAACAAATATAGTCTAGTCGACTAGGGGACGAAGCACATATTTCATACATCCAATTTGTGCATTGGTTGCATATGTCCATGATATTCCGGTACGATTTAACAAGCCTATAGCCAAACTGGTAAGATTTACACAAATTGTTTTATTTTTTTCTTCAGAAATTGAGGTTCGGTTAAATTTTACCCGCCTAAAATCTTATAAAATATACCTTGTTTCACGAGTATCCATCACGCTTTGACGTCTAGTGAGGTGAACAGTTGATCAGCAAGTGACTTGTTGGCGTTAGTCTGCGACGATAATGAATCGGCACGGGTATTACGTATCTTGAAAAGTGACATTATGTCGATTTTTTTTGACATTGTTTTGGTTTTTTGTCACACTATGTAGGTTTCTCTACAAGATGTTAACTTAGCACTAGCTAATGGACACCTGGTGAACTCTTTTTGTAGTTGTACGTGATGCGTAAACATTATGAGGCTTCAGTTACCAATGTTTGGCTCCGATGTGATGTAAAATCTGCTTCAGAGATGGCATTACTGGAGGTCTAAGCTGTAAGTTGTATACTATGGCTAGAAGGAAACGGCAATGCCTAGGTTCATAGTGACGATTTGTATGCTAATAATATGTGTTGATGATAGTTCCATTGGATTCTTGTCTCAAATACACTTACTTGAGATTCAAAGCTAGAAATTAGTTGCGCATCCACATTTTCTTATCCATCCTGGAGGGTATGTACATATGCAAATTTGATGAATTTAAAAAATGAGAGAGATAAGAAATAATTATATTCACTGTACACTGTCGAATTACAAGTCATATACATGCTAACAGTAATTACACACGACTACCTGACGTTGACGGATCCGTGAGAATTATGTGTTCTGTGCCGATATGTCGAATTTTGAGATATTACTGATAATCAGCTGTCATTCTACCGTGATGGATACTTGTGAAATAGGATATAGTCAGAAATTACTATAACTGCGACTTTTCCCTCTTATTAACGACGTTATGTGTTTTGCTAGGCCTTAAATTAAATAAAAAATGAAAAAATAAAAAAGCTGTGGTACTTGGAACAAAAATCCAAATTTATCAAACTGTTGACTTCGCCCCTGTTCGCTCTGAAGTACAGATATGGTGTATGAGTACCTACCTTATAAACGAATGCACTTGATGAATGGCTTACAGAAAGTATCACCAAGGTAGACGGGAACAGCACGAAATATCGACAGCGACATTTCAGTATAACTAGACTCATGTAAACGATATCTCCAAATGTTGCCAAATTTGGACCCTCCCAACCACAAATAGGACCTGTCAGCACTTGCAGTTCCAGTTCTTTTTGTCTCCTTATCGCATTACAGTCAGCCTGAAAATATTGAAAAATCATACATATACGTCTACAACGAAGAAGCCAAAGCACATATTTCATCGCGAACCCTTATTATCAGTTTTTAGTATATTCCATTTGTTTTGAACTTAATCATGAACATTTCTTTGTACTTGGTTTTCGTTCAAATGATTTTTTTATTTATTTTTCAAGGACTGTTCCAAGTGTCATTCTTTGATTTCGTATTGTCGCGGATTAAGTTTTTATATTTGAAATATATTTGAGTCAACACTCACATTTGTCGAGTGCACTCGCGTAAGGGGCTTCCAAACTTATGTGTGTAGATTTTATGCGGTTAGCAATTAGATTTCTGTGCATCAGCGGAAATCTTCATTCTTCATCAGCGGCGTAGGATAGTGAAGGCTCAAATTAGACGCGGGAATTTTGAATAGGATAGATTCGTGATAAAATTAATATAGACGTTAAAGCAGACTGACGAATCTCCTTTTACATTTTATAACAAGGTACAGAGTTTACGGAGCCTGGAAGTATTTTTTCTCACTGCGCATTGTATGCAGAAGCACAAATCATATGCAATTTTGGCAAAAACGCCTTAAGAGTATTTATGAATGGACTAAAAGGGTCTTTCAGTTCACTAATGAGGCTAAGACTTGAGTAAAGCTCTGAATATATTAACAAACGATTTTCCGTTAGAACATGATAAGTATAAAACAGGCAGGAATGCACCTAGGAACAATAATAGATTTAATGTGCGCCAATTATTTCACCACACGACATTCACTGATAATTATAGGAATTAACACCAAAATATTCCACATATTTTACTCCCCACGCCTACTGGCAGGGAAGTATTGTATTCACGAAAATTTTCGAAATTGAGATATGTTTTGTGAATGTTATATGACATATAACAGCATGAAAATCCATGTCATTCATTTCCGTCTTTTTTAACTTGAGAAGTACCGCTCAAATTTCGATGTAATTCTTATATAATGTTACTACTATGCCAAGGATGTAAAAGCTTTGAAGTTTTTGAAAATCGGTCCAGTGGCGGCAGAGGAAAATGCCAAAAACGAAAAAGAATGACTTCGTTTTTTGACGTCTCAGAGGATCCTGATCATTTTTGAAAAAAAAATTAGAGGTGAAAAAGCTTGGTGGTGGGCATTGGAGGGGGTGGTGAGCGTTTATATCAATTTTTTGGCTTTAGTACATTTATACTCTCCCAACCTTGGTAATCATACGCGCCTATCAAACATATTTCACACATCACAGATTTCTCCGTACATTAGCCCTTAAAACTTACAAATATATTTTCAGTAAGCCACCGGCCGGTTACGCGACGTGATGCCAGCCTTGATGACTTCTGTTTTCTTTTCTAGTATGGTGTTTGGTGTTACACGCTATGCTCTGACCGCGCTGCCACGTCTGACCGAGTTAAGGCGACGTTGCAAGATTACCGGTAGAGCAGGGAAATAATGTCTATGGACTAACTGCATGGACCTGTTTGACTGACTATTTTTTCAGAGGGTCTAGTTTGTGCTGAACATAATCCTTCATGAACTGAACTATGCGGGAACTAACATTTAGGCATAAGACCGTAAGACAAGTGCTTCTATCGCTCGACATCAACAAGTCTCTGGTCCGGACTTGATTCCTGCTATTGTATTGAGGAGATGTCCACGCAACTGTGGAATGAACTCAACCACTGTTATGGTGAGGCCCATGTCGTTGCTCTTGATATCAGGAAAGCGTTCGGTCAGCTGTGGCAACCTGCTCTTTTATCCAAACTTCTATCCTATGGCCTCCCCAAGAAGTTTTGCAAATGGGTGGCTTCCTCTTTTACCGCAAAATATCGGTGTAATTGACGAGTTCTCCTCTTCATCCCACAACGTCAACGTGGGTGTTTCCTAGGGATCGGTCTTGGCTCCGACATTGTTGCTCTTACATATCAACGACCTCCTTTCATGTACGGTCAATCCAATCCATAGCTTTGCTGATGGCAGCACTCTACATGCAAGAACTCAGAGTGACGAGTGGATCGTTGCTAGTCAGCCGGAGAAAAGAAGACTAGTAGCGACTTCCTCTATGGCGAGAGACGAGGTGTTTATTCCAAAACACAGTACTTGATCGAGTTCTATCAAAGAGCCATTCAGTTCGGTTGGTCGAAATTCAAATCACCAAGGACTTGATCTGTCACGAACACATCTCGTCAATAGGAAAGCTAGGCAATTTGCTTAGGGCCAAGAAGTACTTTTCTCCACATGACCCTCTCACTCTGAACAAGTCCCAGATAAGGCCTAGCCACGAGTAATATTCACATGTTTGGGGTGGTGCTGCCCTAACTTCATTATATATACTCGATGCTGTTCAGAGGAGGGCTTTCCGACAGATCGATGACTCTTCTCTAACAGGCAGTCTTGGGACCCTCGGCGATGCAGCTCTTTTCTAATCGTGTCAACCTTCGTACATCCAGAACTGGCCGTTACGACCGCTCCTTTGACCCTAGGGTATCGAGCTTGTGGAACAATCTACATCAGGAGGATTTTCCCAGTTCTACTAGGCTTAGGCAGTTTAAAAATCAAATTAACAAAGTTTCTTTAAAGCCCTCATAGCAGCCGCGGTGTCTTGGCTTCTTCCTACACGACTGCTTCGGTGTAAAAAAAAGATGGTATCGTTTAATTATATCCACTGTTATTATTAATATGTCCGAGAAGTTGTTTGTCACGGATGATTGCCTGCTATATTTCACCTTTGTAGAGCAGCTTGATAATTTTGTCAAGGAGGAGCTCAAAGATATTTTGATTCCAGTATGAACATAGGTCCTCTAAAGACAGCGTCATCTATGAGAGTAACCTTTTCAAAGTACATGTTGTAAACTGAGATAGAGAGAAAATCTCATAGATGACGCTATGGTATCTCAATTTATCTTGGATAATTTTAAATTACCAGACAGACAGACAGGCCAACGGAAATGAGTGACATGATATTTCGACATCCAAAAAACATAATATCTAATAGAAAATTTTCGCGATTAAACTAATTCCCCGCCAGTAGGCCTAGGAAGGAAAAACGCTCTGAGCTTACACAAACGTTCACACTCAAAGGTGGTTGACTTGTGTCTTGTATGTATGAGGGAAATGGAGATATGGAAGTTGATGCTGGCAATTTACTGTTCCGCCGAAAAACGTCAAAAAAACAGTAGGTAGCTGTAACTTACGGCTTTGTCCTTGTAAACTCCAATGCACTTCTGAATATTCCCATTATCTGAGTGATCCCATCCCATATGCTTTTCCAGCTCGCTTAGCATTCCAGAATATTTATCCAATCGCCTAAAAGGCTTGCTCAACATGGATGTTAGTACTAAAATTCCAGGACATGCTGCACCTCTTGATTCCATGAATTTTGTAATATCGTCCCTGTTACAAAAAAGGAGATTAGATGTATCAACATGAAAATTGGCAAACGGGGTTTCTGAGGACGATAATTTATTTTTAACATAGTATGTGAAGCTTTAAGCAAAAAATGGCGCTAATTCTGGACAAGTGGAAATGTATGTGCATCAGGAATAGAATCAGTCAAGTTTTGTACGTTCTGGTATCTTTATTGTTTGTTCGCTAAAAGATTCCTTGTACCCGGTCATTGGAGCTTAGAGTAGAATGAATATCAGTAAAAAAATGGCGTCAAGTACGAATACCGCGTGAATGACGCTATTGGCCTTCACCATGCACAGTGCACACAGCGCCACCTATGACTTACGAGGACCGGCGACGACGCTTGATCATCTGGGGACCATGTCGCACGTATCGACACCCAACTGTAGTAGATATTTCTATGCTTTGACCCAATAATAAAGAACTAGCTATATCTCAGCAGCGGCTTAACCTAGAGCCATCCGTTAAAAAACTTCATGACAAAAGTGGGGAAGGAAAATTGCTGGGAATTATTTTCAGCTTCCTAAAATGCAAACGCCATTATTTTGCGTAATTAACGTACTGATTTAATAGCTCGATTATGTTAATTGCTCAATTTTGTAACTTTTCACAATGTCATGTTTCCATGTATTGTTTAGGGTGGGAGAATCGTTGGAAGTCATTTCAGAAAAAGTCATATAACTTCTGTTTGGTTGAGCTGATTTCCGCGATCATGGATTTCAGCTAGCTCCTGTGCTATAGAGAATTTTGGAAATACTGTGCTTTTCAACCACTTGTCTTATTTAGATCTTTTAAGGGTGCAAATTGCGTTATATAATTCTATTATAGCGGCTATTTCGTTCAAAAAAAGCGCAATAATTAAATCTAGCGTACCATGTCATGACATTCTGGGACAGTAGCGCTGCCTTACGAAGTAAGGGGTAATAAAACGTTACCGACAAAGAGTTGTGGCATAAAGTATCGAGAGAATATATTGAAATCGTATTTCACATCCTAAAAAACCTTCGATTTACAATGCTTATGTTAATATGTACTTCAAAGATATCTTGAGCTATAGAGGAATAATGGCATTGAAAATTAAACTCCGACATTTTGCTAAGGTCTGTTTGTCTCCATATCATTAGATACTTCCAGTTGAACCTAGGATTGTTTTTTTTATTACGGACTACCCTGTTTACGTTTTTCTTTGAAAAATGTTTGTTTTTTGTTCCTGCTGCGTAAATATTTTATACAAAAGAAATTCACTAAAATACCTAAGTAAGTATATCGCGTGACCTCAGGATACGATACCTTTGCCTAAATATTTAATTGACCTACTACCTACAGTTTCGAATACTTCACAAATACACGAAAAGAAAAGAGAAGGGCGGATCCAGGAGAGGGTTATGACCCCGCTGGATGAAACATAATCAGCCAGGTGCCGTCGCTACCGCCCCTTCCGCTTTTCAATTTTCACAAACGCGTTCGCTCTCAGAACGGCCAAGCTGCTGCCATTCCCACCTGGCTCTTCAATTTTCAATCGGAGCAACCCCTAAGCCGACCCCCTTCCCGACACGACGGCTGGATCCGCCCTTGAGCAAAGTTGTAATTATATGTACCTGAATATATCTAGAATGCAAACTGCTAGCGGATGTAGTGAGCAGTAGATTTGATGTGCCTGTAAAACTTTTGGAGAATGTTGTAGAAATAATTTTCCAAACCCCAGATGCTTTTCTTCTTTATTCATTTCTTTCTCCAGTGAATCGAGTAATTGTTGATGAACATCCAAAACTTCCATTATGTTCGCCGTCAGTTGTTTATATTGATCTTCTGTAAGTCTAAAATTACAAGAACATTATAAGCTAATCAAATACATCCACTCAACCAAGTCTTCCTTAGTAAAGCTACATTTGTGATACTCAAAGCTTACTGTATTATCCGAAGAGTAAACAGTAAAATAGTCGCTCTCCGGAAAAAGCAGTTCTAGCCAGAAATGTGAAAGGAAACCTCTGAGGGTATTTGAAATGCTACCTGACGTTTGGCTGCGCTCACCCATTCCGAGGTAGCCGAGCAAGTCAAACTTTTAATTCATTTTGCAAACTCTTGATATACTTATATATACACGTATACGATTCATAGTTATTGTCGATAAAAACTAGTTAAATAAAAGACTTGTCTTTGGGGATATCGACAAATTAAGCAAAGTGTACCCTTCTGACTTACAAATACTCAAGCTTTCGACAAGCTATGCTGTCATCTTCAGGAGCTAAACATAAAATTGAAAATAGTAAATAGCAAACCATGCTCAACTGATTATCATTTAATTACTTACTTCGTCAATGAGATTGGTGCTAGTGTTAGATGTATAAAATTGTGCTTGGGAACACATGGCTAGACGATAAAAAACTGGATTTACGCGGATCCTTTTTCAGCACACTTTGCTTAATTTGTCGATATCCTCAAAGACAAGTCTTTAATTTATACACGTATATATATATATATATAAGGAGAGAAGTAGTCATTGCCAAAGCCATATATATATATATTGCATGGGTGTATCTTTCTAACTCCATTATTGAATATTGCTGTGGGATTATCGATTGGCATGAGTTGTGTGATAAAATGGGCTGCTTGACATTCTGCTGACATTTGTGCCGTTGTGACAAAAATCGATCGTTATAAAATAAGCGTTGTCATACCAAACCAAATCAGTATTATACATATTTCATATTCCAACTTACATTGAACTTTTTTCAAGAGGTTGTAAATAATTTGTAACAAGAGCTTCAAGTTCTGCAATGTAGATTTTTTCAGAATCCACAAGATCCTTGAGAACTATGGTTATGTATTCCCTGCGCTGATATGTAAAGTCTCTAACGTAATTGCTTGGAAACCATCCTCTCTCTCCATTAAGTTCACCTTCCCACCATCCGTCGGGCTTGTCTTTTAGCAAGACTGTTATTAAGTCACCCTTCCTGAAGGTCAACTGTAAGTACGAGAAGTGAATATACAACAATAGCAATATTCCTATTGTACCAAGTGTACTTTTTGCTACGTAGGATTTCTACCAAAGATTCGGAAATTTCTTGTTATCAACATATAGGGTGCTGTCTAGTTCTGCCCCATCGATGTCGTTGATTAGAGAATAGAGAATACTTGATAATCTTAAAATGTGACAGGAGAGGTGTGATTAGCGCCGAAGAATACTTCTAATTAATTTATCTATAAGCTGTGCTGCGGCTGTCCATCAATGCCGAATAAGTGATACAACAAAGAAGGAATGGCCACTTTTCATCTTAATAAAAAAGGTAAATTTTCGAAATATGGTATAGTTAACCTTAGAGGTTTACTACACGATCAAATACATAGAAAGTAATATGAAAACAATAATGTATATAGAGAATTAATAAACATAAAGATAGTACCAGTACCAGAGTCTTTTACACTTCTAGCAGTTATACGGAATTATGATGAGCTAAAAGGCGAAACACTGATGAATGGTTTTTGAACCTTCAGATGACATATTCCCCTGATCAACATATTGATAACACTGGATATATCTAACTTTTGTGGGCCTAAAATCGCTGTTGTGAAAACAATGTTTACCAATGAAGAACTATTTCTTCTGTTGTTATATTTTAAAGTTTTGTTAATGAAGAAAAAGACACTGCTAAAGTGTAAACGTACCTAAGCGATCGAAGTGGATGAAGAAATGGCTGCTGAATAGAAAAATTCATTCACATATAAATGTACTGAAGATTCAAATGACTGGCGAAATTATTCATGGATGGGTGAAAATGCCTATAGTGAATTATTACGCTTGGTTAGACCCGTCATACAACGTCAAAATACGGTTATGCGAGAGAGTATATCACCTAACGAAAGGCTGACCGCTACCTTAAGGTTCCTGGATACTGCATTCTCTTTATTTCTGTCGGAATAATCCTTGCACTTAATTTTCCAGAGCGCTGGTAAGGATTTGTATAAATTTATTAATTCTGTTGTGAACTCGCGCAAATCTGCTATTGTGTGACGAACGGGTACCTACCAAACGAAAACTAGCCTCGACTGTGGCTTGAACGCCCAACCACACGCACAGACAAGTACGCGCAGGCCAGGCTTGCGCAGGCAAAATTTCAAGCAAATCGAAACTCGCGCAAGCCACGCTGCGAGGTTTGCGCAAGCCAACTGAACGCCAACCACACGCACAGTGTTCCATGTTCAAACCGGCCTGCGCAGGTGAAACTGTGGTGAAGCTTGCGCGTGTGGTAGGCTCATTAGGTATGATTGTATATGATTCTCATCGCATTTTTCTGGTTCGTCTATGTTTTTCTTTATCTATTTTTTTAATGAAACAAATCTATAGATGTGCTCATGCATGACCCTTTTTAAGGTTTTTTCTCTTCATTTCACGTCCCACGCCCACTGACGAGAACCTATTGTAATTGCGAAGAATTTCGAAAATAAGACATTATTTTTTGAATCTTATATGACATCACTAAAAACCATCTCGCTCATTTCCATCGGTCTGTCTGTATCAAACTTGCAGTTTTTGAAATACGCTCCAGTGGCGGCAGGAAAAATGCCAACGCAATTTGTTGATGTTATTGACTTCCAATTCCGGTTAATTCTACGCACCTTTAGACATATTTCAAACATAATAGATTTCCCCCTACAATTGCCTCTACAACGATACAGAAATGTTTTCGCCACGCGGGCCTATATCTGCTGACTGGCCTCATCGGCCGGCGACCGGTCTTAAAAGGTGTCACAAAACATACACTGAAAGATTGAATCTGACGTAATGTTTTTGCAGTGAAGCGTCACCTCTCATTTGTCTTGCTAATGTCACACTATTTTGGTTTGTTTATTTTTAAAATTGATATATAATTTGTTTTTTGAAAGCAGCTTTGCAATTAAACAAATTGGGTACACTGTGTCAAATGAAACTAACACAATGCAAGTGTTCATTGCCATTTATTTAATGATTAACAACAAGAATAAATACTATCTGCAGAACTATAATAATCATGCTTCTCAGATAGCCCAGAAAGGTTTTTTCGCTAATATAGTTAACATCAAACCTACAACAGAGCTTCAGCGATTTCATTCAGAAAAAGCATTGCTCTAAAAGAAAGTACAGATGAGCAACTCTTACTCTCATCTGTAGATCGCATTAGTCGCGTTCAATTTGCACAGAATCTCAGATAAGCTCACCTCGGTTCAGTTCACTCAGTGTATTGCACGTTCATTTTTCTGATCTCAGTTCAAATATAATGAGATTTCTTCCATAAGCGAGTTAAGCGTCAGATTTCACAGCCTCATGTGTTCGACTATCTCACTTCGCGTGCAAAATGAACGCAAATGAAAGCATAAAGCAAAGCCTCTAACAGCTTCAAATGAATTCTGTCCAACATTTCAAATTGCGTATTTCATGTGCGGCGCAATTTAAATCCTCTGAGAACAAATCAGTTACGGACATGTACAACAGAGAAATTACACGGATTAAGTCAATAAAACAGGCCCATACATTTAGTCCATAGACATTCTTTCCCTGACCTACGGGCAGTTACTGTCCATCTGGCTACGTTGTCCCTTTCCACATCTGCACGGCAGCGCCCAGCGCGGCATCGCTGAAGCGAGCTATCGGTCATTTCGCGCATGGACCGTGTACGTGAATGTTTTTTAAGCAGCAGTGTGGATAGGTTAGTCAGCCGGCACGGTTCGCTGGGTGGTAATAGCAGGTGTTCGCGGATCGAAAACACTTACATATCTATCATTTATCAGTTTTAAAGGCAAATATGCGGGGAAATCTATGATGTGTGAAATATAGCTGATAGGTGCATACAATTACGAAGGTTGAGGGTGTATAAATACGCTACGATCAAAAAATGTTCGTGTATGTTCCCCAACCACCGAATTTCTACCCGCACAAACCTTTTTTTTGAGAATGATCAGGGCCTTCTGAAGCGCCAAAAAACGAAGTTAGAGCAAATCTAATTTTTGGCTTCCTTTTCCGCCACCACTGGACCGATTTTCAAAAACTACAAAGCCTATTCGTCCTTGGCATAATAACAACCTTGTGTGAAAATTTAATCAAAATCCAAACGGACTTCTAAGTTATAGACGGCCCAGTGGCGTAGAAAGTAAAAAAAACGGATGTCTAACAGATTTAGAGTTTTTGGTAATATTTTTCAAATTTATATATCAGGCAGAACTCCTTACCATTTTAATGTTCCAAACTTCAACTATTAAAATATTGGTAAATGAAAATAAATGGATGAACTTTGTCGTCTCTAATGCTTCAGCAATTAAATAATCTGACTCAACATATCGACGATCTCAAATCAATACTTGATGGTAAGTCCGAAAATATCGATTTTCTGATTTTGTTCTGTTTTGATTCCTGTATGTCATACAACATCAAATTGACCTGCAAGTTTTGGATAACTTTGCTTCCAAATAGTCGTTGATGATCTTCTACAAAACGAAAATTGATCATTTCTATTAGCGAAATAAATATGAAAATATGTTATAATCACGCCCCTTGAATGAAAGAAATGCTCGCTTATTGCAGATCTCAATTAATATATTTATGTACATTGCGCCTTGTAGAACTTCAGATTTCACCGATTTTTTTTTACTTGAAACTTACACATTTCCAAGCAGCGCTTTACGTATTGAGAGTCAACACTTCAAGGATTGACTTTTAGAGTAAATATAGGCAAACGTGTAAAATATAGATCAGTATAATATATCATGACTTACCTTAAATCAAACAAATTCTAGCTGTTCTTCGTCCAATTCTTTAACTTTTTCCATATTTTTTTCAAGTTGTCATCATTTTTATAAAAACATCGCAGAACGCGAAAGTGATATAGTCCTAATATCCGAATATTCCTAAAATGTATAAATATTCCCCGGTAGCGGTGTGTTCGTGTCCTATTGCGCTTGCTACATCAGACTTTTGTCATTTAATTTTTCCATGGTTATCGGTATCAGAAGCTTCTTGATGATAGAACATCTTTGGCTGATACCGAAGACGTAACAATTATAACCCTCTACAACCCTCGATCCCCAATCTTCAACCCCTAGAGAATTTTGTTCGAAAATGATCAGGAGCCTCTCTGAAACGCCAAAAAACGAAGTATGAACGATTTGTATTTTTACTGGACCGATTTTCAAAAACTACTTCAGACAGACCGACGGAAGTAAGTGAGTTTTTCGTTATCTCAGCATCGAAAATTTACGCGATTACAATACTAGGATATTTTCAAATACTAAAAAGTTTGCACCAAATGAGGTTTCACTTCCTATATACCTGTCAACATAAAATATAGATTTAAGTTAACAAAACACACTTGGGTTATTTTGAATATTGTGAAAATTGAAGAACCCAAATGGTTGTAAAGTAGATGTGGTCTACTACACAAACTACACTAGATCATATCAAAATGTCATTTTCAGATTGCAAAGAATATCTGCGGCCACTGGCATGATATGCGGCAACACCAACGACGATGGAAATGATGGGCAACACCGACTGCAGCTGAACACTAAAACTTCTTTCATCGTTGTAATAGGAGAATTTACATGTGATTTTATTCGGCGAAATGGCGGACTTTTTGGACACTGATAGGAGAGTTTGATAGCCGATTGTTATCTATAAAGGTCGTATCGTCAGTCGTTCCTACAATTATTATAGGACGCCTTCATGGCCTCCTTGATTTTCATAGTATTTTCTCTCCTCCAGAAATGCTGCGGTATTTCTAGATTTCTACTGTTCCGTGTCAGCGTCAGCGCTACCCGATTATTGTAGGAAAATCCAGGCTATATAACAGGTGGTACAAATCAAAAGCATGAACAAGTTGATACAAATATTTGTTTGTAACATAACCTCGAAATAGAGAACTGACCACTGACACGGAACAGTAGAAAACTACGAAAAACGCGGAGGCCATAAAGTAGTCTGATATTGGCCAAGCTATTTCGCTTGGTTGTATGTAATGTACTGGCCTGAGCCTTTCCTATAAGACGTTTGGGCTTCTACGAACCATAAAAGTATTCCTGAACTGTTTATTAATAAACAGAACCTTATTTTAGGGAATGGAATGAACCGTCTCTTGTCACAATTGGTTGCCCATTATCTCAAAAACGTTTACACATCACTGGTCGCAAGAGTAAAAAACTACGCCAAAATTACCTGTTGCCATTTGGCACATAATTTAAATGTAATAGGTACGGTTAAACAAACATTCATTGTACGTACCTCATCGTCATTAATTTTGTTATACGAATACAATGCTTGCACCATTTCAGTTTTGCAGTCATTGGTTTCCATAATCAAATAATGTTCCTTTATTGCGAGATATTTGATTTACACACGCGACACCACGCAACTTCATTGAACATCGAATCACAGAAGTGAATTGTAACATAGCGTTGAACTAAGCGATTTTTGGATGTGTCACATTCTTGGCAATATTTAATGCTTCGTTTTTGATTAGATTTGGCATGCATCCAAAAATGCGATACACTTTTTCGTATTTACATTGACAACAGAGCATCGTTGGCTGGCTAGATCAGAAGCTCGTTGAGATTGACGAGATTTTATTTTTAGCGGAAATCCGAAACATGAATGGTATGCTGAAAACAGGCGTCGAGTAGAATGACTCTGTACTTCTCGAGCAGTTATGTCATCAATTAAATCTAACGCTATATATGATTAAAAGAATAAGCACGGCAATTACATGCGAGATATAGAGTCGACCTACTTAACTAATATTTTTAGCAGACTGAATAACATTCAGATGATTTAATTAACGTAGAGTAACCTGATGTAGTAGTAGCTGCCAAAACGAAATAACGACAAATGAACTTCTTTTAGAAAAAAGTGTATGTACATGTTTATAAAAATAATAGCCCTATTCTCTCTAACGGATGTTTCTTATTTCGGTAACGAAGGATTGCCTCTCCACCGAGCAAAATCGAAATAGGGAAAATCAGAACGAAGCTGCAAAACAATTAGGCTAAAAATTCGCTAATACGAGTAGACTGTCATAAACTGATCAATCACAAATGAATTAGAGGGATACCAGCCACCATCAGCAGTGCGTGAGCGCAGACTACATGCAGCACTACTTTTCGCCAGCTTCTGAGCATCAATAGCCTGTTTCTTTTTCCTCAAGACCTTCTTAAAGATAGGGACTCAGTAGAGCATAGCTCCCACTGACAAAATAATACGTTAGGGCCTCTATCAGATGACATGTATTAGGGATGCATCCGTATGCCTTATGTTTAGTCTTCGAATCTCGCCGTTCTCAGCTGGTGAAATTAGCTTCTGTCTGCCCGAAAGTATAAACACTTCCGTCTTCTCCAGCAAACCCTATCAGGTGGATTCTCGGAAGCATCTGTAACCAAAGGACCTCATCGTAGAACACGTTTCGAAGCAACCGCCCTAGGACGATGGTAACCTTCATCCTGTTGTCCATCATCAAAATAGTTCATTAGATAGCTAACTAAGAGTGTCTAGGTTTTTGAGAGATGCAGTGATTTTCTACCATTGTATCATGTTGAAGAAAACTCAAAGCTTCTTACTACTATAGCTGCCGCTACTTTCCCAGTAAACTCAGCATACACAGTTGTCTATATGTAACCCCCAAATCGGTGAGTTTCAGGTTTTGGAATGAACACCAAACCAGCCTCGGTCCTCATCTTCGGAAAAGCACCCGTTCTCAAGCATTCATTCATCCCAGAATTCGCGTATTTCTTTAACCAGCGCTTTCACGATCTCATTTGGTATTTCATCGAGTCCTGGTGTCTTACCTGTTTTCAAGTGCGTGACATCTTCCTCCAGCTCATGCACGGTGAACTCTGTCACACTCAGAGCCTCATCAAATTTCCATTTCGTGAGTGAGCACTTCGGAAACAATCTTTCCGCTATTTTCATCGGTTACTCAATATTAGAGAAGGAAAAGAAATACAAGATTAGGTTTTCTATTTTATTTAACAATCATAAAGCCTGATTCAAAATCAAATACACCAACAGATTGTTGGCTTTTTGTATCATACTCAACCCACTCCTTTTCTGTTAAATCAACATTTTCAAAAATCTGTCCACTTTCTGCAACTATAGTCCAACCTTCACCAGGTGTGAACTCTACTGGTTCAAGTCCACGGCAGTCGAATGAAACAATAGGTTTAAACTTTCCTTGATCATCGTTAGTATATGGAGCTGTAAACACATTGTCATTAGATACTTATATATATATATATATATTATTGATAGACCAGGATAACAAGCGACAGCAAACTAATAGTCGTTTCAGATATAGGTACGTAGTAATAAAACCTATGAAAAATTGCAGAAAATCTAATGAGGTTTGAGTTTTCAGCAATTAATTTTCCAAAATTCCATATCTCTATATTAAGGTAAACTTCTTGAAGTATATATACTTAATATTAGGTAAGCCGTAAAAACTACAAAAGTCGATATAGTTATTTGTACAATTTTGAATAAGCCTTTTGATAAAAAGATTGTTAAAAATTTCAGATTGATTCATACAATTGTTTTCGCGAATTTGTAATTGTCATACGCGAAAAAGGAAGAGTAGCACTATGAAACTACTGTATTACATGCCAAGAAGTAATATTTAGTAACGCCGAATTCATCCCAAAAAGACTCTCGTTTTTAACAAATACGATTATTTTGTAGTACTAAGTCGTAGTAGCTTGTAAGTCAGTCACTTTTGCAAATAAAGTAGTAAACTTTCTGAAAAAAATAATCTTCATATCTCATACATCCCATCACCAGCTTCTCAAACAACGACGATGGAAAATTGAAGAGCGGGGAGGATGGGGGTGATCAATGTTACCGTTTTTTTCAATATTCTACATGATTGGCTTTTCCCGATAAAAATACAAGTAGTATGTTCTATTTGTGAGCAAAAATACGGGAAAATTGCATTTTGTTTTACTAAAATTAAAAACGGACTGTTGTATAGACTTTACTATAAATCTTTAGTATCTGAAGCACCCATCGATTTGCTGTCTGTGAAATTATATGTATATATAAACTAAAACTATACCATTACTGTCAGGGATAATATCGATACTATTTTCCCTCCCACAAAGTTTGCATTTTGCTATGTAGTTGTTCTCCGATCTCCCTGTCTTTCCTGGATATTTGAGCGACTCGCAAATATCTTGCCATTTTTCTGTAATTTCTCCGCAACTGGTACATTTCAGTTTGAGTAAAAAATTATAATTTGGGTGATTGGTCTCTAACTGTTGAATTCCTTCAAGTGTGGCCTGTATTCGCAAAGTAATTTTGACCATAACTATCGTCGATATATTTATATGCAGCTAAAAATCCTTAAAATGGTAGGAAATGGTGTGATAACTGGGATATCACAAAATTTATAGGATGAAGAAGGAACAGACTCGTGCTATTCGTAGGCATTACGGTTGACTTATGTAAGAGTCAAGCAGCCATTTTTTTCTGGAAGCAACATGGTTGCCAGGTTGTGCACAAACGCCATATGCGACGTTGTCAGCTCTCTGTATAAATCTGAGGCTGTTGTATCTGTTGTATAATTTTACAGCGCGCATTGTACGATTTTATAAGGCCATACGTTATAAACATTTTTCTGCTGTTTTGACAAACAAATACTCACTTATCAGTTAGAGCAGCAGCGTTTAATAACACAGGCCATTACTAAATCATCCATATATCCTACAGACATTTGAAATGTTGAGGACAGAAAACAAATATATACCTACCAGGTAATCTATATTCTATCTGTCTCTGATCACCATGGGTTGGTGGTGGACTGAAGCGCCCTCAATTCTGCTTCTGAATGTTTCATAGCGCTCCACATATATGACTTGAATCAAGTAGATATCCTCAATAGTCATAATAATCTAACAAATACATCCTTCAAATGTAGAATATTTCTATCTTTAACCTTTTTACCAAGGGCTCGGGCTGCCCTGTTTTCTTATTACAGTCGCCTAGAAGAAAATGACTTTTTCTCTTCATCTACCAACAAAAAAATGTTTAAGTAAGTAATAACACCGTGTGTAGGGTATTTGTCAAGTTGACAGAATCTTTTGCTCTAAAAATTATTTCGCGAAAATCAAAGAAGAAGGCGTAACATGATATGTGATATGGAAACAGATCCTGCGGATCAGCAAGATGAAACTCCTAGCTGTCCCAATATTGGTGAGAGTCAAGATGCCCCGCCAGATCGAGATAGTCCACCTGACAAGGATGCCTTCCTCAGCTAGCTTTTATAGAACAATAAAAAGCAGCAGGAAAGAATAACAGCGCAGACAAAGCTTATTGAAAAGTTATCACTTCATAAAATGAGTTGCAGAGGCAAATTAATAACTTACTGAAGAAGAGTGGATCGCCAAAGAAACGTCAATATGACAGCGACAGAGAAAATTTCACAATTAACGAAATGAACTTAGGAAGAAGATAGCTTTAAAGTACCGCAGGTCCAAGAAGAGCTCACATCGACTTTCCAGCCAAGTAAGCCTAGCCATCTATCTACTTCAGCTTCATGTCCTTTACCTCAAACAAAATATTTTACCACTCAAACTCTAACTTCGGCTACTGACTCTAGTCAAAATACAAATTCAGACCCAAGCCCTCAAGCTCCGATCACTACACCTTCGAGACTACCTGCAGCAAAATGGGTCACGCCAGTAGACCTGCGCGAACCAGGAGGGTGGAACTTTCTGTTGCAATCATGTATTTCTCTTTGTATTATAATTGAAAAGGCTGTGGCTATCGATGCCGGAATTAGAATGACCCCTAAAACAGAGAATTATTATAGACAGCTTGTGCGCTTTCTAAAAGAAAAGGTAATAGCTCCCCATACGTTTTCCCTCCCTGGAGGCACCTCCCTCTGTGTCCACTTATAGCTTAGGTTGTAAACTTGTCCGCTTGTCCCTAGAAAAAATATTGAGCTTTTACGAGAGCGACAGTAGACAGCTACTGCACTAAATTCGAACACAACTTATGCTGCTGTTGCCTCTTCTAGCCTTAGAAATTCGGGCACTTCACAGTCCGCCTCCAGTTAATGATTTATCAACTGTCCTGAAATCGTTTGAAGAGCTTGTAGCTCCTTTTCTGCACGCAACACAAACCCTGAAGGCTGTTATTCTGTGGCCAGTAACATGACCGTAAATGCCTAGTGATACAAGGCGGCCAACATTCTTAAGAATTCTATTCTGAAAACGCTTGTGGGATAAAGGATATCCGCAAAAAATGTGAATTTCGTCAAGCTCTGATTAATGGATCTAGTTGTGCGACGCGGTATTGATGACTACAGAAGCACCAATGTCGAGATTCAGAGCATCGAGACAGCTTCTGTGGTGGTCAATATCGCGAAAGGAATTCCTCTGAATCTCACATCAGTGTATGTAAGGTGTGTTCCTCGGCTTCAAGAGGCTGCCTTTGAAGTTCTGCTGGACTGCTCGGATCCATTAATTGTTGCGGGGGATTACAACTCCAAACGCTGTTCGTGGTATGAAAGGCTCAACACATGTAGCGGTGTTCGCAGTTACCTTAAGAAGCAAGATACAAGTAGCACTGTAGAACCTCTCGTAGAAGTTTAGATTGAACTCCAGTCGAACTTCACTGTCATATCAAAGACCTTAAGGTGGCCAAGGAACCAGGAGGGGATCAAATCACCAACAAGGCACTGACACTTTTCTCGCCGAGGGCTTTGACTTATCTCCTAACGATAATTAATGCGAAGTATAGGGCCCAATATTTTTCAAGAGACTGGAAGATCGTTGATGTTGTGATGATCGCGAAAAAGATGGGATCTATTATTCCACAGGACTATAGCCCCATAAGTCTATTGTCTTCTCCGTTTAAATTAGCCGAAAAGGTTATTCATACACATCTAGAGAATTACTGTTTTGATCTCCAAGCAATTCTCGACGTACCGACAATGAGTCTTGTGGAGACGATAACCTCTGGATTCACTCAAAAGTACTGGAGCTTTTTTGGATATTTCAAAAGGTTTCGATAAGGTGTGCTATGCATCTCTGCTTTATAAATTGATCAATAAGGGATTTCCCTTTTGGCTGCCAAGTTCGTTCAGCAAAGGTCCTGCGGACCGCTCAAGTAACAAACGATGAAACGAAAGTACGGTTTTAATTATTATAATAATAAATGAAATTCATCATTACGAAAAACCTACCTATAATCCACCTACATAAAACGAGATCCGGTATCTTCGGTTTTCGGTGGGAATATCAAAAAAGACATCAATTTCGGTCATACTTATCAAAGCCGTCACTTTTGTGGATGCAACAGTGTTGTCAGCTTGTGGTCCGGCGACACCGCTTAGTTTCCATGGTTTGGTAAGTAATTTACACCATAAAATATACTCGGAAAGATGCCTACTTAGAACAATTCGACGGGCAACACGAATGTCATTTGTTGCTGTTGTTGAGACGGAAAGAACGTCTAATCAGAAATAGTCCTTGGCATCGTTGTAAAACATGCTAATACTACTCGTACTGGTATTATAACATCTTCCATATACCAATATAAATTACAACAGGCTCAGATATATCCAAAAAGCTGTATGTGTGGCTCCATGCATGATCTAGCAATCATAATCAAATTCAAGCGGATAACCAAATGGAAATGGTATTTACCATGTTGGGTTGGTATTTACCAATCCGTTCAAGCGAGTGTAGTTATCAGTTTGGTTATAAGATCCGCGACGTCACGAATCAGCTGTTATATGTCATAGTTATCACCGCAAAATTGTGGTATTTACCCAACTCAAGAGTAGTTTTATATTTCTGGTTATTATTTGAAATGTGACAAGTTAGAATTTTGCCGGGTATTGGATATTGTTATTGTACTTCAGCTTCATTTTTGAGAAAAATGATACAGGCTGACTTCAGTTTTACCATAAAGTGGAGCACCTTATTAGTTATACTCATTACGGTTGATGGGGACACTTTAAATGTAGTTCCTATGCTTAACAAAGTATGCTGTGTAGCCATATACTACAAGAATATTAAAATATGGCCATATAAACTCACTAGATGATATCCACCTGTATACGGTTTTGCTAATTTCTTTTTTCATCATTTCTGCTGAATCAATAAATGTTTTCTTTGACATGCGGAAAAATTTAGAGAATTGAAAGTTATCATAGCTACAAAGCCATGGTTCCATCATTAAAAAGAAAATCTGAATAAAACATTTCTACCATGAATATTAACTATACGTATAAATAACTATAAACTTTCCATGTACAGTTGTAGACGAAAAAGCACCGATTATTAAGTGGTAATAAAAATAATCAGAGATTATATACGCGCTTTTCTAAAATAAACTTAACTTGCAACAAAACCGCGGTTAAAACCAACGCGTTCAAGCGATTCGTGTAACTGACGTCATCAACCCGTGTGTCATCTTGAACCATATTATAACCGCGGCACATAACACAGAAATTTTGGTTATTCGCTTGGATTTGATTATTGTCTTTCCAGACCGTGGGAAAAAATATGACATACATATTTCTATGATGTCGATGAGGTAAACAATAATCAAATTCAAGCGGATAACCAAATGGAAATGGTATTTATCATTTTGGGTTGGTATTTACCGATCCGTTCAAGCGAGTGTAGTTATCAGTTTGGTTATAAGATCCGTGACGTCACGAATCAGCTATTATATGTCATAGTTATCACCGCAAAATTGTGTTATTTACCCAACTCAAGAGTAGTTTTATATTTCTGGTTATTATTTGAAATGTGACAAGTTACAATTTTTCCGAGTATTAGATATTATTAGTGTACTTCAGCTTCATTTTTGGGAAACTTGATTGAGCCTGACTTCAGTTTTATCATAAAGTGGAGCATCTTATTAGTTATACTCATTACGGTTGTTGGGGACACTTTAAATGTAGTTCCTATGCTTAACAAGGTATCCTGTGTAGCCATATACCACAAGAATATTAAAATATGGCCATATAAACTCACTCGATGATATTCACCTGTATACGGTTTTGCTAATTTCTTTTGTCATCATTTCTGCTGAATCAATAAATGTTTTCTTTCACATGCGGAAAAATTTAGAGAATTGAAAGTTATCACAGCTACAAAGACATGGTTCGATCATTAAAAAAAAATCTGAAGAAAAACATTTCTCCCATGAATATTATGAAAGGTTTCTTATTTAAACTTTCCATACACAGTTGTAGACGAAAAAGCACTGATTATTAAGTGATAATAAAAATAATCAGAGGTTATATACGCGCTTTTCTAAAATAAACAACTTGCAACAAAACCGCGGTTAAAACCAACGCGTTCAAGCGATTCGTGTAACTGACGTCATCAACCCGTGTGTCATCTTGAACCATATTATAACCGCGGCAGATAACACAGAAATTTTGGTTATTCGCTTGGATTTGATTCATGTCGCATCAAAGAAAAATGGCGACTTGACATTAACATAAGTCAAACGTGTTGCTCTCTGGATACGGGACTGTGCCTTCCTCTGTATACATGTGTATATGTTTTGTGGCTTCCATTTTGTTGTTCGCCGCTACCCGCTATTGTCCGCCATTAGCAAAGCGCCAATAAATTTTGTTGTTTCTTAGCCGAAAGTGAGGGAAAACGTAAAAATTCTTCATAATTTTGTGCCCTTTCCAATAGGTTTTAGTCGGTAAGTGATTAAACTTTATGCATGATTCCCTTTAAGACAAATTACAGATTATTAGGTACACTAGGACAGATATTGCGTGGTTTTATAACTAGATTCAGGTTCAATAGGTTTTGCAAGTCTACCGATTATTTTGAATGATATACATATAATGCATCCCCAGTTTTATTAAGTTCTTCTGAGTATCCGTAACGCATTTTGAAAATTTTGGTACCCCCAACAAGAAATCAAATCTAAAGTGCAGGGCTAAATCCAACCTTTAATACGGCGTGTCCAGAAATCTCATATCATGACAATGGCAAAATTGTGTTTTAGTACGTCTTCTAGTTCTCGAAATTATTAGTATTTCTAGTTGAAAAATTGGCTTGCAATCAGTTAAAAGCCTGGGCCATTACTGCCCTTTTTAAACCTGGTTGTTTCTGATCACTCAGAATTTTATCCCACCCAGAATTTTTTTTAATTGGTAATATGTTATTCCGACTCTGCCATTTATTTGCAGTTATAGTTAGGGTCCGACCGAGGCTCAGTTTTTTGACGGAAGCCCATCGGCTTCTTACACAACCTTCGGCCGAAGCCGAGGTTTGGGTTAATTATAAATAATGGACGTTTGTGCCTCTTATCATAAGTAGAAATTTGTTTTATTGTGTAATCTTGGATTGAAACTTCGTCAAATAGGATAAAAATATGAAACTACGTATTTAATATACTGGTACGAAATACTAACACAGTTTAAGTGTATCACAGAAAGATACTGAATTTTAGAATTAGGATTACTTTGGCAAATAAACCAATAATCAATTCCAATTTGTCAATGAAATTAATATGAAGCATACATTTTATTCAAATAATATGTGTATCTATTTAGTTTTGGATCTCGCTCATGAAGTGGTATGGATAATGTGGTTAGAGGATGGTCACA